GATCTGCTTACCCTTCCGCAGCACCTGAGATCTCCGCAATTGTTTGGTGGGATTCGTGTTGCTCAGTCTTGATTTTTCTATGTTGTGTTTTGTGTACTATTGTTTGTCTGTTAGTCTTTTTCTTTTTCTTTGGCGTTGTCAGTTTATTTTCGACTTATAAGTTTGAATGGTTCCTTTGGTATCTTTCGCGTCTCTCTTAATTATTATGGACACAACGTGCAAATAGTACAACATGCACTAGTCTAGTTCAAGCTACACCTGTACTATTAGCACGTGTTGTCGTTGATAAGATAGGTCACATTGAACAGCGGTATACTACTGTTGCCTTTATTCGGTAATGAAACAAACAAGTAAATAAGGACGGGATTGTGGCGACGACGAATAATACATTATCAGTTATCTGTACAATGTAAAACTGATATTCCACCTCAGATAAACCAAATCATGATGGCGGCTATAAACCATTGAAGGAGTCGATATTAAATTTCCCATGGTTAAATAGCTTCCCTTGAAAATGAAAATGAGCACTGAGAATACACAAACGCAGCATTTATGTGTGTATTCGTGCAAGAAAATAAAAAAAAAAAATCACCTACAATTCTTATCAAATAAAACCTATTAACTAATACCTGGTAAACATGATATAATTACAGGCCTTACCTGCCTATCTTGTCACAGCGTATCAGATATTTCTAAGTGTTTAACACAGCATACAGTGTGTCAAGGGCCAGATGAGGTAGGTTACAATGTAATAGTAGCGTAATTCATCATTTTACCCGATCTTCGGCAATTTGATTATTTCTAATATTTTTATATATATTCATGGCAAAATAAGAGGCAAAAAAGATATCAAAGGGATAGTTTAACTCATAAATAGCAGACAAACTGATAATGCCATGCCAAAAAACGAAAAACGGCGAAAGGACAAACAAAAGTTTACAAAACATTGCAAAGAAAAATGACCGAGCAACACAAACCAGTGAGTGAGGCATGAAGTAGGCTTAGTTCACCCACGAGTAACATATTATTTTCTTTACGATGCAAAAATTATTACAGATTACATACTATCACTTCAAAACATCATTTCAAAAAACTTATTGAAATCAAACACACATCGAGCTGTACACTATGTCAGTACATTACTCTAAACAAGAATATAGTGTGCAGTACATGTGGTTCCAGGAGATTAATGTGAGCATCTCGATGCTATACACTATGTCAGTATAATATTCTATACAATAATAAAGCGTGCAGCACATGTGGTTCAAGGCAATTATTGTGAGCATCTCGATGCTATACACTATGTCAGTACAATATTCTATACACTAATATAGTGTTCAGTACATGTGGCTCAAGGAGATTGATGTGAGCATCTCGATGCTATACACTATGTCAGTACAATATTCTATTCAACAATAAAGTGTTCAGTACATGTGCTTCAAGGAGATTACTGTGAGCATTTCGATGCTATACACTATGTCAGTACAATATTCTATACTATAATAAAGTGTGCAGTACATGTGGTTCAAGGAGATAAATGTGAGCATCTCTATGCTATACACTATGTCAGAACAATAATCTATACTATAATATTGTGTGCAGTACATTTGCTATTTCATTGTTTTTTACATGATCCAGCGTTAACAAAATCCATATGGGTACACGTGACGTCATGTGGTTATATATGAATGCCAACTACAAATATATTGAATGCACCTGTGTTGATACGATTGCCATAATTGTACTTTACTTGAATTATTTCAAGAATTATGCAATCAAATGTGTTTCATGTAAATTTGATAATGACCCGACGAAAGAGAGATAATTAAGTTTTTCCCACAATGAACTCTTGATCATTAAATAGCAATTTTTTTAATAACCACGGAGTAATAGCATTTCTATATCTCAGTTGAAATGATATTTCCGCCGCTAATGATTTAACTAATTGAAGAATCGTTGAAAATAAAGTTAACGTTTTACCTTCAGCATCACAACTTTATAGGTCGATGCCGAATATGTATTTCACATAATCATGGATATGTTTCCTTTTTTTAAAGCTATGGTCCTGTCTTCCTTTTGGAGACCAAAGCATTATGAAATGCCATTAGATGAGCATTACTCCCTCAACAGTTCATCTACCATCCTGTTTGAATTAGGCTTCGTGTTGCCCAGTCTTTATAAATTTGTGTATACTATTTTCCCAATAACTTTCCTATTCCTTTTTTCTGTGGATGTACAATACCCTTCTATGTTTTATGATTTTTAACCCTCCTTGATATCTATGTCAGAGTTAAATGTATCGGTAAAAGAACGATTTTCAGAAAGATGAAGTCAAATCACTAAAATCAATGTAGCATTAATTGTTGTATAAAAACACTTAGTTTTAATATTGACATAGAAAAAAAAAGAGTACGCAAGATAACAATTGTAAGAGTTATAGGAAACAAATAAAAACGTAAATGCTAAAAAAGGGGAAGGGGTCTTAAATTTGCCGCACATTGTATTAGGGTCGTTATACATATAAATGCGGATGTTACCTTAGGTTACGAACAAATCTATAATAAAAAGTTTAAAAAGTACCGAACTCCAAGGTAAATGCAAACAGGGGAAGTCTATAGACACTGAACAAAAATCAAATGTTATCAACCAACGGAACGATTGAAAAGCAACTGTCACATTCGTAACTTGGTACAGTAAAGTATTTTCGTTTCTTCCAGGAATGTTATTTAGACAAAACAATTCTACCAAACTTATCTACTGCCTACAATGCAGGATGTCGAGCGAAGACGGTAAGACGATTATTCAAAATATTTGGCAAATATCTAGTTTCTAAGTAATTGCATCAAGTTAACTTATGACTATGTGCATTTATGTTCAAATTATGCTTGTTTGTATGAATATCGCATATTTTACAACCGTGTTCATTGATCCTTATCTATTTTTACTATCATAGTAAAACTTTAAGCGTGAAAAAACATCTAGAAAAATGAAATAGTAATAATTATTAGTATTTGGTTTAGAATCAAATAACACACAGAATAAATAGTAAATGCATTAAATGTGTAAATGTAATACTAATTTGCACAAATTGCGTATTCTCATGGAACGCTTCCCTAACGCGTGTTCCTTAGGAACGCTTCTACTATAATTATACGATAACGTAATATATATATTTTTTTTATTATCTTTTTTTTATGAAAGAATGACAACTGCAGTGTCAACGAAACTTAATGTGCAGGTTTCCTTTACGATTGTCATATCAATTCATGATCAAATATATCATAATATACAACCTTCATAATATGTTACAACCGTACATAAAGGGGATACAATGGATAAGCGTTGGTTCATTTAAAAGAAAACATGAGCTCAGTGTGTCTTCTAGTTAAACTATTGATGTGACTTCTTATCAACACTACAATTCTTTAATAAGTTAGACCCTTTTATCAGTGAGTTTAAATAACCATCTTATTATCGTGAATGATGTACCAAGTAATTAGAAGTCGTTTTTAACTGTAATAAGAATCAGTTAAAGAATAAAGGCAATATATATATGTGTCAAAGAATACATAAAATAATTAGAAATTAGCAAGTGTGGTTTTATCATAAATCAACTGTTAACAAAACTTTGAATTTTGGAAATGCTAAGTTTTTTCTTCCCCTGGTAATAGATTACCTTAGCTGTATTTGGCAAAACCTTTCGAAATTTTGGATCCTTAATGCTCTTCAACGTTGTTCTTTATTTGGCCTTTTCAATTGATGAGTCTTTTGTAGACAAAACGTACATCTGGCGTACAAAATTTTAAGCCTGGTATCTATGATGAGTTTATTGTAATGTACATACACCTATTATAAAGTAGTAAGAGCCACACAATTTGTACGAGGAAAACATGCACTTTGCGGCTTTTGAATTAAAATATTCAAATAGACCATACTTAATTAAGCAGATATCAGTTTTAATTCTGATCTTATTTTGTAAGGTTTGTAGTCTCTTATCTGCTGCTGTTGGAAAGAGACATGTTGATAATCAGCTAATTAGACCAAAGAAGGCATCGATTACTTGTGCCCAGTGTTGTAACACACAGCCTGATAGGAGTGGTGTCCCATGTAACAGAAATTTATGCAATTTGGGCAAGTATAATATTGGCATTAAACCGCAAACAACATTTGTTCCAATTATTTCATTAACCATCCTGTAATTGAAATAAAAGGTACGTGCATTCTACAAATTGCAGATTCATTACAATGACATTTGCATTCAAAGCTATGGTTTAATCATTGCCTAAAGATATTCAGTAATAAATTCATGTATACGAATTATGTTTCATAATTATCTGCTATGTTATTCCTAAATGAAAGAATGATAGTGTAACTATTTAGTTCATTCAATTTTGATTTGTCTTTTTTCTTGCAAAATAAATAAATTTATTCGGGTTTTTCAATAATAATCATTTGGAAAAGCTTAGATATACGACTTTCTGAGACATGCAAAAAGCATTTCTATAAGACAAAAGAATGTTTTTTACATATGTATTATGTTTTTAGATTTCTTTCTTGTTTAATATTTGTATTATGTTTTAGATTTCTTTCTTTTAATATTTGTAATATGGTTTTGGATTTTTCAAGTTTTAACATTTGTATTTTAATTTGACTAGAACAATCACTTGCTTATTTGAATGCACATCTGGTGCAGTAAACGAGGAACCGTCTGGTGAAATAATATTTTAGTTGTTTTAGTTAAGTTTTTTTTTTTAGTAGATGGGAGATTATGCAAAACTTAATATCAAGCATGATCCATTGCTCCTTATGAAAACGTCAAGTATAAGTTATTTCGTTTCCATCGATGTTTCTACTATATTCCTTTGGAAACAGCATTTATTAGAAATACATTTATAAACATAAGCTGCTTGTCTATAAATCCTGTTTTACGTAATGTGCATTCATTTTTCAATTTATATTTATTATAACATAGTTGTTTTACTTTGTTCAAATCATAGGAACTTCCGCGTATGAGACGTGTGGTGTGTGTGACCGTGTGTCAAGTCCTGGTGCTTGTTCTGTTTTTCAAGTTTGTCAGCCTAATGAGGTAAATAATTTGTATCACGTGTGTAACTTAAGTTAAACCGGTTGAGGAAAAAACTCATCTATATAATTAAGGCAAGTTACTGTAGTATAACTATTTAGAAAAATTGTAAAATTATCGTAATTTCAAAATACTTATTAACAAAAGTTACTTTACTTTCTTGTAGAAAATATTTCATATAAATACAACCAATACTTTTCAAATGTCATAAGCAAACAGTGATAATGGTTTTTTTTTGCGTTTGCTAAATGATATACTCATTCTTGTAATAAACGGAACAGAGTTGTTATTACTGCTATCAATGTCTGCCATATATTCCTGTGTACTGAAGGCACACACAGAATTTATACAGCTCCTGTAAAATTATGTAACAGGAATGAAGTTTACTCTACCGTAAGTTGCTGTGGTGATCTATAAATTTCAACTCAATTTCATCCCATTCAATTTTTAGGCAAATGAGCCGTTTAAAGGTGCTTGTTGTGACATTATCGATCTTAACCGAACCCGTTCTCTGATCAGAAACCTGGCTGTACCCTTCATGGTATCGCTAGGCTCCTATACAATGCAAGAAATAACTGACTCGATTGTGCTGTTTTGATGTTATTGTTGAATACGTGCAAGGAAAACAGATGGTCGTTCACTCTGTTGAAAAACCCGTCAACATACCACGATGCTGATTTGCAAGCCGCAGATATCATTACATTGTTTGTTGACTTGATCACGAAGACACAGCCCATTTCCAATGTGAAAATGAAAGATATAAGACTCGAAATCGAGCGTAACGAAACCTTAGCTTAAGTGTTGAATTTGACGAAAAAATATGAATAACTATTTTGTATTGTGAAGAGAATTTCCTGCTTATAATTGACTATTATAATTCGCGAACTGTATCGTTTTTCCGGGTATACTCGTGCGAGATTGCTTTAAACAATCCATGATGGTATTACAAAGTACTGCGAACGGGATGGTACATCAGTATGGTAGCCAGCTAATGCGTTGACATTTCAAGAAAGGTGGAAACTTGTGAATTTTGTCAAATCCACAAACCGTCTGAGCTAATAAAACAACTCAAAACAACACCGCTGTCAGGTCGTCCCTTACAAAAGGTATCCGCCAACTTATTTGAGATAAATGACAATCGATACTGATTGGTTATGGACTACTTTTGCACGCTTCCAAGAAATTGCAGATCTAATCAACATCAAAATTCACACAGTGATTAAAAATTAAAGACCATTTTCGCTAGATGGGGAATTTCCGAAGTTCTAGTTTCCGATAATGGAACCCAATTTAAATCGCAGATCTTTCAATTCTTTGCGAAGGAGTACAACTTTGTACAGTCGTTATTGAATCCACATTATCCTCAGGCGAGCGGAGAAGCCGGAAGCGCAGCTGAGATAGCAAAACATATTAAAGTCTCAACTCTAGTTGCTGCAATTGGTATGAGTCCATCAGAACTGTTTATGGGACATCGCAAACTCTGTCTAAGTCTTTTAAACCAAAGGCATGAAAGGGTCCTAACCTAAAGACCATCCTCGACCGTTACAATAGAAGCGAGGATTGTTACAGATATTATTTTGATAAACATCGATCTTTATCTTCGTTGAGGAAGGGTAAAAACTTACTGCTTGACAATGAAAATAAGTGGACAAATAACGTGGTCATTACAGAGGTTAATTGCTACCGTAGAAACGCAACAATACAAAAGAAAACCAAACGTAGACACATTAAGATGGCAAAATTAAAAAATCCGGAAAACAATACCCCGAATGAAATTGTAGACGGTGATACTAAAATTTCTCGACCGTCATCAAATGAATATAATGATGTTTCTGATTCTGTTTCAAGTACACCAGTTAAAAGGTACAATCTTCCACTGTGATCGCGATCCGGATTAGAGGTATAAAGACCTGCAGGCTTTAAGGAGTATGCAATTGAAAATGTCAACTAAGAGACAGTTCAAGCGGTTAGAAACATTTTGTAACTTAAATTTTAGTATTTTAGGCTAATAATTGAGCTTAGCAACTCATTAGAAAAAGATACTTTGATTTTGAATTTAGTAGAAAGGCGGTGCCTATGTTATTTTCAGAAAAAATTATAATTCGAGTCACTGTTGAGGTCTTTTCAGATTCTAGTCTTCATTTATACAAAAGAAAAAGAGATGTGACATCATTGATCATAACGGAATTCGCATTCCCTATTTATTCCGGTCTTTATTTCAGTATTGACGTTGATCTGTATCATTACTCTTTTTTGTTTTAATAATCATATCGTTTGTTGAACGTTGTGTCTTTGTTTTGAATCAGCATGATTTTACCATTTAGCGACCTATTGATTTGTTACACGTGTTTACAGCCGTTAATCGGGTACACACTTGCTGTAGCTTTTTGGTGTCGAACAAAGATTGTTTGTGACAGCGTTTAGTTTGAGTTTTGGTATAAAAGTCATAATGTTTTGACCTGCAGTTATCACAGTGAGCTTCTAAATCATTTAGGACACATGATATTGTAACTCTAGCAAGGATGAAAAACGAAGCCCAAACTAATATTGACCTAATCGAATCTGTTATGTGAATTGATAGCAGCTGTAAAAAAAAATCGGATATACTATTTATGAAAGCTCGATAAAAGGCGCGGGATTTTTTCTTTATCATCAAAACGTGTTACATGCTTGAATAGATGATCATACAGAGATGGTCAAATTGTTTGTCAAGAATTTTATGGATTAACAGTCAGATTAGAGTTGTCTACGGCTCTGTGTCTCCAATAAATGCATAACTTCATAATCATATTGCATTCGAATATTAACTAACTTTAACGCTTATAAACTGAAAAAGATTGTAACCCCCTCTCTTCCCCTAAAAAGCAAACAAAGGAAACTTTGTCTAACGTAATCTGTAAGGGATATTTTGAATATGAAAGTTTTTAATGATACTTTAAACATGCGAAAATTATATACTTCTACATGGTAGTCCAGTAGATATGCATTTCATTGCAGATTTCGAGTTTGCAATAATTATTATAATTGCATTGTGTCAAGAAAAATATGCAAGCAAAAAAGAAACGTAAGCTCTTTTCCATATCGAATGCGCTTTATAGGATCATGTTTTGGGTTGTAAACATGCACTCAAGTAAACACATTAAACAGGTAAGCTGTTCTAGAGTATAGATATAATGTAAAAAACCCCGCTCGATACATTATTAACACCACGGCATTTTAATAATACTGTGACCTTCTCCTGATGTCTGCTTGATGAAAACATGGTTATCAACACTTATTTGTGTTGATTAACTTTAAGTCTAATTTTTATTTATTCTAAACATTTTTCAGGTGTGTACCATTAATTCGCTATTTACCGGTGGTGTTTTAAAATATGAACTTGGGTGCGAATTAAAGACAGTAAGTACGGAAAATAATAAACCAAGACAGGCGAAAAATACATTCAATCTCATAAGTCAGAAATAAACTGACAACGCCATGGCTAAAAAGGAAAATGACAAACAGACAAACAACCGTACACAATCCGAATCCGAATAAAATGTTAGGTTTTGTCATTACTATTTCGTTCTTATTTCAGTTCAATTCAATGCTAACTACTGGTAAATGTGTAAGTCTTTGACAACAAAAAACAGTTTTAATAATCTAATGAATTGCTTCAATGAAGAGTGCGAGGTTTTACATACTAGGTGTTTACTCATTTCTGTGCCGGATGCAATGGTATCCGTTCCTCTGATAATTAGAATCATTCTTGCATATGTGATATGATTGACAGTGAGACAACTCTCCACCAGAGAGCAAATGAAGTAGAAATTAGCAACCACAAGTCACTGTGCGGCCTTCAACAATGAGCAAAACCAATACCGCAAAGCAAAGACCTCAAAATGACAAATGTAAAACTATTCAAAGAGAAAAACTAGAGGCCTGTTTTAAAGTTTTGTTTTGCTTATTTTCCCCTTTTCACTAATAAGTTTGCGCTTTTATTGAAATATTTAAGACTATATCAAACATGTTAACATGGCTCCGAAGGTGGTTTGATACAATGCATGTACTACCTCTTGCTTTATTCATATTCTCATCCTTTTATTTTGACATAAAAGTCAAAGCGTTGAGATATACTGTTTTTATTAGTAGTCCTATTTTTATTCCAGTAAGTGATAATTCAATAATGTTAGCATGATCCATTTTAAATGAAACTTTATTAACAGATATATAATTTATATTTGGAGGTAATGCATTATATTTTTGTACATGTTAGAGACAAACTCAGAAAATCTAATGTAATGTTTAGTACACTGTGTTATTTTAGATTTGCGACGCAACTTTGAAAATATACAAGGGATCTCATGGAAAACGAGCTAATAATGGTCATCTTGTTTTATGTTCAGCATGTTGTACCGGAAAAAATTGTAACACGAAGGGTGATTGCTCTACCCTTATCGGAAGTACGTTCATTTAAGCAAATAATATTGAAGCTATAGTATAAGACTGGTTTCATTGGCTATACATTTTTCAAAGATAATTCAAAGTCGTTGCCATTTACACATGCAAACTCATATTCTTGTATGATTGATTCAATTCAAATTAGTATTTCAATTAAAGTAAATGCATGGTAACGGAATTCGTCCTATAACTGATCATGTGATCACTAGAAAGGCCCGGATGTAAATTTAAAGTTCATGCTAAAACCTTAGCTTTGTCGACGTCAAAGTTTAACTAAATGTCGCAAGTTAACTGCCGAAAGAAGGTGATCCGTGATCCCAGGCAAGCTAGCATTTATTTAAAGCATGATAATGATGAATCCTATTAATAATGAAATGCAATACTGTGTATGGTTGATGGTCATAAATTGATATAATTTACCCACGAGAAACTGCGATCGGTTATGTATTTATATGTTGTAACCACTATATGGACGCAACTCGAATTCGTCTATATCCAACACAAACTAAACATGCTTTGACATGTCCCGAAACCGTTATTATAAGAAAAAACAGGGATATTTTTATTTGAAAGTTGAGGTTGTTACATGTATAAATTAACAAATTATACAGATCAAATTGAATAGTGTTGTGTTTATTGATTTAGAATGTATTGTTATCCCTTCAATAAACTTGATATGAACATATACTTTTCCGTACGGTTTACGTTTCGGTATTTGTATTTTTCAGATCAGCCTTGTTTTAACACTACAGTTTGTGGATGATAATATTGAATTTTACTCAATAAAAACAACCTTTAGTTTTATACACTGTTTCAACCTATTAGAAAGAGGATATACTTCTATGATCCCTGATTTATGAGGTTATCAGTAGATTAAAATAAAAGCAAATATTGTTTTCTGATATTTAATGAACAGAATTACTCTCAAATCATACCGTTGATTGATTTTGTGGTATATGACAGAATGTATACACTAGGTAAATTGAATTGATAACCCTTTAAAAAGGAAATGTGATAAAAAATAAAACTCATCAAAGATACCAGACTTATAATTTTGTAGGACAAAGCGAGTGTCGTCTACAAAAGACTCATCAGTGACGCCCGAAAAAAAATTTCCCAAATAAAGTTCGACGTTGATAGCATTAAAGACTAAAACTTCATTTTTTGCCCAGGTAATCTATTCCTGGGGTAGACACACCTTAGTTTGTCGAGCAATTCAAAGTTTTGTTAACAGTGGATTTATAAATATTACGATAGTAATGATAATTCATGTAAGCACACAAGTGCAGACTTTTGGGTTGCAACTATCTTATAAAAAATTAAGCTGCTTTTCTTATGCCCTTTAATGCTCTATGAAGTTTTGTATCATTGGTTTACCAATTTTGTTTTTATTTCGAGTGTACCGGGCACAAGCAGTATTATTGTGTGTAGGAACAGCGACATGTGTATCGTGGAGGGAGAATAGAAACAAGTGTTTTACGTCATACATTTCTTTTTTCCTGATGATGCAGGTTAAATCACTTTCAAATGTGTTTTCTAGCTACAACATAAGCTTGAAACGGCGGCCGATTAGATAGATAGAGAATGCATTGGTTTGCTTGTAACTGGAATTCTATTTTTGGGTACACACATTTAATTCTGTTCGAAGACAACTCTTTACAAATCAACAAAACTTTTAAATAGTAACGTGGAATTAAAACATCTGTTTCGAACGGATAATAAAATTTAAGAGACAGGCATATCGTTTCAAATATATTTGATATGCATTGAAACAGAGTAACTTAATTGTATTATCTGAATAAAATGAAGATGTCTTATCAACGATGGTCCTACTGAGTTTGGGCACAGCTTTTCAATTTGTTTTCAATGAGCTTCAACTTCGTAATTTATTTTTTCCTAAAACTGTTTTAATTTGAGATTAAGCAAGAGTTTTTATAATAACTAGGTAGAAGCTACTGCAGATGGTTAATTCGTCCAAAGGATAACATCAGCTCAGGAGTCTACACTTCTGTGCTGGCAGGAAATATCATTGTTACGGATTTCTTTAAATTTTCTGTTCATAAAACTTAAATCATCCGAAACATTAAGTGTTTTTGACACCCAGACATAGCTTTGAGACATTTTTGGTATCATAACTCTCCAACTTTGTAAATGACTTGGTCTGTTAACCATTATTATTTGAGTGTCACTGTATGTAGACGAAAAGTGCGTCTTCCTGACAATTTTTTTCCTAAACCAAGAGATACTTGTGCCGCACAGATTCATACTGAACATATATCAGCCACCTTAAGCACACAACTACCGACATATTTGGGGAGTGCAAAGTATCGTATGAGGCTAGCAAATGATGATATATCAATGTTAATCCGAGTGTTTGATTACTGCTAACTCGACTTAATGATAACAAATTGTATATACCAGTATGCACTTAAGACAATGTAATACGTTTGCTTCATGTCATTTCCTATATCAGAAAAATGTTGTTACTAAACGCTGATTTCTAACGCCATATAAATATTATATAAGCAAACCGGATTTGTATATCTTTGAACTCACATGTTCGTTAGGTCCGCTTTTAAAGTAGCCGTCTTTATTCGAATATACATATTCAACCCTACAGAAATATATTTATCACATTGATCGAAGCGGCAATATGGAACTCAATCCCATTAAGATATGCACACCTTTGCTAAACGTACTGGCTTAGATTATCTGCCCAGAACAAACGTGCAATTGACGGTGTGTAATATAACGTCGTGTCAAACTAAATAATTTCAGGAACAGATAACGATTGAAATGAGCCATTTTGTGCATTTGCTTAATATGTTTTTTACAAAATACATCGAAACAAAATACTAGTATTAAGAAAGAGTTTAAATCACAGGCGTGTCCAGGATATAAGGTTTTTGGGCATAAATGAAAATAACACTTAATGTATTTCGTGCTTTTGAAAAGCTTTCAGGATTTATCTTTTTAAGGAAATTTAAAGCTCAACCCAAACATTTGAAAACCAGATATGTATAATAACAGAAAAAAGTTTGGAGAATCTGATCAAAACGGACCTAAAATGATTAAAAGCCAATTTAGAAAGTCATCTAAGGTCAACTTTGCAATAGGGAGTTAAAAATCGATAATTAACGTTTTAAGCGAATTATACCTAGAATTACATTATCGGTTTGTTCTTACACCACTGTTCTAGCTATATAGGTTAGGAGGAGAGTTGAGTCCTCACAACCATTTTCGATGGTTGTGAGGACTCAACCCTCCTTCTAACCTATATAGCTAGAACAGTGGTGTAAGAACAAACCGACTCATCAGATCGTCACGTAGCACAAAAACAACTATTAAATAGATATGGTCTTTCCACACTTAAGAATCACTCAGTACGCATCTAACGGATATAGTGTAAAGACGTCAAAAACAGTCTTGAGAAAAGCATGGCATTGTGCAATGCCAAACTATTAGTACATAATATCGATAGAACGTAGGACCAAAATTTTATTAAAGTATAGCAAACCTTTAATTGTTTTTTTTTTATTTATAAAAAAAAAATCAACGTAAGTATTCTTTGTTTTTCAGAAATATTTCGTAACGATGCAATTTTTTTCTGAGGATCCAATACTTTTATTGACTTTGAACCCAAACTCTAAGTTGATTGAATGTTACCAGATTATATCCAAAAAAAAGTTAATTATAAGCTTTACTAGTGTGACAGTTGGCTGACTAATATTTGATCGATTGCTATTGCAAAGTGTTTTTGTAATCTACCATATTCTTACGACTTAATGTATCCCTAATATAGTCTTATTACATTGTTGTCATTTAAATTCAACATAGTTGAAACTAGATGTGATATATGTTCAAAAAAAAATGGAGCTGTCAATTTTTTTAAACAATGTATGAATTTTTCAATCTTTTTTTTTTTATTGATTGTTCCGTGCTTGAGGTATAGTAGCAAATATTTCAAGCGTTTTCGGGGAGAGAACAAATGTTACAATTAATACAATAAATAAGTCAAACTGGAGGAAGGCGGGAAATTTGGATTGCCAAAGCAAAAATTTGGTTAAGGTGGATAGGGTACAACATATCATTTCAACAGGTCACCTATTGAAAAATCAAGAGTTTCTGCTATGGTTCTTTAAAAAACTGCAGGGATTGCTTGGCACTCAAATTACACGAAGAAATCGGATTTAACGTTCCTATTCCAAACGAGAACATGGCTGCGTATTAATGCATCCCGCACAGACAAACGGACGTCCAATATAGCAATGTTTCACTGCCGGATGGTAGAAGTGTAGAGATGACTATATTTCTATATCCCAGTCAACCATCTCATAAACCGCTATAGACACATGATAGAAATGCTTTATTTTTGAATATTTTTATTACCGTCGTTCTTAAAACTACACATACCATGGAAAACTAATAAAGGATGATGATGATGATGATGATGATGATGATGATGATGATGATGATGATGATGATGATGATGATGATGATGATGATGATGATGATGATGATGATGATGACGATGACGATGACGACGATGATGACGACGACGACGACGACGACGACGACGATTACGATGATGATGATGATGAGTAAATTTTAACATCAGAAGTAATTTCTAATCCCCGATGTGCGTTTGAATGTGTGCATGTGATCTAAGGCTATTTTCATATTACCGACTTTTGACTCTAGATTATATAATTTTTCGACAGGTAACCTACTCTGTGGTCAGACATCCTGGTACTCGATCAAGTGAGAGCAACCAAAAGAAGTAAAATCAAACATATAATCGGTGCAATTTGGGGGAAAAGTTTACCGTTTTCTGATGATTTTGTCGTGTAAAGAAAACAGAAAACAGAAAATTTTCGCCCCGAATTTTACCAACTGTAAGCTTGGTTTTTATTTCTTTAAATTGCTCTTACTTGACCGAGTACCAGGATATCCTACCACAGAGATGGTAACCTGTCGAAACAATATAAACTCCGGAGTCAAAAGTCGGTAATATGAATATAGTCTATTGTTATAAAATGTTTGATGATAGGATCTTTATACACTGGAAGATAAATAAACTTTAATAATTATACTGATAGCAAATAAAATGTCAGTAACCTAATTTCAATGAATACATACGTCACGCATGGAATATATAAATGAATTGTTGGAGCTTTAATTCGTATGTTTGAACCTCTATTTATATATGTGTTGTTTATTATAAGAGGCAAATAGTACATTTGTGTCATGTCAGTGAGATATTGTTTAATTACTTACAAGTATGAGTTTTTCGTATGAACATCCAGTTTTAAGGTACGTTATATATATTCGTATACACAACTAGCCGTTTTATTTAATACAATCATCTTTCTTCGTCCCGTTGATGTTTAACACAACTTACATTCAATTTGTTACTTCGCAATGTTCGTATTGTTAACTCCAAGGCAAAACGACTAGCATTTTAAAGAAGCCTTTACAGTCCTTTACAAATAAAAAAAAATATTTAATTGTTAGACGTGATAGACTAAATCGCTTTTAAAAGCAATATCATAAGATTAGCCTGTCGAGAAAAATAAGTAGAACTGTACTGTAGTGCGTTTTCTTGTCAAGATCAGTATTCACAAAATACATGACGGAATTTAATAGTCAAAGTAGCAAAAAACTATAGAGAGTATGCTAATTGGAAGCAGAAACATACTAGATTTACTAATAGTAATGGACACAAAATCAGAAATGTCTGTAGAGATATTAATCTTAAATTGGCCTATCAATGTTTGGTGTGTCGTTTTCATTGATGGGTATAGCATCTATATTCAATATTATTATTATGTTTAAATTAACTCAATATGCGAGTTACGTGCTACATGTAGTTAATTTCCAACGGTCATTATTTAACCATTTAATTATGTCTATCCCAATAATGAGGGGGTATTATTGTAGGTTAGACCCCGTTAACACTTGGACATTAAGATTGAAACTAGATTGGTTTTACTTTAGATCGATTCAAGTCCAGAACGCATTGAATCGATCTAGAATCGGTCTAAAATTGCATGTTTACTGGTAGTGTGAACGCAGTGATTCACATTAGACCGAATCATAATTGAAGGTAAATTGACGCTAACTGATTTTATTTAGATCGATTCAAACAAATGCAAGTCCGCCAATGACCAACAGACAAAATGTACTCAGCTATAGATCACAGTACGGTCTTCAACAATGATCACACATTTGCTTTTTTCATAAATATTCATTTTCTTTGTGTTTAAATATTCTAAAAAATTATTTGTCAAAATCTTATATTATGATTGCCTTCGGGTCACTGAAGAAATAAAGGTTTGTAAATATGATACCAGTTTATTTTAATGAAACGATATTGATATTCTATTGCAGAAAAGAAGACTCATTTAAAGGTCAGTAAACAAAAGAACAAATATAAATGTCGTAATGAAATGAAAGCGGAAATTTGTTTCAAAATGAATAGAAATCATGTAGACATTGTAAATAGTACAGAGTCATTTCAAGAGAGGCTTAGAAAAGAACATTTCCCACGAGTCGCAACGTGTAACAAGCGATATCAGAACATTTGGTGCTGATTAAATATTGGTTGATAAAATTAAAGCCATTACATATATTTGTCATCTGAAAGTGCAAATAAAGTATAAATCATCTAATTGCTTATACCAACGTCATGTTGACGCTGTTGGATAGATGTCCCTTCGCGATCATCCAACATATCGTTATTTTATACCTCTTCAATCCTTTAAAGATTAGGTTGATTTAATTGACGAATGAAAATACTGATTTAGTTTTGCAGATATGTCATTTGCAATATCACTGGCATACAAATGTAACCATAAAGTTAACATATTTGACCTAAACTGACTGTTTTACATCGTTTTTGGTCAAATTAGATTGACGAAAGCCTTACCCCTCACCGATCGTTTAAAATTTATTCCCTTTAAGATCTTTAACAAAATATCTATTTGGTTGTGGCTTAAGCTTAATATGGAATTATTTTACTATTAAGTCATATGCAGATCGGCACTTTTTGCAGTTTTTCTTAGTATAAGAGGTTTTGAAGCCATATGAAACTTCAAATTAAAAAAACAGAATGATTTAAACACTTGAATGGTTATTTTTTACTATAAAACAAGTGTACGTGAACTTTCTTGTAAAAGAAAATCCTTTATATCACCAAAACCTTCATAAATGTACTTTCCCGTACACTAATTCGCCGATATTTTCCCGTATGTAGTGATCTGAGCTTCGAGACATCTCGTTAGAAATACGGCCACCGTACAGCGCAATCGCGAGGGGGAAAACGTGATGAAAGAATGTAATGAAACGTGCACTAGAAGGTAAACAGTAATAACTGATTCTGAAAGAGATTTAATACAACAAATCATTTAACAACGGTTAAGGAAAAGTTTAATTAACAAATGTGAACGCATGGAAGATATAAAAATAGATATCATGGCTCTATCACTTCTTTTATTTGTCGCGAGCTCCATGTTCTCTGTGTTGATTGTATCCAGTAAACTTCTGCAACATACTCGAAAATTGATTATCTCGCTATCAACGGATAAAATATTATTCGTCGATAATACGTTATAGATTCATAATGAATATAAGAATAAAGTGCATACAGGACTTAGTTATTAATATATGCATTCATTGGTTCAGTATTTTTAATAACATTGAAATTTCAAAAAAATTCGTTTGATGTATTTGAGCTTTTGATTTTGCCATTTGCTTAGGGACTTTCCGTTTAGGAATTCCTCGGAGTTCGGTATTTTTGTTATTTTACTTTTCATTTGACTTTGAGGTCTACACCAAAATTGTACGTGTAAGACAAAATGCGAAGACATAAAGACTGACACGTGACAAACAAATTACTTGTGAAATTCTGTTTTTTTTTAATTGAAATCGTCAATTTTTTTAATCCAACAAATGGCTTTATATCATATCTCTTACCTCAGGACGGAAACCATACGGTATTAGTGAACTCTAGATGTGTCAAACATCTCAGAAAAACTCACAACAGCTTAATCATTGAACTTTTACCGATTAGTACCAGTAAAGGACTAAGTAAATGTTACAATTTATAAACTCCCAGTGGCGAATATTTCATGAAAATTCAGGACTACGACAACAATTTGTCACTTGATCTTATGTGTAGATTATGCAGAGCGGACGACTGAGATAAAGGATGGAAATTTTGACTGTCACTGGAAAACATGGCTGTTTCGTAAAGGATCGTATGGGCCACATACAGACTCATCGAAAGGGGTTTGTAAGTTCCATGAGCGTGTCATTTTCCCCTCACGAGATATCGAAGTTTACGCCAAACTCCGATCGGGCGTGGCTATGTTTTCATACATATTTTAGAGGTAAAAGGATACCCGCTTCAGTCTGAATTTATTTTCAGAAGCAAAGAAGTCAGGAATTATAATATCCCAATCAGCCTTAGGGGTTTCCCATGCTGTGCAAGAAACTCATTCATAACTTTTAAAGTTAAAATGTTCGGACAGCAACGTTTAATGTTAAATTACTTCTTTTTGGTAATGAGATATTACAAAACCTTTTAAAAAGACAATAACTGTAAATTTTCAATTTTATTATCAGAAAAGAAGCCTGCATTTCAAACGCAACGAACGAATTTGACACATAAGGGTAAGCTAAAAAAAGATTTTAATGGGTGTTTATCTAAGAAAATTCCGTCATGATTCATTTTCAAAGAAATTAAAAAAAAACTCTTTTTTTTCCATTTTTCTCTCTTTTAATTTGTAAAAGTTTAATATGCAACATCTGTGACCGAATCCATTTGAATAGAACTTGACCTAAGATGCTTGTGAAATAAGATGCTTAGAGAATATACTTCAAAGACAATATAAGTGTGTTGTATTTTATATTCTAATTCTCTGTTTACTTTCTTTAAAATCTTAATTTGTGAATACGTGTCCTTTATATTTCGAAATGAATATTCACATTTAAAGCAATAGTACATAAAAATATCTTGTTGATTTTTCAATGCATTATTTGAACATTGTCAAGGATAGAACGTGCAGTTATACATGTAGCTGTTGTATTCTAAACAGAAATAAAATACGAAATTGAAATGACTCGCGATTATTGTCAACCAATCAAAGTTACGGATTCTAATGAAACATACATGTAATTTAATTATATATTAATAAAGTGCATACATTTACGTTTTTTTAAATCTTGTTTTGTAGCTACGAATCCTGAGTACAAGTATATCGAACGAGGTAATATGTTGAAATTATGATGCCATTGTAAAACTATAATCATGGTAAAAAAAATCAAAAATGAATTCTGCAACTTTTTAATTCGATAGAAAAAGAATGAGTTTGTAAACGTTTGAGAACAAGTTAAAACTGCAAATTTAAAATATTATTTTCATTAGATGCACGGAAATAAGAAACACATTGTCATAATTACTATCCTTATGGCCCTATAAATAGAAAAAAACAATGTCTTTAATGGTAAAAACAACAAAAATTGAAGTTTTTAAAATATATTTTTTTAGTTATAACAAGCACTTCGTGTACAATCTTGTATGTAATATACAATCGATTTGATAAAGGAATGTTTTATTCATTCTATTATAAATGTACATCGATAAATCGGCGACCAATGTGTCTTCGTTTATGAAACATACATGAAATCTTAGATAGAATAATTTTCAGGCATTATACAGAACGACTGAAAAGTCATAAACGTCTTATATTAAACAGAGATATTTGAATTTCACTGTCATATCCATTATTTTATCAACATGTATAGTAATGTTGTTATATATTTAAAAATGTACATTTACAACTCATGTTTCGTCATTAAACCAAATACACCTATACATTTCAGATGCAGTTAGTTATTCTGTTGCAGATAGTATAGAAGGTACAGTTTGATAAATATTTAAATAGAAAAAAATACTTATATTCTACTTTGACACGTGTGATGTTGTGATTTTTAAAAGTAAATTGGAAACAACTTATATCAGCATTTAAGGCGGTTAATCTTTGTAAATGAATTAACATTTGGTAACATTTGGGCGAAGTGCATGCAAGTTATTTGGTACAATTCACAGAGCGAAACAAATTTAAAGTAAAAACGAATTATGCATGAACAAATTGCTTAACTTTCTAAAGGTTAATACTTCTTACCAATATTGGTATTATATCTTTTTATTAAAAGTAAATATCCATGTAACACGTACAACTTTTTTTTTTTTTTTTTTTTTTTTTTTTTGCGTTCGAATGATTTTGAGAACGCTTGATATTGAGTGTAAATGAAGTATCAAATCGTTTAAGCTTACAACAAAATAACAAAAACCAACATCAATTAAAGCTCTGAATCATTTTAGTTTTGGGAAATCTGAAATACTCCTAACCCGAATATTTCAGTCCCTCCCCGTAGTCGATATTTCCTACATGAGATAAAGTAATCGTAGATCAGCGGAATATAACGACTGAATTATTCAGGAATTATATTCATGCGATATATACCTGGAGACTCCAAATGCTTAGCTGTCATATACTCCATTTTACGCTCTTTTGATACTTCTCCGGCCCGTGGTGATAAATCTAAAGACAAGCTGTTTTAAGATTATCTTATTATATAAGACTGCCATGACACGTGTTCAAATGTTAAAGAAACTTTTTTTGTTGCTACCATATTTATACAATAGTAGACAGGCAAAATTTGCATATACTTTCATACCTCAGAAATATACTGGTATAAAAAAGAAGATGTGGTATGATTGCAATGAGACAAATCTTCACAAGAGACCAAAAGACATAGAAATTAACAACTATAGGTCACCATACGGCCTTCAACACAATGAGCAAAGCTTATACCGCATAGTCAGCTATAAAAGTCCCCGAAATGACAAATGTAAAACAATTCAGACAAGAAAACGGCCTAATTTATGTACTATAGGATTAAACACATTTTTTCTAGAGGTTATTGATGTGTAAACTGGGGCGATTAACTCACAAACTGAATAATAGTCCTAAGGACTTTTATGTAAAGTTTGTGAGTAAGCGACCCAGTTTACACATCAAAAACCTCTAGAAAAATTTGTTTAATCCTATTAATTCTTAGCAAAACATTCGCAATTATTGATTACATTTTTTTCATTCATTGGATTCTATTTACTATCAAATGCACAATAGACATGTGTCGTAACTAAAGAGTTAGCCGCCATAGTGACTTTCTGAAATCCATAAATGTGCGATTAATGCAATAGAATCTAAAATGAAATTTCATACATATACCAAGCTTGAATGCATACAGTTTTTTTCTATGCATAAATAAATTATGTAATTTGTTTTTCAATGTCAATTTGCTTAGTAACCCTGGATCACATGCATGTGTATAGCGCATGAATAGATCACAGTGAAAGTAGTTTCGGCAACATGGTTTATCGAAGTGTAAACTAAGGAAAAACTTCAAAAGGATCAACCTAATTCAAGTATTTGTAGATATGCAAATCATAAAAAAATTATAAAATAATGAACGAAAAACAAATGTGTAACACAGCAACAAACGACAACCACTGAATTACAGGCTCCCATTTTGGGACAGGCACATACAGAATGCGGCGGGGTTACACATGTAGCCAGGCGCCGAGCCCTCCCCCTAACCTGGGACAGTCGTGTACATTTGTAACAGTACAACATAAGAACAAACTATAAAAATCTGTTAAAAAGGCTTAACTCATCAGATGGATACAAATAGAAATACATCTAACAAAAATACAGAGTAGACGTGGCGGGTACTTATACATCCCAACAACAAAAAGACACTCAGTACAGATCCGAGAGTGCTCGCAGTTACTGACATCTATTTCAAAGCCAATAACAACTAATAAAAAAAACATGCATCAAAGACTAAATTATCAATCAGTACACATCCAACATCCAAAGGATTTAGTGTAAAGACGTCATAAACAGTCAGAGAAAAACATGACATTGTGCAATGCCAAGATACAGGTATCGACAAATTGTAGAGCCATGAATGTGCATATATGTATATAACAATATTATTTAGTTTGCTTTTAATTTACTGATAACAAAATCAATATTTATACCAATAAAAACAATATTAAAAGATCTAATTACAGTGTTGAATTGGTAACCTTTTAGAAAAAGTTTATTTAAAGGGTCGATAAGTTTACCCGGATCGTTTCTAAATTTCCGTGCTCGGTAAACAACATTTCCGTTAAAATGAGGATGTGCTATTCCGTTTGAAATAAGTTTTCTAAGGTGCAACCAAATTTAAAAACATTGATTCAATATAAAAAGACATTCCAATTTGAAAATCTAAATTGACTATGCACTATCACGCATTATAACGAATAAAGTGTTTCATTAAAAAGCTTGTCATGTATGTTTAAAATATAAGGTATACATACATGTTTAACATAAAATATTGTCCCCAATGAAATATTGTCCGTCGGACAAAATTTCATAAAAAACATTTGTAAAATATTGACCGCGGACACTATTTCATAATGAAATACTGTCCAAGACAATATTTCATTATGAAATAGACAGTAAATAATAATAGTGTCTTTGTCCATGAAATTTTGTCATCTCCTTCCGGACAATATTTAACAATGAAATTCTGTCCATGACAATATGTCACTGTGAAATTCTATTCATGACAATATTTCGTTATGAAATATTATAGTGTTATTAACTGGCTGTTTCTGTATTGGATATAAAAAAGAAGATGGGGTATGATTGCCAATGAGACAACTCTCCACAAGAGACCAAATGACACAGAAATTAACAACTATAAGTCACCGTACGGCCTTCAACAATGAGCAAAGCCCATACCGTACAGTCAGCTATAAAAGGCCCCGAAATGACAATGGAAAACAATTCAAACGAGAAAACTAACGGCCTAATTTATGTACAAAAAATGAACGAAAAACAAATATGTAGCACATCAACAAACGACAACCACTGAATTACAGGCTCCTGACTTGGGACAGGCACATACATACAGAATGAGGCGGGGTTAAACATGTTAGTGGGATCCTAACCCTCCCCCTATAGCCTGTTATAGATTCGATGTTAGCTGTAATGGACCCGAGACTCGAAGAGTCGAGGGCCAATACAGCTGATCGAGAATCTATTACAGGGCCAATATAGAAACAGCCAGTTCATAACACTTTTATTAAATGATTTTAATTCTTTCACTGAAATAAGAAACTTACCGGAAGATACAAAAATTCATATCTGAACTTGTCTTTTTCAGTTTTTGTAATAACGATGGATTTTTTGTCAACATTGATGTGATTCATGATTTCTCGTCCAAGTACTAGTACAAAATATCAAGCCATTACAATTCATTATATCTAGCATATATAAAGTAGCTTGGAAGAATAAATCAGACATAGTATTCATCTGTGAAATATTGTCTATATGCAGACACAATTTCACAATAGAAATTTGTCCTTCTCTGGACACTTTTTCATAGATGAGGACAATATCTCATGAAGCATAGTCCTGAAATATTGTCTATGGGGACAATATTTCATAGGACAATATTTTGCTTTTCAAGTACAAGGCGGGATTAAAAAGTTTAACATAAATTATCAACAAGAGAAACATTTCACTTTTTTGGAGAGCCCAATTTCATTAAGTGAAGATATACTTTATGAAAACAATTTGGTGGTGAGTTATAACACAGGTCATCTATTTGATTATTATTTTTTTTAATCTTTCAGTTAATGAGAATAATATGAAGACTTTAAATATTCGATTTCACTTGTAGATAATGACGAGCTCCGTCTAGTTCTGTTTGGAACTAAACAAAGTGGTAAAAGCTCGACAGGAGACATGATATTAGGAGAAGCTAAATTTCCATCGCAATGATTAATAAAAAGCAACACATCGACAAATATTCTTCATAGAACAATTAGGTGTGGGAAAACAATTTAAATCGTAGAAACTCCTGGATTTAGAATCGGTGAATTGGCGAGGGAAGAAGTCAAGGTAAACGTTGTGAAAAATATCAACTCAGCAACCCAACAACTCGGAGAGGAACCTCATGCATATCTGTATATTATTTCATCAAAAGCATATTTAGATCAAGAGTCGAAAGTGATCGATCTCATATATAGAAGATTGCGAAAATTAATAGATAAAATAATTATAGTCTTTACTAGGTTTGATTTTCTGCAACTCAAGGGTTATCGCGCTTTACGTATCTTGAAAGTCTGCCAGACAAATTTAAGACTTTTGTTGCGGACTGTAATGGTGAAAGCAGCATAATATTGTTTGATAATAGCAGACCTTTTAATGAAGCTTTGGCACATACGTAAGTATCAAAACTGATCAAAATCGTCGAGACGCTAAATTAATGTATGTGTGATATACAAATTAAAATAATGAAAACTGAAACAGTTTTACTTAACTGTATTACTAATATTTTGTTTTGTTTCTGTCATATTGAAATAATAATAAATTGCAACATACTGCTCAACGAAGCGTCTTTTGTCTACTCCTTGATAGAGAACATCATCAGGTTCACCTCACGAATTACAGACAAATAGATATAAGAAGATGTGGTATGAGTGCCAATGAGACAACCATTTTCCATCCAAGTCAAAATTTATAAAAGTAAACCAGCCTATTTTAACGTGGGATTTGTCAATTGGGGTTTGCATTAAACTTTTAAAATAAAGTAATTAATGTCAAAAAGAACAAACATATTTTTTGTTTTCTAATAAACTCATTCATCATCAGGTTCACGTTCTCTGAATCTCTCTGCTTGAAGGCAAATCACACTTAAGCGTAGCGAATAAAACTTTGAAAAAAGTTTGTAATATTTGCATTAGGAAGGCTAAACACAAAAAATTGTGTTGATGGACGAAATACAAAAAATACACCCAAAATAAGTATCCGTTTTCAGGTCCACATTCCTATGAAAACCGGTTGGACATTGTTTTACAAGGATTTTTGTTTGTTTGTAATTCTATGCAACCCTAGTGAACTTGTAGCGAAAAAACAACCTGGTCTCTTACAATGGAATATGTGGGCATTCAAAACAAATTGTACCTTTTGAGCGGATAATTTGTTATGTATTTACCGTGCTTCTTGTCACCTTCTCTCCCATTTGTTTGGATAAAAAGAAGATGTTGGATATATACTTCTATGTGTCAGCCTGCTAGTAAACATTTAACACATGTATACTGCGAATGCCTTTCTTTCAGAAGAATACAAATATGCAGCTGCTAACATAATTTATTCATTAATTGTCTTTCGTTTATGTATGTGATCTTTGTTTCCGTTAACATGGTTAATTTTTTCTGCAAAACTCAGATCGTTGTTTTCTCGTTTGAATCTTATAATAATTTGCATTGTATGGGCGCTTTGTAGCCTACTAAACATTCTAAATGGATATCTCATTGATAATGGCCGTACGGTGGCCTATAGCTATACATAGTTCCTAAAATCCACGTCTTTAGTTCAATATTGAAATTCTTCAATTGCTCCTGAAGCAAGAATGAATTAACAAAATTCGAAATAAAGATTTAGTTGTTGTATGATGGGAGAGATCTTTGCCTTATAACTTATAATTAATTAAAAGTGTAACAAAAAAAAAGATAAAAAAGAAAAATGCACAGAATAACAAACAAAATAGATAAAGGTGTGAATATAATGATAACAATAGAAATTTGTTCGAAGAAACTAAAAAATACAGCAAAGTGTCTTAAAAACAATTAAGTCAATACAAAAATACCACCACACACAAATATCCAACCCTCGTACATATGTAATTTTTTGCCTCAACTTTCCACCAAGTACCAATAAAGTGATAAAAATACGAAGTTATTTAGTTGACCGTTTCTGCTATCCACAAGTTAATAATAGATATAAGTTTGTACAACAATTTATCACGTGATTATAATGCTATTATAATTATCAAATATAGTAATACATTATAAAATAGTATTATCTTAGTTAACCGTGTAGGTAAAACATTTATGCAATATTGATGTGGTCATGTAGTATTTAAATCGGAACAAATAATGTTATTAAATCAATGTAAATGAACTCTGATGAGCACAACTTCATGCATGACCTACATTTTATTATCAACAAATGAATTATGTGTATGGAATACACGTCCTACCATAATTATCGATTCTCAAAACATGGTTTTTTACTAATACTCGGATCGAAACAGGATAGAAATGCTTAAAATATTGGAATACGGAATATGTACTCATGTGTCAATAACAATAGAAACCATCTGTTGACCAGTTCTTGGAAAATGGAATGTTATAAAGTTACCATTTTAGTCACCCAAATCATTCGGCAAATATAAAAGAAGGCTTTTGGGTTTGGCTAACACGGTATATAATATCAGCAACAACAAAAATGAGAATGAATGTATTATTCTTTGCTATTTCAGTTGCTAATTTCCCACCAGGAATATTTGTTGAGAAAGTTCACGTCGCAGAGAAAAGTAAGTAGACTTTTATATTTTTTTTAAAGGAAATATATTAGCGTTCTGATGTAATTGAAAATCTGGCAATAACGGATCCGGACGCTAACCTCAATTTTTCTTTTAATAATATCATATACGTCTTTTCGAATGTGCTAATGACGAAAATGGGGTAAGATTCTAACGACCTTTTATTTAGGAAATTTTTTTTCATCAGGAGAAACAGTTTTTATCTTTATAACACTTTGATAACAAACTCAGCCCATTGCATTTAATAACAAAAATTTTTTTTTTTCATGCAATTAATGTTGTTTTTTTTTTCTAATTTTAAGAAAATTATCAGTTTTCAAAAGAAACAAAAGGATGAATATCAATTCCCTTTTGAAAAAAAAAATCTTTAAAAATTTAAGAATCAACAATTTTTGTCTTAACCAAAACAAAATGAGAGACGGAGAGATTACTATAATTGAATTTAGATAAGAATAATTTATTTTAATTTATGAATTTTCAATAATTCCATTTTTTAAACACTGTATTATCAACACCGTTTAGCTTCTTTTACAGGAACATTTTACGGAAACATAATGACAAGTTATTGATACAGCCAAAAAAAAAAATATTTCGTTAGCAATTTAGCACAAAAAATGTTCTGTTTAAATTTAGATATGTTACACACACTTTGGAAATACTGAACATTTGAATTAAATTAGCAGAGGGTCCTTGTCAGGAAAATGTTTACAAATTCCGAAGATAATTGTTAGGAATCCAATTTGGTAAACAAATCAACGTTTACAAGAAAAGTAAAGGCTAATTTTTAATTGGTAAATTATTTTGACTAGGATACAGGCACGAATAAGACTACATACATAAAGTCATTGTATATTGATTAATTTGCAGGTGTCTGTTTTCATGGAAGTGCTGCTGATTGGGTCAAACATAACTCTGAAAATGGCGCGGATACAAGTAGTTCTGGTAAGCTTTTGATTTATGCAAATGTGTTACCATTTCGGTAAGTGTCATTGACGTGAACTGAGAACAAGAATTAAAGGATTTTAAATACACACTGTTCAAGCTTTCGTGTATATTTTTCAAACCATTGCACATTAGTGTATTCAAACACGATATACATTTTCACGTTAGGGTGCTTTAATTTGATTTTACGTTTATGTTTCATCATTAATATTTTGCATTCTTCAACATTATTATCCATCGATCTGAATTTTAAGTAATAAATGAGGCTCATTGCTTTGTCTTGATACAGCAACTTTAAACTATTTACAAGGTTAAGTTCAAAGGAAAGTTCATCCCTCGTGCATAACTCTGATTCCCTGTCTGCTTTTGTATTTACTTTTTGTCCTATTTTGTCCTATTTTGGTTTTCAACTTTTGTATTAGTTTTCAAATATTTTCTGTTTGCTTTTTTTTTTGTATGATCCACCACTCTTGTATTATTGGTTTATTCATTATCTTTATAAACCGTTCAAAATCAGAATGTATACTTTTATACTTCTGTCCTTTACACAATTTCGTTGTATTTTTCAATGCAATTATAGGTCATATTTTTTTTTATTAATTGTACCATCATGTTTCATCAGGTTATTCTTTACCGTACATATACGACCACGAGGGGGGGGGGGGGGGGGGGGGGGTGAGGGGTGTGACACTGTCACTTCCTATTATTGGGTGTACGGGGATGTGCCAAAAATATGGGTCATAATTTGGCAAGATTTTATATAAAAATGACCCACCTTTTTAAAACATCCTATATTAAAATGCATTTACGTTTGATAACTGTATATTATATTGGGGTATACATGATATATAAATCATATATAAATATGCTAGTCGGAATCTTACATTATTAATGGTCAACTACTATATTAAATTAAATCAATTCAAATGAAAGTTCAACTTTCAAATAAGTTTCCAAATGAACCCCTGAATTTGTCTCCTGATTTGTATATAAGTATAGGTCATTCTTTCTTAAATATTTATATAACTGAAGGTACTGAATTTTTGTGAATGTTATATTAAAAAGGGTACTTTTTTTAAGGCAAAAATTGCTCATTCGTACCAAAAATGTTTTGAAGTAACCTCCCGTATATATGACACGTTGTTATATCTTTGAAATATCACGAAAATACATATAAAATGTTCCTTTTTCTAAGCAAGTATAATATTAAACTACCTTTTTATATATTAATACTAGAATATACCGCGACATCGCCTTCTTTTTAGCCTGGATATTAAGTATTCGTATTGTCATTTGATAATGTCATGCTTATTACATGTATAAGATGCACAGTTTTCTCTGCTTTCGAAATCATTATGTTGGAACCCGTCCTGGTTTTCACACTGCAATATAGTAGTGGTACTCCAGATAGTGGAGGGACGAATAAAGAACTACATGTGACATATACTATAATTGGTATCGGTATCGGATCTGACCCGGAACTTGTTAATTATTGGTAATATTAATTATTTTGAAAACAAAAGGACATGGAATGGTTTAATTTTTAATAAACACCATTGTCTTATATTATTTACATATAAAGTTAATTGTTTCCTGTATGCGATTGTATAATAAATTGCATGAACAATAACTCAAGTACATGTTGTCTATACAGGAAAGTCAAAACCAGCATTTTCTGCCTTGACTGCCAGAGATACTAGCTTCGAAGCCGGACAGATATATAAGTTTACTTCAATTAAATTAAATGTTCGAAGCATGTATAATCCCATCGACGGTAAAGCAACGATACCTTCCAATGGTAACTACGCAATCTCATGGCATATCCTATCTAATGGAGGATATGCTGTTTATCCATATCTGAAGGTAAATAATAAATACCAAGGCTACACTGCGTGTGATGCTAGAGGATCCAATGGAGTACGAATGTCATGTGGAAATTTGGTGGTTCTTCCATTAAAGAAAGGAGATAAGATTTGGATAGAGGAGTCGACGTCAAATACAAGTGGCCGTAAAAATGTGCAAGGTGGATTTTCGTCCTTTTCTGCATGGAAAATATGAAATAAAATCTAAAATGCTTCTTATTATTTGTTTATTTTTTCTTAATTGGTTTAAACAGATTTACAAATCAGCTTAACACAATAAACCTATTATTAAGATAAAAATGAAATGAGCTTCATTTCACTTGGATATATTTAACTCAGGTTAACATGATTAATCGTACTGTTTTCTTAATCGAATCAAACAAATGTGTTTATTCTGAATGTTCAATATGAAGATCGTTTGAAGATATTTCCTTCTGACGTAGCAAGTATATATAAACATTGGTTTTGGAATGAATTTAAGCAAAACTATAGTACATTTGTCACTCCCTCTTTATCGATCATCCGGATTATTGTTATGTGGTTTTCAAAATGTTAAGAATTACTGATATATAAATAGGAAGATGTGGCATGAGTGCCAATGAGACAACTCTCCATCCAAGTCACAATGCATATATGTATACAAAGTTAACAATTATACGTCAAAGTACGGCCTTCAACATGGAGCCTTGGCTTACACCGATCAGCAAGCTATAAAGGGCCTTAAATTGACTAGTATAAAAAAATTCAAACAGGAAAATCAACGGTCTAATCTATATGAAAAACGAGAAACGAAAAACGAGAAACACCTATGATATGCTTTTATTGTAAGCCGATTTATTATTTTGGACTAATTTCCAATATTGTTATATATGGATATAAAAGACAAGAGAAATGTACGTAAACATTTAATGAGAAGGAAACATTTTCAATAAGTGTCAATAAAATGCAACAAATGACATTTAGAGGCAAAATCCAGAAATTGAATACAGAGATGAGACTATAATTAATGTCGAGGTCTTAATAGTCCCATGTTTAAAAATGTTGTTAATAAACTAACACATGTAACAGAAGAATCAAAGTCCGATCGTTAACACCTAATTCGAAAAATAACATTTTGATATTACATACAGCATTCCTTAAATGTACAATTGTATCAGTGTTTTACGTACATGGTGAACTTACCTTTCCAATAGAACTTTGTTCATTCAAAGTTTCATGTCAAATAAAAGGGATAATACAATTTTATTACAAAAGTGTAATCAATGATCATGTTGACCCATATTTCAGTTCTTCTCAAAAGGTGAATTTTAAAAACTACCAAATAAAAATTTAGCATGAAAATATTAAAATAATGAAATCCGAAGCGAGAAGTTTATCTCTTTTTTTGTTTTTATAAGTTTTAACGTTTAAAAAGTAGATTCCAACACACCCGAATGTAAAAGGTGTACGCGACTAACTTTAAAAAAAATTTTCTATAATTTCATTCAAGATAATTTGACAGAAATTTATATCATTAATACATTTATCAAATAGTATTTTTTTAGCCTTCAACTATAGTAATGCATGGGACGAGGTTTTTGGTCCATGTACACCTAAACGTGCACTCGCAAATACATGGGTAGAAGGCATACTCCCCCCTTTCGATCGCCAAATAATTTTGAAAATCTCACGTTTTCCAAGTTATCTATACAAATGTTTAGTATATAATCGTCTAATTTTTTTCTCTCGTTGCTCCGCTCGGCAGTATAAATGCAATTATCGGGAACTATGCCCTCTTTCAAATATCTTGGATCCGGCCATAATCACAAATTGTATGGCACCAAAAAGAAATTAAACGATTGTCGTTTGACTTCACCATGTCATCATGACGTCATAAATATTTTAGAACTGACAAAAGGGTCAACACATGTTAATGTATATATCTCTTCTGTTAAATTTGTTTTCACGTAATATTCTTATTAACATTAATAACAATAATTTTGAGGGCCCGAAAAGAAACATTCAAAATAAAATTCAATTTACTATGCGTTTATATCATACGGTAGAGAACTATGTCCAATTAATCTAGAAGTTTGTTATTAAAAAACTTTGTAATTTTCGAATTCAAAGGAGGTAATATTACCTGAGTTAACTTTTGAATTATCTCAATCCAAATGAAATATAAAATCTCAATAGTTTTCATATAAAACAAATTACGTACTTAAACATATAAATCAAGTTAGTAAATGCAAGCTAATTCGATTATACAGTGAAAATATGAACTAGGCATAATAGAAACAACTGAACCTGCGTAACAAATAGTTACTAAAGATTACTTTATTTTCATGTTAATCAACCTTTAAGATTTGTGACAAAATAATCAAAACATACATGTAGTATAACAAACATAAAATGTATAAATAATAAAAATAAAGCATGACTTTTTGTATAATTACACAAAATAGTTCAGTTTATAATTCAATTGCGTACCCGCAACTATTAGTACTAATGACTATTTAATAAAGAAAATCATCGTTTCTATTTTTTTGTATTGATGCCAGTTCTATGGTTTTAAATATGAAACAGAAAAACAATCAAACACATTAAAAACACTTCAGATAACTTTGATTGTTTCGAAAACTTTTCAAAACAAGTGAGGGAGATAATATTGAATGATATAAACGAATAACGTATTGTCCTGAAATTGCTACAACTTTGATTCATATCTAGTCGTCTCTACACAGCCAGTATCAAGACTGCCGGGGTTAACGATAGATTTTAGCTGCAATTTGTTGTACTGCATTCTTTCTTTGTAAATCTGTTCAAATTCAGCATTTTGTTGCAATGTAAAATAAGATTTCCAGTCGTCTTCTGTACCTATATAAAACAACAAGATATCATATACATATATTGTTTAAATAAAAATATATGGTGTCTGAAATTTGCCTGTAGGTTTCCTTTATCAATGTTTCTCCTACAACTCTTTGTGCTTGGTAATATGTTTCATTGTACATTTTCAGTGCGGTCACTTTAGTGCAGAAAATTTGAACATGACGACACAAACATGTGAAAATAGGGTAATTAAATGGCAATATACATGTTTTGTCTGATTAAATTGGATATAAACAACACTTTACGAAAAAATCTATTTTCTGGATCTTGAACTGCTTGTATCTTTCATTTGCACCGGAATGCATTCATTTATTTAACCAATCATTTCCTTTAAACAATGCCTGTTCAATGTCAGGAGTATGACAGTTGTCCATCATTCGTTCAGTTGGTTGATATTGTCTTACGTTTGATTTTTTGTCATTTTTTATAGACTTCCCCTTTTTTTAATTTACTGTGGAGTAAAGTATTTATAATATAATACATTTTTATTAGGGGTATCTAAATGGGGAGCTTCATTCTGCTCAACTTGTAGCGTTCTGAGCAGTTAAATGTCATTCTAGTAGAAGCTTGTTGGTTGACTGGGTTTTTTTAAGCAGTGGTATTATTTGTCCTTTCTTTGTAGTTTCTAACTGCCACATTGGTATATTCTTGTCTTTTCACACTCATGGCTTCGTTTTTTATGCGAAAATTAGTGGTACGATCTTTTTGGGGAGGGCAGGGGTTTTGCTTACATCTAAGTATCGAAAAAGCAATCAGAATACGAGGTAGTATTTGTAATTTATTATAGTCCCTGCCTCCAACAAATGAACAGACTAACACACATACAACAGTCGAAAATACACTTTACATACTGCAGAGTACCCATGAAAAACCAGGATGAACTGATGTTCTCCGCAAGGATCGACAGTTCCCGCTCTATTACTCCCGTTTAAAGAGTCATATTCCTTTAAATGGCACCAGCAAAAAGGGATATTAGTTATGTATCTTATATATCTTAGCAAGTTTGAATAAATAATATATCTACATTTGTACTTAAAGTAAGTCTCTAAGTACACTGTAGTATCGATTATATTTACAACATGTATCTTATTAAGCTTTGCACAGTACATAGTACATGAAACTGATACAATAGACAACGCCATTGAATACTGCCATAACTGCATTGAATTAATTCAAAAGTTTGATAACTGTAGGGTAACCATACTGGAAACGCCAGTCTAATCCATATACCATTGGAACAAAAAAATAACAAAACAACACAAAACTCCAGACAACTTTATTACACAAGACAAAGAACTAGCAGAACAAGATGTCCTATTAAACAACAAAATCAAAGAAATAAACAGCACAATAACATTGTAACAGCCATCATGATCAAAATATAAAAAGAAGCATATCGAACCGAAACAGTCAGAGGCTATTACAACTTTCAACTTTATGCAGTTTGACCTTAAGTGTCAGGTGAGCTAACAATGCTAAACACTTATCGGTATTAAAAACAAATCAGTTTAAACTGAAAATATTGACATAAAATTCTATTTATGTCAGTTCCTACACTGTGCATACTGTTGTTAGTATAAGTTCGCACGGGAAACATACTATAAAATAATTATAAACTGACCTTTCCGATATAAAGGATATTTATTGCCTGCAAATGCGTTTCCTAAACGGAGTCCAATGGCCACCTCTTTGGATGTTTTTATTTCCGAAAACTTTGTATTTTCTGCAATGGTCATTATCATAGATTCTTTTACATCTAGCTGAAGAAATCGAGCGAGTCTTTTAAACTCATAAAATGGATTCTGCAAAAAGAAAATATATTGGACATCAGAATCAACGCAGCCATACTTTATTTTTTTCCTTACTAAATAGATTATAAGCAAATACAGCAAATGCAAACCTTTGCCTGAAACATGTTTAAGCGGGAAACACGCAAATACTGTTTTTTTTAAACACACAAGAGAAATACAAATATTTATTATTTGAATTACAATTGTATATGACAGATACTAGATATACAAGAGACAAACAACATCTAACAAGATGTCTGAGATAAGACATCTAGATGAACGGATTGCACGTATAGTCAAGGAAAACAATGCTTTTCATTTGCAAACACAAATTGAATGGAAACAGTGTTGGCCACTGAAATGTAATGTACAAAACGTATTTATTTTGATACTCCAAGTTACATAGAAATGAAAAGTAAAGGAAAGATGTCATATGGACATTAAAGCCCTGTAGTAAAGCAATAATATAAAGTATTTTCAAAGATAGACCAAGTTTTAAACATTAATATGTGATACATTATTTTAATTAATCAATTAGCATAAATATGTTGTGAAATATTTCTTTGCTTTTTTCAACTTTGGCTTTTTAATGACTGTTTCTCTATTCCTTAATACATAAAGAATACGGATTGGTTGATTTTTATGTATATGGATTTTCAAAGGCCTTATAATTGCTTCCTGGTGTATTTAATCAAACGTAGATAGTTTGCACGGTTAATAACATAAACGGTACTATTTTCTGCACCAGATGCGCATTTCGACAATCAATGTCTCTTCAGTGATGCTCGAGTTCAAAATATTAATCGTCAATAAGAATTGTTTACTGGCAGAAATTCAAATCTGAATACAATATTTATTATCGCTATTTTGTGTATTTTTTCTTTGATCTTGTTTTGTGATAATTTTTAATGTCATGCTTCTCGCTTGAGAAAGAAAATTATCGCCTGAAAATAAGGGCGTACATGCCGTTGTCAATTTAAAGATCAACGTTGTTATAGTCAAAATAGCGGTAAACAGATTACTAATGGTCTTTTAAACTCGATGTTGTTCGGTCACATCTCATCTCAGGGCTGTCGCCCTTCGATGAAATTGTAGCACAAGCAATATCCTTTCGCTTGAAAAACCATTAATAATCTATCAATATCAATATACAATTTGATTTTTATATCAGACATTTTCATGGTTATCTTATACCAAACGGACTTTTTATTTTCCTGTTGTTATTATTCTTTTTTTTAATTGTCTGGTCTTCTTGAGTAAACATGTCAGTGTTGGTTTGATTTATACATGTTTGCCAAAACGTCTAATAGATTTAAATGAACGATATCAATGAACGATTACCGTACTAATTCCAGTATTAAAAATTATCCAAATATATTTTTGTTTAAAAGATTCAAGAAGAGGTACTGGGAGCAAAGTTCATAAAGTGATACCCCCTGTTTTCAAAGTCCATGCTTTGCTAAGGGAAACCAAAATAATAATTCGAAAAAAGAGATAAAATATGAGATGAACCGGCAGTATATGGTGACGATTCAGAAAAAGTTTTAAAATTCTTATTATGAGTTTAGTAAAAGAAGCGATTAAAAATATCTAATAAAGTGTACTGAATTTTACTAATGTCACAGAGACCATTTTGGTGCGAAAGCAAATACAACACAACAAGTCGGATACAAATCTGGGACACAAGGACGGAAACCTCTTACTGTATATCGACCGCATAAAGAAACAGGATTGGGTGTATGATTTTTATTATGTCATAATGTCATAATCCTCGGTTCATAACTCCAATTATATAAATACTAAAACATACCTTTTTTGCATCTTCATAGGACAGAATATGTATGGGATTATCAGGATTGTTTTGTCTTACCCTCTCCCATAATTGTGTATGTTGAAACCAGTCGTTGAACAGAACTTAAGTAGACATGTACTATTAGTTAATAAAACAAGATATTAAACTGTAAATGTATGTTATATAGATACAATGGATAAGCGTGGATTCTTGAAAAAGAAACCATGAGCCCGGAGGGCGAATGGTTTGTTTTTCATGAATCTACGCTTATCCATTGTATCTATAACTTAAACTATTGTGTTAATTTCTTTTCAAAATTAAAGCCTTTTCTTAATTAGAAGGTATTGTAAGTGAGTTTAAATAACCATGTCATCGTGTCCAACGATGCATTGATAAATCTCAGATCACAATTAATTGGTTAACAATTAAAATACAAATATAACACTTCTACCTTTAAAGATCTTTATATTACCAGGCATAAGAATATTATCTGTTTATACAAAATAAGACATAATCGAAATTATTTCTAATAAAATTGAAAATAGAAATGGGGAACGTGTCAAAGAGACAACAACCCGACCAAAAAGCATATATAAATTAAGTATATATAATAAGTATGTTATCGAAATTTTTCTAGCACTCTAGGCACATCACGATTTTCTTGCATAGGAATTTGCGAACAAACCTTTGTAAAATTATGTAGTAAATCAGATGAAATCATACTATATTTATAAAACAAAAATTGACAAATATAATGTAATCATTTTTGTTTCAAACATGTGAAATAGCCAATAATAATTAAAAAAAACCGGTAAAACTCGCTATTATTACAAAAATATCCACTATAACATGCAAAATTAGAAACAACAACAGAATAAAATAAGAATTGGAACAACAGAGAGAATACAGGGATTCGAACCTAACCGACAAATCCCTATCTTTAACTCATTGATTTTAACCATGCTCACCTCGCGGCTACCAACTCATACTATACGACTGCCTATTGTGTCTATATAAAGGAACAAGCCCTGTGTGTCCGATGAACCGATGTATATCAGATGTTCATTTAAATATATAAAATAGACATCTATAGCGTAACCCATTGGTAGCCGAGAGGTTTCGTCGATGTGTTGATGTCAGTCACACATAACAGATTTCAAGGAAGGGTTCGACTCCCAGTGAAGGCGTATAAAAATTACAAAATTAAAGGTAAGTTTTTAAATTAATTCCATTAGTGAACAGAAATCAGTAAATTAGCCAATTCAAACTTAATGAAATTAAGCACACAAAGGAAACAATTGAATATAATTTGGTGAGTCAATTTCAGCGGCAGATTTAGGAAGCGTTGATTCTAGAAAAAGAATCCACGATAAATGAATAGGCTGACGTCACCACAATGGTTTAAGTTATATAGATACAATGGATAAGCGTGGATTCTTGAAAAAGAAACCATGAGCCCGGAGGGCGAATGGTTTGTTTTTCATGAATCTACGCTTATCTATTGTATCTATAACTTAAACTATTGTGTTAATTTCTTTTCAAAATTAACGCCTTTTCTTAATTAGAAGGTATTGGAAGTGAGTTTAAATAACCATGTTATCGTGTCCAACGATGCATTGATAATTCTCAGATCACAATTAATTGGTTAACAAAATACAAATATAACACTTCTACCTTTAAAGATCTTTATATTATCAGGCATCTGAATATTATCTGTTTTTACAAAATAAGACATATTCGAACTTATTTCTAATAAAATTGAGAACGGAAATGGGGAATGTGTCAAAGAGACAACAACCCGTCCAAAGAGTATATATAAAGTATATATAATAAGTATGTTACCGAAATTTCTAGCACTCTAGGCACATCACGATTTTCTAGCATAGGAATTTGCGAACAAATATTTGTAAAATTATGTAGTAAAACAGATGAAAATCATACTATATTTATACAACAAAAATTGACAAATAGAATATAATCATTTTTGTTTCAAACATGTGAAATATCCAATAATAATCCAAAAAATAAACGGTAAAACACGCTATTATTACTAAAATATCCACTTTAACATGCAAAATTAGAAAAAAAAACAGAATTGGGACAACAGAGATAATACAGGGATTCGAACCTAAACCGACAAATCCCTATCTTTTAACTCGTTGATTTTAAGCATGCTAACCTCGCGGCTACCAACTTATACTATACGACTGCCCATTGTGTATATATAAAGGTACAACCCCTGTGTGTCCGATGTTCATTTATATATATAAAATAGACATCTAAGTTGTAACCCATTGGTAGCCGAGAGGTTTCGTCGATGTGTTGATGTCAGTCATTCATAACAGATTTCAAGGAAGGGTTCGATTCCCAGTGAAGGCATATACAAGTTACAAAAATTAAAAGTAAGTTTTTAAATTAATTCCATTAGTGAACAGAAATCAGTAAATTAGCCAATTCAAACTTAATGAAATTAGACACACAAAGGAAACAATTGAATATAATTTGGTGAGTCCATTTCAGCGGCAGATGTAGGAAGCGTTGATTCTAGAAAAAGAATCCACGGTAAATGAATAGGCTGACGTCACCACAATGGTTTAAATTAGTTTAATTGCCTTTTTAAATACCTTATCACAGTAAGGTCAATATCTTTTCATATATAGGAAACTGCCTTTAAATCCTTAACAAGTTATTTGAATTAGTATTATACTATGCTTAAAATTATTAGTTGATATAAGAAAATCATCACGTGCAATACTGATGACGTCTCTCTGTTGAGATAGCTTTTCTGGTCATGTCAGTAGCAAATGTCCTAAATAATGTTAAAGGAAGTAAAATAACAATTTAATTTTATCTAGTGCAAATTGCCAAATTCCGAAACATCGGTAACGTTGTTTTGCTAAACTCGATGCACCCTAGAAAGAACGACGTAACCACTGTTTCTGAGTTTGGCAAATTGCTTTGTTGTTTTGTAAGTGGCAAACACAATATGTGATTCTTCCTTGCTTGTTTAGAGGGCCTCGGTTGCCTAGTGTTCTGAGTAGTCGAACTAAAGTATCACTAGCCTGTCAACACCGAAGTTGCAACTTCGAAGCCCGCACGTAGCAGGTGCGCTCGACTCCAATCTTTATTGACTATGATTATCAGTTTTCCTACCGAAGTCGGTGGCTTCCTTCACCAATAAAAACTGACCGCCACGAAATAGAACAACAGTGCTGAAAGTGGCATTCATTACCAATATATCAATCAATTAATCTTATTTGAACCTAAATCAGCCCGACATGTGCGAGACTGTTCGGAGAAAAGTTGTTGATCTACTTTCGTGATAATAAATATTGCTCATTCTGTAGCTTAAGCATGATGTTGTGTAAATTCTTTTTAACAATATTCTTTTAACGATTAAATAAGTTAGTTGTACATTTGCAGATTTGAAAAGCATAATCTTTCAAAACTACGAAAGAAATAATCGATAATTGTATATTTATAGAAGTGCATTAATTGAATTTGATGAGACTGTCGTACAAGTGAGAGGTTTAGCGCTATAAAACCAGGTTCAATCCACCATTTTCTACATTTGAAAATGCAAGTCAGGAATATGACAGTTGTTGTCCATTCGTTTGATGTGTTTTGTCATTTGATTTTGCCATGTGATTAAGGACTTTCCGATTGAATTTTCCTCGGAGTTCAGTATTTTTGTGATTTTAGTTTTTAATATTGTAACCATCGAATGTTTATATTACAATGTAATTCTTACCTTTACCGTCTAAAAATAGATTCAGATAACCAGACCAGGTACCTTTCCATTTAGTTTCTTTTAGTTTGTTAAAGAAATGAAAACTTGAAATTGCTACTGCTCTTGGGTCTCTTATAACATTAATTAGTTTGCATTTCTTTTGCCTGATTGAAACAGGAAGTTGTTCGTAATACAAATGGCTTCCGAGAACTCTTGGTGGTGGCGACTGTTGCATTTTTCTAACAGCCCCAAATTCTAAAATATATTTCGCTGGTATTTCCTTTGAAATATCCGATGTGTTATTAATTAGCATTGTCACTACTTCCCATATCCAATGGAAACCTGAAATCATAATGTATTACTCACAGGTTTTTGTTTGCTTTACGTTCCATCTATGCCGAAGACTACATGTATATCAAATAGCGAGCATAAAGGTATTAAAAAAATAATGTTTGAAACAGTAACACTTAAACATGTTAAATGTTTCTATTGTTTCTGTATAATTTACTTTTGGGCATTGTACAAAATCATGCCTTCCTGTACTGTTTATGACGTACATGTATTTGTATGAAATCTTCTATCAATACGCAGTGGTCAATATATCATACTGCTAAAATATATCACGGTATTGTACCCAATGAATTTAGTTGATATATAACTTACAGTATCTAGTAAGAAATGAACCTACTAAAGAAAATCTAATTTTATCCATTGAATCACCAAATTAAGGTCAAGTTCAGATAAATAAAGGCAACAGTAGTATACCGCTGTTCGAAACTCGTAATTCGATAGAGATAAAAACAAATCCGGTTAAAAACTAAAACTGAGGGAAACGCATCAAATATAAGAGGAGAACAACGACACAACAAAAACACAACATTAAAATGTAACACACACAGAAACGAACTATAATATAACAATGGCCATTTTCCTGACTTGGTACAGGACATTTTAAGAAAAAAATGGTGGGTTGAACCTGGTTTTGTGGCATGCCAAACCTCCCGCTTTTATGGCAACGTCAAACACAACACCAAAACGACAACATCACATGACAGGACCACAATACAAATAAATGGGAGAACATATAGGACAAAGAAACACACGAATAATAGCTTACAAAAGGTACTAGGCCTAAAATTCAATACGCCAGACGTGCGTCTCGTCCACACAAGACCAAACAGTGACGCTCAGATGAAAAAAGTTTGAAAGCCAAAACAAGTACAAAGCTGAAGAGCACCGAGGACCAAAACTTCCAAAAAGATGCGCCTAACACGGCCAGGGTTTTCTGCCTGGGACAAGAACATCCTTATTATTTAGAATAATTTATAATTTTGCAAACAGTAAATTTTATAAAATTACTATATAATAGATATACATGATAAAACCGCAGTTGGGACTAACTACAGAATAAAAACGGATACAATACATACAACAACTTAATCCTCAACGCACAAGTGACGTCACATTTGAAATTCTAAAAAAAACACACAAAGTGAGGTCACATTTGAATTTGTAAAAATATTTCCCAAAAATAAGATAGGATTAGGATTAGGATTGATTCAAGATTAGATTTGTAATACTGACATTACATTGATTAATAACAATGAAAATTACAGTACTTATTAATATCAAATTGTGGTAGTATTTAGATAATTAATTGTATTATTTAGCTATGTTGGTGTTTCTTCTCAATCAAACTGTAAACCAAATATATCGTATAAATTTCGTTGAACTAAAAACTAATAAATGAAGGGGGTGATTAATTATCTTTACCATAACACACGAATATAACAGAAAAGACGTTAAGACATTTGACAAAATCCGACGAGAATAACAAATATGACATCAAATTAAATACATGAATTTGGGATAGAAAAGTACCGTGACACGTCTTATAGCAATGCGGTTTCACACTCAGCAAAACAGTCACAATCGGGAATAAGTCACGTTTGGTAATTATAAGATCAGACGACGTAATGACAAACCACAATCTAACACGTGGTAAAAATGTCCTTAGTTAGTTTGGACAAAGACACATCGTATGGATCAACCAATTCGTGATGGTGTCCGTAAAATTTACGGAGTGTCATTTTTAATCTGTCCTTCTCATAACTTTGTTGGAGCAGTTTCTGCGTAAGGAGCACACTCCTGTGTATGAAGTCCGTATAGTGTGAACAAGCACGAGAATAACGTATCAATTGAGATATGTAAACACCATACGAAGGGGCAGAGGGTATGTTACTGCTGAGAAATGGGAAATTGATAATTGGGAAGTTGAAATCGACCGGTTTATCATAGATTTTCGTGTGAAGTCGTCCATCTGTGTCAATATTGAGGAAAAGATCAAGGTATGAAGCAGTCCTTCTAGTATCAGTAGTATCCTTAATAAATCCGACAGACGGAAATTCACTGTATACATCATAGTTTGAGCATTTATTTACTAGATCTAAAAAAAACGGACATGATCTTGAGAGTGTACATAGTGGCTGTCGTTTGTTGCTGTATATTATATTTGTTTTTCGTTCATTGTTTTGCACATAAATCAGGTTTGAATTCTTTCACAATTGTCATTTCGGGGCTTTTTATATCTGTCAATGTGGAATAAGTCTCACTCATTGTTGAGGACCGTACGGTGACCTGTCTGAATTGCAATCATACCACATCTTCTTTTTTTATGTAATGGAACAAACAAACCAAGAAAATGAGGTCAAGGTCAGACGACCCCTCTCTGGCGGACATTTTTACTTTACAATCACGATATTCTTCAATATAGCTGACCTTTTACTCACAGTATCTCTGAGAAGAAAAAAACCACAAAAGTTTGACTAAGATATGGAATCACATCTTCTTTTTTTATGTAATGGAACAAACAAACCAAGAAAATGAGGTCAAGGTCAGACGACCCCTCTCTGGCGGACATTTTTACTTTACAATCACGATATTCTTCAATATAGCTGACCTTTTACTCACAGTATCTCTGAGAAGAAAAAAACCACAAAAGTTTGACTAAGATATGTAATGAAACTAAGTGCAAATGAATGATCTTTGACACGTTTAATGCCTAAGCTTGCAATAATTATATATCCTAAATATTGGCCTATTACTGATAATTTTTGAAAAATCACGTGATGAAAACAATTTAAACGGTTTGTTCTTATTTGAATTGTTCCAATTGTACCAGATTAGGGGTAGTGTTGGGCGCTCACAAACATGTTAAATCCCGGCATATCTTTTCTGTGCATCTTCCAAGTAATTAGTCTATAAATCAGTGGTTGTCGTTGGCTGTTGCCTGTTAAATATGTTTTTCATTCCTAGTTGTAGTATAAATCAAGCCGTATGTCCGGACCTTTTATAACTAACTATATGTTGGTTTTAACTCATTGCAGAAGGTCACACAATGACCCGTAATTGTTAAACTATTTGTTTGCCCTTTTGTGTTTATGTTCTCATTAGCAAAAATACTACATATCGTTATTTTTATACGTCGTTTTTAAGCGATTGAATCGTGAACAGTGAAAATAAGTCGAGGACAACTGGTCTATTCTTAATGGAAACTAATCATTATACCACATATGGATTATACATATATGCAGCTGGTCTGCACTCTTGAGATATAAAACTTGATACAAAAAGAGCACGCCGTTGCTGGATAAGCGTCTTTATGTTTGCATCCTGCGATTTTCAGGTAACGTAATACCTCATTTCAAAGTGGTAATACAAAACACAAAAAATTCACAGTTTGGTTGAGACATGATTTTTGCGTGTAAGAAATCTTTCAAACCTGCCGTTAAACGAAATACCTGATTTCGGATATGAACAAATAATGACATCATTGTCATCGGCATCAAATGACTGCATATGTTTCCACTGTGAAGGTATATCTGGAATACTTGCTGGAAAATAACGTCCTTCATATTCTTTTACAGTTATGGATCCAGCTAAATCACTATCCGCAACAAAAGTTTTTAACATTTCTATGAAAATAAATATAACCATATTATTACAATGATTTATCTTAAGTCTTATTACATTGTCGAGAGTCATGGCAACTATAAGGCTTATAAAATAAGTTGTGGTATGATAACCAATAAGACGACCCTCACAAGTGACCAAATAACTTATGAATTAATAAATATAGATCACCGTACAGCCTTCAACAATGGAAAAAACCCATACCCAATGGTAAGCTATAAAAAGGCCCCGACATGACTTATGTTAAACAATTCAAACGAGAAAAACAAACTGCCTGATTTATGTACGAAACAATAAACGAAAAACAAAGATGATATACAGCAACAAACGACAACCACTAAATTACAAGCACCTGACTTGGGACAGACACATACAAATTGTGGATATGGCATATATGAATAGACCTGTCTTATGACATAATACATTTCTACATAGGCAAGATATTCATGTAATTGTTTTATGATTTTGTTTTATCTGAACATAATTATAGTTTATTTTATTGAAATTATAAGTAATAACACTTGCCAATGTGACAAATATCATTCACAAATCAACGGACAATGATGTAAGCAACTATAGGTCATCGTGTTGCCTTGAAAAAATAGCAAACGAAAATGAAAGAACATGGAGTAAATGTACATGGGACAAAATCGCGGACCAATACATAGAAAAATAAAAAAAATATCAAGGAACAGGGCTTTTATTCCATCTATTTTATTCTATTTAAGCCCATCTATGCCGTATACTAAGCTATAAAAGATTCCGGTATGACAAAATCCGAAACATTTCAAGAGACTTGAGGTGCCTGATTTTTGCTAAAAATAATTATGAAGAACTTAAAGCAGTATGACGGACAGTAGCCAAGAACAACCACCTATTGTATGATATACTTATTAAGAATGTGGTGAATTTCATTTTTCGTCTATTCACGGTCAAGAATTCTTTTTCCGATCAGGAATATTTCAATGAGCATTTAAAGAGTTTAAACTATAATTGCTAGCATGTTTCAAAATATCTAATTATTAGCGTATGGCTGGTCTTTTTAGCATAAGACTGTGTCCTATCCCAAGTAATACTTCATGGGTGCATGTCCATCACTGAATTTCGACATGAGAGTTGATACATGTATCCGTATTTTCCACCTGCTCCCCCTTGGAATAGAGATGTATTGGTAAAACAAACTCTTATAAGAAGCTTCTAAAAGGTCCTGGTGGGCCTGTTGTGAATAACAATTCTTACTTATCCAATGGCAGTCCAATTATCATCCCGGTCGATCCACCTTTGAAAACTTACCTATCGTATGAAATGTCAATTTGTTCTCGTCCTGAATAATTCCAACTGGACGTTACGAAAGAAGCAGGCAATTAATCTTTGAAGAGTGTTCAGTTGTATTTATGAAATCGCATTGACCAGAGAACCAGCCATTCATCTTTCGGCAGGGACGGGTGTTTTTTTTCTAGGTACACATTTATTTCGACTGTTTGACTCAAAAACAAAGTATAATTTCAATAATTAACATATAGGAACAAGGTGTTTGTTAAAAAATCGAAGTTATATTTACCCCCTCGTTTATGTCAATGGAAACTTCCCCAATTGGTCATCCAAGACCAAAGAAAGGTTTTACTTATTAAGTTGACAGCATCTGCTTTCCGCAAGTTTATATTTTTTTACATGTTATAGTTCACAACCATTTATCTCGTGATTGATTTATTTGGGTACATGTATAGTGCAACTAATTGCATATCCTGCACCTAGTATAACATTGTAATGTAGTCCTAACAATGTCCAGAAACTTAAAAAAATGTATCCAATGACATGTATAAAAGCCTAATTTTATCTAGGTGAAGTCGGTCACAAGTTTATTTATTATATATATAGATATGTGTACTTGTAAAATATCAAGTTGAACAAATTTAACTAGAAATGCATAAAGTTGGTAAATAAAATGATTTATCAGTAAAATCAATTACAAAATTGACATATAATTCATATAACGATCATTTGTAATAGTATGTGAAACAAATTATAATATAAATAACATTACCTTTTGGATAAATAAATTCACAATTACATATAGGTCATACAGTTAGGATACATAACATATAACAACATTCTATTAATAACATCACAATGATATATGGAATACCAATCGTATCAAAATTATCTACAACAACGTTTATCAGTTTACACATAAGGTATATGTGTTTGGACAACTTTACCAATAGAGTTTTTAATTCTAGCAATATACAATTTAGCAATATATAAACAATTATCTTACCTCCTATTCATTTCTAGGAATATGATTGGTTAAAAGCAACCGCGTGGAGACCGTGTATATGTCATATTAGGTAAGTAGGCGGGGCTTATTTCATTACACGGTTAGTAGTGGTGTTACGTCCCTATATAAAAACAACACGGTGTTGTGGAAAAATCTGAAAGGTTTCAACAGACAAAGAAATTGATGATGAACGATTGAAATAAATTCATAAAACACATTTAAAGCTAACAAGTTGTTAATGTTGGCATTTGTTTTTGTATAGACAAATTGAAGTACGTTCTAAATGCTAAGTATTGAAGACTTAATCACTTTGATAGGCCACTAGTCTATATACCATATGTTAAGATAGTCGATAAGATAAATTCGTTTCACAGTATGCTAGTGACCTAATACGATATATATGGGTTCAGTTAATTCCATATGATGATTCGAGATTCGCTCTCACCCCATATGGAATTTACTGACCCCATTTATATCGTATTAGGTCACTAGCACACTATGTAACTAATAATATGTATTGAACGTATTTGTTTTCCCTTATATTCTATTTATATACACAACAAATAATTAATGTCTACCATAAGTAGGTTATAATGTGGCAGAAACGTCTTAAAAATGTCATGGTTACTATAAAAATGTAAAAAATGTTCCCTATTGGAATTTTTCAAAACAATAGTAGTCTTTTTGTTAAATTTCTAATCTTCTTCAACACATGCACGTTCGTCTATTTTTGGAGGTCGGGTTAGAGTTAATGTTTCTCAATTTTTTTATTTGCTGTGTAGTGTAGTGTGAAGTCGTCCATCTGTGTCAATATTGAGGAAAAGATCAAGGTATGAAGCAGTCCTTCTAGTATCAGTAGTATCCTTAATAAATCCGACAGACGATTGTCTGATCTAGGTTTGGTCATGTTGTCTGTCTATTTTGTCTTATAGGTTATGATTGAATTTTATCACTTGACTTGACATAAAGTAATGTGATCTTTTTTACAAAAAAGATAAGTATATTTTATATACTTGGATAATTAGGTTTAACCATAAGTACGTTTACTTACTTGCTTTTGTTTATCCAATCTTCAGAAATGTGCTGCTTTTTATAATAAGTGTCTCCCCGTACTCTAATTCGTCAAAAGTTCTTTCGTATGCAGTGACCTTAAGTGTGACATCTCTTGCTAGTTTACGGCAATCACACAGCACAAGTGCGAATGGGAAACTGTGCTGAACAGTTCTAGAGCAGTTTTACATTTATAACACTGTAAGAATCAGTTCTAGGGTATCAATGTCATAATCCGTTCCAGAGTACAACTTTTTAGATCTGTTTACGAGTAGAACTGTCAGAATAAGTTCTAGGGTAGAACTGTCCGAATCCATTCGTTAATAAGACCAGTTCTCTGATTGTCATTTAGAATAAGGACATTTAGCTGGATTTTTCCAGTCTATCATATTTTAGTCAAACAAGATTAAATACTAAGAATAAGAACAGTCTTTGATGTATGTTTTAGTTCTGTTATTTCTCCATGTTTATCATTTATTTTAAATCAAAAATCATTTTGATTGTATACAATGTAATGCTTAAACAGTGAGGAAATACACTTCTGACATTTCTGCCATTATTATTACACATACAAGTAATATAGTATTTAGGAAGACAATTATACAGGTCACGGATATCTTATTTAAATATGTTAAATAATTGGAATGTGCACTACTTGTAAATTTTGTTAATTATACTGTGTCAATATTTTTCTTGGGGAGTGTTTTTATATCCGAGTTAATACATATACCTGAAATTACATAATCTTATGAAATGATCCATATGTATGACTTTTGAATTATCTCAGTCCAAAAGGTTTAATACTAGTATTATTGTGTAAATTTGTAGCATGCGCTTATATTAACAACAGCTCATAAAGCTAAAGGACAGAAAAAAAGACAATATCAATAATAAGCATGTAAAGTAACAACGATGTATTTTGTTTGAAATGATATAAAAAAAAGAAAAGAAAAAGAAAAGAAAAGAAATAGATCAATAAATAAATGAAAAAAATAAACAAATTCATAAAAAGAGTAAGAAAGGTAATAAAAAATGAAATAAAATAACATAAAATAGATATTAAATAGATTTGAAAAAAAAACTAAATAAAAAGCTAGAGCTGTCTGAGACTGTTCTAGAAATGTTGCTATTAGGATCTGTTCTAATCGCGAACGGCCTAAACTGTTCTAGGGTAGTACAGTAAAACTCTGTTATAGGCCAGAACTGTCAAAACTTTTCTAGGTTAGAACTGTCCCAAACTGTTCTATGGTCTACAGAAACAAAACAAAAAATAATTTGTGCAGTGACTTTTGTTTTGCTTTGTTTGACGGTTTGTCTTTTACCTTTGGCAATGAGAGTGTCTATCTTTGTTTTGTAGTTTTTTATTTCCTCATTGGTGTCTTACTACCTTCTGGTCATTGAATGACAACATCATGCATATGTTTTATAAAAAAAACTTGTGAAAAATTCTGAGTGGGAATTAAGTGCTGTTGCTCATATCTTAGTACGAATTGGCAAACAGACAATTAAACAGCGTTTTCACTTAACATGTTTATTAACATAAATTATACAAATTGGTTTTTCCGTTTGAATGGTTTTACACTAGTAATTTGTTGGGGCCCTTTATAGCTTGCTGTTCGGTGTGAGCCAATGCTCCGTGTTGAAGGCCGTACCTTGACCTATAATGGTTTACTTTTATAAATTGTAACTTGGATGGAGAGTAGTCTCATTGGCACTCATACCACATTTTCCTATATCTATTTGAGAGTCAAAAAAGAAACATTTCTAATATAATTCAATTTGCTATGCGTTTATATCTTACGGTCGGGAATTATGTCCAGTTAAATTATAAGTATGTTATTTAAAAACTTTATAAATTTTGAATTCAAAGGAGCAATTATTACCTGAGTTGACTTTTGAATTATCTCAGTCCAAAAGGAAATTAAGTATTGTGAGCCATTGATTTTTTTTTTTTTTTTTTTGGTTTTACAAAATCTAGCGTAACAGAAACGAATTCAGAGTTGAAAACATTAGGCATAATATCACAGTTACAAGAATTAAACTACGATCTTCCATTATCTTATAAGGGCATTAATCTGAAAACCGTGTTTACCTCCAAACATATATTTGATATGTATTAGTCTTAATGTTGTCGAATTCAAACAGAAATTGAGATGTTTGTTGTAAATAGACATGTACATGTGTTTTGTTTTACCAAATTAAAAAAAAAAACATATACAAAATTGGTTCATATAAAACCATGAATAGAAGAGAAACTACACATGCCCTGACAAAAAGAAACAGACGAACAGACATACACCAGTCAAATATACACTACACAGAAATCTTATTATCTGACCTCCTATTTACTTCTAGGAATTACACTGGTTAAAAGCAAACACGTGGAGACCCTGTTTATTTTATATAGGGCTAGTGGGTGTGTTTTATTTTAATATACGGTAAGTAGTGGTGTTACGTCCCTTTATAAAAACAACACGGCGTTGAGGAAAAATCTGAAACGTTTCGCCGGACAACAGATGAAGAATTTGAAGCCAGTGACCTAACACTATGTCCCTTATTAGGTCACTAGTACAATGTGTAACGGCATGTAATAATATTGAGTAGGATAGTCCCCATCAAAAACTGTGGTGAACTGATATAATCCAGAATAACCAACAGTCCCCGATGGATGACCAGTTAAAATGAGTCATATCCGCCTATAGGGCATCATAAAAAAGAAAGATAGCCAAAATATGAAATATCATACTTTTCATATAATACAAATCATTTACTTAAACATATTATTCAAGTTAGTAAATTCAAGCAAATAAGATTCTACAGTAAAATTATGAAGTAGGCAAAATAGTAAACAACTGAACATATGTAACAAATCGTGACTTAATATTGCTTTATTTTCATGTTAGTCAACCTTTAAGATATGTGACAAAGTAAACAAAACATAGCATAACAAACATGTATAAATGATAAGAATAAAGCATCTATAATTAAACAAAATAGTTCAGTTTATAATTCAATCGCGTCCCCTTAACTTTTAGTACTAACGACTGTTTCATATATAAATTGCTTTCTATCTTTTTATATTGATGCCAGTTTAATGGTTTTAGATATGAAACAGAAAAACAATCAAACCTATCAGAAACACTTCAGATAACTCTGATTGTTTTGGAACATTTCAACATTTCAAAATAAGTAAGGGAGATAATAATGAATGATATAAACAAATAATGTATTGTCCTTCAATTGCTACAACTTTGATTCATATTTAGTCGTCTCTACACAGCCAGTATCAAGACTGCCGGGGTTGACGATAGATTTTAGCTGCAATTTGTTGTACTGCATTCTTTCTTTGTAAATCTGTTCAAATTCAGCATTTTGTTGCAATGTAAAATAAGTTTTCCAGTCGTCCTCTATACCTATATAAAACAACAAGATATAAAATACATATTTATGTTAAAATAAAAATATATGATGTCTGAAATTTGCCTATGGTCTGCCTTATCAATGTTTCTACCACAAAACTTTATACTTATTAATATTTCTCATTGTTAGATGAAAGGGATAATACATGGTCATTTAAGTGCACAAATGTAATAATTATGTAACAGTGACGACATAAACATATAAAAATTGAAAATGGTGAGTTGCATCTGGTTTTATAGCTAGCTATACCTCCCACTTGTATGACATTTTTGTATATATAAAAATAAGAAGATGTAGCATGATTGCCAATGAAACAACTTTTCACAATAGATTAAATGACATAGATATTAACAACTATAGATCACCGTACGGCTTTCAACAATGAGCAAAGCCCATACCGCATAGTCTGTTATAAAAGGCCCCGAAATGACAAATGTAACACAATTCAAACGAGAAAACTAACGGCCTAATTTATGTACAAAATTATGAACGAAAAACCAATTTGTTATACAGCAACAAACGACAACCACTGAATTACAGGCTCCTGACTTGGGGCAGCCACATACAGTTATAGTTAATATAGTTCTGTAATATTTACAAAACTTGGTGAGCAATCCAAACATCATACGTAAATGTGACAATAATTTGGATCCAGCAGCAAAAACCAAGTAAAATATAAAAATAGGTCAACAAAAACAAAACCAACACTATAGAAACCTCTTGCGTCCGAATCGCTATTCTGGCATCGTTTCACAAAACTTCGTACCAAAAATCTTAAATCTTCCGTCGGTCGTATGTTTAAACGTAAGATTTTGACCGTTTCATAAAAAATCGAAAGTAAGATTTTTTCGTAGATTCGATCGTAAACTTACGAGTCGTAAAAGGTAGTAGTAAGTCGAATCGTAGTGGTTTCATATGTTGACATTTTGTTAAAATCAACAACTTGTCATTATCAACAGAAAAAGTAAAATAACAAAAATACCGACATGACCGAGCTCCAAAGAAAATTTAATTTCCACGGAATAAATAAGAATACATGTACCCATGTTATTTTGTCCCAATCAAGAGTTACTGAAAATTTAAACTCCTGAGAAAATCGTAAATTTACCATTCCTAAAAATACAGGCCTTTTGAGTTTATTTTAAGTGAACTAGAAGCAGCACCTAGCTTCCAAAAGTCCCCTTAATTGACCATTGAAAATAGAAGTGATCGAGTTTGATCAACTCTAGAGGGACATCCTCTTTTAATTAAGGAAGATTGGTACATTCCTTGCATTTTTGAATCACTGAATATTCCCAAAAAATAAAACACGAAACTTTTATTTACTAGTTCTTCAGTCGTATGTCATACGCAGTATACACCCAGCTTGTGGAGTTCTACACGGTGATTTTGAAGGTAATAATGAATAAATACGCCAAGCTAAAAATACAGTCATCCTCATTGAATGCATGGCCTGGTGAATGAAAATGAAACTGATTAAATCAAGCAATTCATGCAAAAATCCATAAGGAGAAAAAAGCTCTCAAAAGTACATTAAAAGTGCAACAGATGATTTATCAAGGCAACCCCTTATGTCCCGCCGCTATGTTTTAGTAGTAAAAATATCAGCTCGAACTAGTATCAATTTCGCTATTGCTCATGTTTATTTTCCCCTCTAAAAAGTACTGAAATGTTTTTTTTATTAGTCGAATAATATGTATATTACTCGTGATATACTGTACATTAAGTGAAACACTTTTTTTAACCGACATCAGGCCATAATTGCGTGTATGCCGAAAATCCAATGTACATGTATACATGTATACATAATTAAGTGACGCGCATCTGTGGTAGGAGACATGATAAATAACAGCAAATAAAAAATAACAGAAAACAGAATATTTGTTTTCGTGCGATAGATTATTTTCCCTCGAAATACTTTTCTGTTCCCTCGATTTATCCATTTAGGTATTCCCTGTAAATACATCTGACTTCGTCAAAAATATATTCGATATATAAAATTCCATTAATTACAATGTTAAGACGGTCCCTAGCATCGTCGATCACGGTACATCTATGAATAAAAGAAAACAGTATATATAGGTTGATTATATCAACAAATACTCCCATAAATGCTCAGCAATTTCATCGCAAACAATAGAGTTATAGTAAAGTATAAAGTCATAAAGATATTAGTTAAATATTTTTGCAGGAAACTGTATGATTGATTGATGTTCCGTGTTGAACATACAGTTGCAATATTTCATGCATACGAAAACAAAATGAATCGATTCTGCAGATTTGTCGGCAAGTAACAATTTCTCTTTTTAAAAAGTGTGTGTTGGAAAGGGCAGAACATTTTCATTGCAACAGGCCATCAACAGACCTCTAATAGCGATATTACAAGTATTCGTTAACGCGCTGAGAGTATGGCATTCGCCTGCACGGGGCATCGGATTTAACGTTTCCACTTCGACCGGACGTGGCTGCGTATTTATACATCCAGTACATCCGAACTGACTCCAGCAAGGTTTTACTTCATGACGAGACCAGACAGTACAATATTTGTTTCTACCAGTCAATTCATTGGGCTGAAATAATAAGTAATGAAGGAATTGATCGGTTGGACATGTTGTTTGCATAACATGCCTGGTGACAAATAGGTTCAAAGAGAGAAAGTTAAGTAGTCGTGAAAGTACAAAAGTATACACCTCATGAATGGGAAAACATTTTACAGGCTCCATCTAACAGAGAACAAAAAATGGAAATACCGGTTGTATGAAAAAATATATAATGTATGGCATGGATGTTTGAGCTCATTAAACAAATATAATGATGAGCGATTAAAAGCATAAAAGCAAAGGATATATTTTATTCCACGACAGACTCTTGAAGTTTAATGCGTTAATTTGATTGATTGATTGATTGCTCATGTATAACGCCACTTTCATTATTTTGTGCTACATCGTGGCCGCCAATTGTTATTGATAGGGGCAGTCGAAGTGCCCGAGGAGTACCACCGAATTTTAGCAGGAAAACTGGCAATCCTAGTCACTGAATGGTCGGAGTCCGGCGACTGCGCCTGCTAAGAGCGGGGTTCGAATTAACCACCTCACGACAGTGTTAACATGCTAGTGATCGCTGTAGTTGACTTACTTATACAACTCGGACACCGAGGTCCCCATTCTTTGTAAAATTATGAGAATTACTTGTTTGCCTATAGTAGTGGTTGTTGATAATATTGAAATGTGTTTCCTATCTTTGACATTTTCTTTCGAGTTAATTATATTTACAACATGCATCTACATGTATCCGTTATGATTCCAAGTATTTCAAAATTAAGATATAAAAACGTTTGCCGTTGCTTCTGGAAAAGTTTAGTTGCTTTGGATCATTTACAACAATTCTGCCTAATAGTATGCACCTAATTTTGTGTTACACTTAGAGAGCATATAGATTATAAATGTCCTGTTCACCCGGTAGCATCTGTAATAAATTCAAGCTGAACATTAATATAAAAATTAGGAGATGTGGTATGATTGCCAATGAGACAACTATCAACCAAAGTTCAAATGGAGTGGATGTTAGTAATTATAGGCAACCGTACGGCCTTCAACAATTAGAAAAACCCATATTCATTAATTTAATCACCCCCATTATGTTGCTCCGAGCAAATATATATATAAAAAACATGTCACCATTTTTCGAAGGTTACAAGATATCAAATTCATTGATAGTGGCGGTGGGGCCATAAACGGTTCTTAACATCAGTTGTCCTAATGATTGCAAGGGTCCGTTTTCAAAGAAATAGGAAAAGTCAGTTATAGCGTGTATAATAATAAATTTTTGGTTTAAGTTACTCTGCGATTACATCAAAATGAAACTGTGTACGCATGTTCATTATGTAGAGAACGGTTTAACATAATGCTATGCAAACTTCACATTGATATGTAATAGTGCTAGCGGGAATTGCTGTCCTATGGAATATTTTCTTTGCACAGATTCTGGTTAATGTATCGCTTTTTAATTATTTAAGATTAATGTTTTCGAACACAAAATGCTGGTTATTTGAGGGTCAGAATGGGGTTTACAGAATAGAGAATATAGGACTTGTATTACAGAAAAAACCGACCCCATATATATAGAACAGGAAAAATAGGACAAAATAATATAGAATACAGATTAATCAGGTGAAGTAATATAAAGAATAAAGAATACTTTGCAAAATTAATAAAGAAAAAAGAAAAAAATGGTTTAAAAATTAAAGAATACAGAATTAAAGGAAACCCTCCTCGGACCCTATAATATTATTGATATTTTAATCTATAGTTACTAAACTCACGACCGTAGTGCACTCGTTAAGAAATTGAGGCAAACGGGGTCTGGGTGATGTGGCCCCAGTGAGATTTAAGATACACCCTAATAGATACACAAATCAGTAATTTCAAATTGATTTTTGTCATTTATGTGAATGAGAAATTTTGGGGAACTCTAACCCCAAGATACAAAAAAAATATGTACAAATGTATGCTTGATAATTTAATATCTCCTGACGAACATTATATTCTAGGGTACAATAGAAGCAGATGCATAGTATTAACAATATGCGACGAAATGAACTTCTAGAGCTACATATCATGTTAATGCATAGATATTTCACTTTCTTAGCGTTGTCTAGACCGAATAATCTGTCTCTTGTGTGTTTATATTTGTCATTCCATATTTCCTTTTAATCATCTAGACTTGAGTTTATATATAAACAAAACCCAACTGATAAACAGGGTGTATGAAATGACAAATAGGAAAACAGAAACTAGATGCTTAATGAAATTTCTACCACTTCATAATTAACCTTTGATGAGAGGCGAGGGATACCAAAGGGACATTCAAACTCGTCGAAAATAAACTGACAACGTCATGACTAAAAAAGAAAACAGAAAAACAGGAAAGCAACAGTACACAAAACACAACATAGAAAACAAAAGACTGAGCAACACGAACCCCATCAAAAACTGAGAGTGATCTCAGGTGCTGAGGAAAGGTAAGCAGATCCTGTTCCACATGTGGCACTCGTGATATGTATAATTTCACTCACACAATTAAGAAGTTCATTTTGATTTGGTTTAATAAAGACCGAAGTCCTTTTGTCATTCTTAATCATGACAAATATCAAAAACAGATCCAGCTTGTAAAAAAACCCATCTTGAGGCAATTCTCCTAATAAAACCAAAAACGATCAAATAACTGAAAAAAATAGACTGGACACTTACCTCTCAAAACCTTTTCACCATACCAAAAAACCTGACGAAAATTTTAAAATACGATTTTGAAAGCTGACCTGAGAATAATCTGTGATTTATATTTTATTCGGGTTTTAAAAGAAAGATTCTTTTAGACATTGACGTGCCTGTGTAAGAGAGTACATTTATTTCCTTGTAATCGTAAGTTTACGTTTCGAACACCATTGCAAAACACTCGAGGTGAAATCTTACGAAATTCGTAAGTATATACGTAAACGTAAATCGTTCGATCTTTAGCGAAACGCTAGCCTGGATCCACACCTGGAACGCCCAAATCCAAAAACCAAAATCAATGTAAATGTTGTGTCTTGTTAAATTGAATATGAACAACAAACGGTTTATGAAAAAATATAATAAATGGACTTGGAACTGCTTGTATACTTCTTTGCATCGTAGTTCACTAAGTTTTGAGGGATAACATTATGGGAGGGGTCATGCTGCTTAACTGGTAATGTTCTAAGCAGTGAATTGTATACTGTTGTTGGAATATTTTGTTTTCTTTTGGCAACGGTGTTTACTGTCATCCCTTTGTAGTTTCTTATTGCCGCTTTGGAACATTTTCCTGCTTTTGACACTTGTATCTTCATTTTTTATGAGAAAAAGACAGATCTCTTTTCGTGGGGATAAAAATGTTGCTTACATCTGAGTATTGATGAGAGCAATTAGAATATGAGGCAGTATTTAAGTTAATAATAGCCCATGTCCTGATCATCGAAACAGACACAGTCAAACAAAAACAGCCCACAATACACTACACAGAAATCTAAATATTGAGTAGCAGAGTCTCCATCAAAAATTGGAATGAACTGATGTTCTGCGAACGATTCAACAGTTCCTCCCATTAAAAGAGTCATATCCCTTTGTATAACATCATTTAAAAGGGAATTAGTGAATTCATTGTATCTATCTTATCAAAAGTGAAATAAACAACAATTCAATACACTGTATGTCCATTTGAACCCTAAGCATTGGTACTATCTAAAGTAGTTATCTTGCCAAAATATCTGCTGCTGACTTTCAGTAAGGTTCCAAAGGGAATTTTTTAACGCCACTGCCGCCATGTATATTCCCCAATCAAAATTGAATCAGTACAATTTGTTGAGAGGCTTTCAAATATTATTCACTTGCCGTTTCAAAAAAAAATGTCTCAAAGTTGAAAGGAAATGCTAATTTTCTAATTTTCCAAAACCAAATCAAATATTGCCTGTGACGGCCTGGTTTTTATTCTGATTTTAATAAGATATACATAATTTTTAAATATTTGGTTTACATTGGTTAAAAGATTCCATAGAAGTGAATGAAAATATGAAAGATTAACTGAAAAGAGACGAATGGCCAATTGAGATAATAATGCTAAGTGCTTATCGGAGTTAACAAACCAGTACATGCAGTACAAACTGAAATTGTGTTTAAATGTTTGACACATTCTGGCTTCGCAAATCCTTTATATGAAACTGTTCATGTCCGTTCCTACACTGTTCGTACTGTTGTCAGCATAAGTGTCTCGAGAAATATACTATAAAATAATCATAAACTGACCTTTCCTGTATAAAGGATATTCATTGTCTGTAAAAACGTTCCCCATACGTTGTCTAATAGCCGCATCTTTAGAAGTTTTCATATTCAAAAACTTTGTTTTTTCTGCAATGGTCCTAATTGTAGAGTCTTGTACATCTAGCTGAAGAAATCGAGCGAGTCTTTTAAATTCATAAAATGGATCCTGCAAAAAGAAAATGTATTGGACATCAAGACACCAGAATCAACACAGCATTGCTTTTTTCATATATCTTACTAAATAGGTTCAAAGCAAATAAAGCAAATGAGAACGTTTTGCCGTAAACATAAGAAAGTTGGATACACAAAAACACTAAGAAACACACAAAAGAAATAAAATCTTTTATATTTGAATAACAATTATTGATTGTAGATAGTCAGCAACTCAGCTACGAAATCAAACTCCGAAACAGTGGTAACGTCCTCCTTGCTACGCTACGTGATAGTTTAGCAAAGCAACGTCACCACTGTTTCGGAGTTTGCTACTAAATATAATTATGAACATTTCTATAGAGTCGTGTAAAACATATAGGAGAACAATTTGCCTACGCCTAATCGGTTTCCCTCTATTTATGTGTTGTTGTTTTATTGGCGTTTAACCTGAGGTGGGACATCAAGATAAACAGATTGCACGCATAGTAATGGAAAACAATCATTGGCAGTTGCAAACACAGAATATATAAGAACAGCGTTGATCACTAAAAGATAATGTACAAAAAGTGTTTATTTTGTCATTGAAATTACATAGAAATAAAAAGTAAAGGAAAGATGTAATATGGACACTGAAACCATGTAGTAGAAACAATAACATAATGTCTAATCAAAGAAAGACCATGTTTTAAAAATTAATATGTGCTATATTATTTTAATTAATCAATTAGCATAACTATGCTATGAAATAGTCCCTTTTTATTTTATTTGTTTGGGGCTTTTGAATGAGTTTTACATATTTTAAAAAATTAAGATTCATCTTACTGACAGAAAATCAAATCGGATTTTAATATATAATATCAACATACAATTTTATTTTGATATCAGACTTTTTCATGATAATCTTATACCAAAAGTAATGATGATAATTTTCCTACTGTTATTAGTCTTTTTCTTAATCTTTTTGGTTTTCTTGAGTAAACATGTCTGTGTTTGTTTGATTTTTACATGTTTGCAAACACGTCTCGCAGATTTCAATGAATGATGACCGTACTACATCCAGTATTAGAAATGTAAAACGGATCCAACTATACTTTAGTTTAACCCATTTAATTATAGGTACTGGGGCCAAATTTATAAAATGATACCTTATTTGCAAAGTTCATGATTTGATTATGGAAACCAAAATGATAATTTGGCAAAAAACGATAAGATATGATATGGACATGGCATTACATGGTGACGATTCAGAGAAAGTTTGCTGTTCCTATTATGGGTTTAGTATAAGTAGCGATCATTGCAAATGTCTACTTTGTTACTGATGGGACAGAGACAATTGTATGCGATAGCAAACACAACTAGTCCGATACAAAAGGTGGACACAAGGACAGAAACATCTTACTGTATACTGACACTGTAAAAATACGGGATTGAGGGGGGAGGGGGGGGGGGGGTGGGGGGGTGGGGGCGATAGTTATCATAATATCATAGTATCATAATCCTTGGTTCATATCTCCAGTTACATAAAATTACCAAAACATACCTTTTTTGCGTCTTCATAGAACAGAACATGTATGGGATTATCAGGATTGTTTTGTCTTACCCTCTCCCAGAATTGTGTATGTTGAAACCAGTCGTTGAACAAAACTGAAGTAGATATGTATTATCAGTCATTAAGGATGTATTCATGTCAGGTTTAGGACTTTAGTCAGATGTAAGAACTCATTGTGTTTTACCTACGATACTGCGTAAAATATTTTGCCCCATATCACCCACTTTTCTTTTCATAGAAGACTTCTATAACTCTTAGAAGGTCATTACCAAAATTTAAGATTCTTGATTTCCTTTCTCACGATTTGAGAAGCAAATAATGCCAATACTAAATATAAGGTAAAAACATAAACGGTACCAATTTTTCTGCACCAGATGCGAATTTCGACAATCAATGTCTCTTCAGTGATGCTCCAAGTCAAAATATTTGAAAATCCAAAGCTTATTTAAAAGATGAAGAGCTATAAGCCAAAAAGAACAAAAAAGTATAGCCAAAGCCGGGCAGGGAATCAGAGCTTTGCATGAGGGAGATACATTCCTTAATTTTAAATAATTTCAAACATTTTGTAACAGGAAATTTCGATAACACTAAATCCGTATTTTCATGCCAGTACCGAAGTATTGGCTACTGGGCTGGTGATACCCTCGGGGACTATCAGTCCACCAGCAGAGGCATCGACCCAGTGGTAGTAAAAACATAAACGGTACCAATTTTTCTGCACCAGATGCCCAAGTCAGCCTTTTACCGCCAATTGAAAAAAATCATCAACCTCGAAAAGGAATTTCATAATATATCAATATTTCAGTTTAATTTGTTCCTTAACTAATGCTTATGATTAATTATCAATTCTAAATTCCAGATTTTTTAAATTTCATCTGACTATTTTCTTAAAAGAAAAAGTTTTTTTCGACAAAGACATTTGGTTGACTTTTTAAATTGTCGATTTATTGATTAATTATTGTTTAACGGCACTTTCAGCACTGTTATCTATATAGTGTCGGCCAGTTTTAATTGATAGGTAGCAGCCATGGTGACTTGAGAAAATCAACGAACGTCAGCAGGAAATCTGGCTTTCGTTGTCAAATAAAATCGGAATCGAACCGATCTGCCATTTGAATTACCTTATTACAATAAAGTAAATATTTTGTTTATGGTTTGAAACTGCCTTTAAATCCCAAGCACGTACTAGTAAGTTGAATAGATATGTCTTTTATGAAATGATGTGAAAAGTAAAATAACAAAAATACCGAACTCCAAGGATAATTCAAAACGGAAAGTCCTTTATCAAATGGTAAAATCAAACGCTCAAACACTTCAAACGAATGGAAAAAAACTGTCATATTCCTGACTTGGTACAGGCATTTTCGTATGTGGGAAATGGAAGATTAAACCTGGTTTTATAGCTAGCTAAACCTCTCACTTGCATGACAGTCATAATGAATTTATATTGCATGTTGATATTAATACAGCTATTGAGCTCACTGATAACTGATGTAGCAATTTACAGTAACAATGTTACAAGAAGTAAAAAGAACAATCATCTTTTCAGTGGGTTTTTTCTTCATGTCTATGACGATTTAATAAGCTATTTGTACATTTGTGTACGCGTACAGTATAAATTTTCAAAGCTACGAAAGAAAAAAAAATAAGTATATATTAATAAAAAGGCATTCATATTGCAACTGTAGAATGTTTATATTACAATTGAATTCTTACCTTTACCATTTAAAAATAGATTTAGATAACCAGCCCAGCTACCAGTCCATTTACTTTCTTTTATTTTGGTAAAGAAATGAAAACCCGAAACTGCTATTGCTCTTGGGTCTCTTATAACATTGATTATTTTGCAGTTCTTTAGTCTGATTGAAACAGGAAGTTGTTCATAATACAAATGGCTTCCTAACACTCTTGGTGGTGGTAACTGTTCCACTTTTCTAACCCCAGCTTCCAAAATATATTTAGCTGGAAAATCCTTTGAAATATTTGATGTGTTATTAACTAGCATTGTCACTACTTCCCATATCCAATGGAAACCTAAAATCGTGATGTATAAATTGGATCATTCCATTTAATATCAGAAAAGGGAGGGTTTTTTTTTCTGAAGGGTATCAAAGTCATTTCTCAGGGGAACTAATTGGCTCATAATATAAGTGAGAGGTACCCATTTTTTGTGTTTCTGAGGGGTATTTTTTTGTCTAAATATGTAAAAATGAGGGATTGGTGGCTAGATTTGATATCTGAGGGGTTTTTATCCAAGCATCCGAGGGATTGAAATCTGTCTGAGAATTTTCTTAAGAGGGTCTTTGACAAGGTACTCATCCCCCCTTTTGTTATAGAAACTAAATGGAATGGCCCATCAATGACAGATTGGTTTTTCTTTCTTACGTCCCATCAATGCAGAAGACTATATCACATCGAGAGCATAAGGGTATTAAAAACAATAAAACCAATAAAGTGTGAAGCCATAATACAAACATGTTTCTTTTGTTTTTGTATAATTTTGTTTTGGACATTGTACAAGATCGTGCCTTTCTTTCCTGTTTATGGCGTAATGTTCTATGAATACTCAGTGGTCGATATATCATAGTGCTTAACTACAATACCATTGACTTTTTTTTTTGCCCCTTCTATGACGGTATTGTAGCCAATTTATTTAGTTGATATATAATAACTTACAGTATCTAAGAAACGGACCTATTCAAGAAAACTTCATTTTAACCTATTGAATCATCAAATTTAGGTCAAGGTCAGATAAATCCGTCAGACGAAAATGTATTGCATATATAGAATATTGTTGACATTTTAGTTAAAAGATTTTAGAAACGAACGTTATCTTGACAGTATAATGTTGACAAACTAACCATGAAAATAAGGTCAAGGTCAATTGAACCTTATTTGGCGGACATGTTTACCTTAAATCATTTTATACACCAAGGAACATGTTAAAACCCGGCACATCGTTTATGTCCATCTTCCAAGCTTCAGTGGTTGTCGTTGGCTGCTGCTTGTTAAATATGTTTTTCATTTCTCGTTGTAGTATAAATCAAGCCGCTGGTATTCTCTCATATTTTGTCATGTCGGAACCATTTATAACATACTATATGGTAGGGGTATAAATCATTGATGAAGGTTGTACAATGACCTGTAATTGTTTAACTATTTGTCTTCGGTCTTTATAAATAGTTATCTCATAAACACAAAATCACCACATATCCTTATTTTTGTTTATCCTCGTTGCTGGAAAAGCGTCCCTATGTTTGCATTCTACGATTTTCAGGTAACTAAGTACCTCATTTCAAAATGGTGATACAAGTCAAATAATTCACAACTTCGTAGAAACAAGAATTTTGCCTGAAAGAAATCGTACAAACCTGATTTCGGATATGAACAAATGATGACATCATTGTCATCGGCATCAAATGACTGCATATGTTTCAACTGTGAAGGTATGTCTGAAACACTTGCTGGAAAATAACGTCCTTCATATTCTTTTACAGTTATGGATCCAGCTAAATCACCATCCGCAACAAATGTTTTTAACATTCTATAAAAGTAAAAATAACTATTTAATTACAATAGTGTATCTTAAGGGCATACAATACAGTTACAGGGGAGGTAATGACGTTGCTAACGTAAATTGTTATTTTCGCGACGTCAAACTGTGACTTATCGGGAACAGATGCAGTTTTCGACTGATTTTTATCATTCAAACTGATTTAACTTGAAAACGAGTTCATGGACCCTTCTTTTTTAAAATGACATTTGGTTTGATTACGTATGAAGATTATGTGTACCAATTTTCATGAAAACGTCAATAGTGCAATTTTTTTTAATTTGATAAATATACAGCAAAAAACGACGTTTTTTTCCTACAATCATGAACATTTGATAAATATGAGTTATTTGTAAAAATATAATGTACAAATTTATAGAACATTTATATAAAACAGAAATTACAAATAATTTAACAAAAAACAGCTTGTGTTTATCTTTTAAAACAAAAAAGTTCTGTGTTTTTGTCGAAAGGAAAAATACGTCAACAAATCTTAATTTTGAGCAAATATCTGAAATTTTGACCTCATTTTACTCAAAAAGTAGCACATGACGGTATATTTTTTATTACATATTTGATTTAATCAGGTGAAAAATAGCCAATATGCAAATTTTCATCAAAATTTCATTATGGGATCAAAACTGTATCGTGAGCCCTTAAGTCTAATAAGGGTTATAACAATAAGAAGATGTGGTATGATTGCCAATAAGACAACTCTCTCCAGAGACCCAATAACGTAGAAGTTAACAAATATACAGCATCGTGCGGCCTTCAATAATGGGCAAATCCATACCCAATAGTAAGATATAAAGGGCACGAAATGACAAATGTAAAACAATTCAAACAAGATACCAAACGCCTGGTGTATGTACGAAATAATAAACGAAAGATGATATATAGTGTTAACAATTTAGTTCAGTAGTTTAGTTATTAAGTTTAGTTTTTAGTTCTATGTGTATGTATCTTTGTATTTACAGTTTGTAACTTGGTGGGTTTAGATTAAAGTTGTACAGAGAACATTTTAGTCAATTAGAGCCATTTAACAGTGGTAGCAGAGCTCACAACATCCGGTGAGATGGCGACTGCTCTGAGTCATAAGAACCCACAAAGTTTGACAACAGAGAAATCATACCAGCGATGGAAGAACGAAGTGAAGATGTGGCAACTGGTTACAGAATTGGACAAGAAGAGAGGCCTAGCACTTGCGTTGTCTTTACAAGGAAAACCAAGAGGAGTAGTGTTAGAAATGACACCAGAGAATCTGAATGTTGATGAAGGAGTTGACAAATTAATAACAGAATTAGATAAATTGTTTGAAAAGGACAAGATAGATCAAGCTTATGCAGCATATACAGCTTCACAGGGAGTCTTCAATAAAAATGTGTGACTATATAATTTAGTTTGAACAGAAGTATAACAAGTGCAAGAAATATAACATGGCACTTCATGATGCAATATTAGCATTTAGGACTTGGTCAAAGTGACAGGCATTTCGCTTTAACGACATGTTCTGATTTAAAATTTAATACCATGAAGGCAGCCCTTAATAGAATATTTGCATCTAAATCACAGAGTGATAATGATATAGTTACTGTAAAAGAAGAATCTGCATATGTAGGAGAACATCTGTTTGATAGAGGGCGTAGTTCAAGGAGATTTGGTGCACGCAATCGCATAGAAAGATAATTTAATCAAAGAAATGCACAATCCAGACTGAATCCAACTATAAATGGCAGCATATCTCGTTGTAGATGTTGTGATTCAAAATATCACTGGTTTAGGGATTGTCCACAAAAAACATGTAAAACATATGATGTTAAAATGATAAATACAGAGGAACAAACAGACACATCTGAAACTGTAAACATAACTCTGATTACAACTTCATACTAAAACATTACACCTCAAGAAATGTTTGTAGCTGATGCATTTAATGCTGGAGTTGTAGATACAGCATGGACCAAAACAGTTTGCGGGTCTACATGGTTACATCAATTTTAAGACACTTTTGACACTGAAAATAAAGAAATAAAAAGCAAGGAAAGTCATACAGCTTTCAAATTTGGTGATGGTCAAACAGTGTATTCTTATCAGTCTGTAAAGTTACCAGCCACAATTGGATCTCTAAATTGTTACATAGAAACAGAAGTAGTTGATTGCGAAATACCTCTATTATTGAGCAAAGATTCTTTGGAAAGAGCGCAAACAGTTCTTGATCTCCATAATGATAAAGTGACTATGTTTGGAAAACCAGATGATGTTCATTTCACTTCAAATGGTCATAATTGCAAAAACATTAAAGAAAAAAGAAATAGACAGAAAAATACTGCAGTGAGTGAGGAGGAAATCCTTAAGGTTGATTCTAGATTCTCTAAGAAAAGAAAGAGGGATATTATATCAAAACTGCATACACAATTTGGTCATGCCTCATCTGAAAAGTTGCAAAGGCAATAGTGAATGATGTTTGCTCAAAATGCATTGCCTGTTTCAAGTTTCAACGTCAAAAGCCAAAGCCAGTGGTGGCATTTTCCCATGCAAATGATTTTAACCAAATTGCTGCTATGGATGTACATGAAATTGATCACAATTTCTACTATTTGCACATAATTGACTTGTTTAGCCGTTTAAGTGCAGCAGCCATAAGACTAACAGTTAGTTGTTGACAAATTCATGCAGATGCATGGGTTAGTGTATATGGTGCTCCTGAAGTTGGAGTATACACTGACAATGGCGGGGAATTCAAGTCTCAATTTTTTCGTGATCTGGCTGAAAATCTAAACATGTCAGTTACATGTAAGACCAGGATAATTCCCTAGTCAAATGAAATTGTAGAACGACATAATGCAACTCTAACTGAAACAGTTAATAAAATCAGAGAAATTTCCAATCTATCTTGGGAAACTGCTATTTGCTGGGCTGTGAATGCCAAAAATAGTCTTGTAAATGTGTATGAATATAGTCCTTATCAGATTGTGTTTGGGAGACATCCTAACTTGTCAACAACATTAGTGAATAAACCTCCAGCTCTGGAAGGAAAAACAATGAGTAAAACAATGGGAAAACACTTAGTTGGTCTTCACGAGGCAAGGAAAGCATTTGTAGCATCAGAATCCTAAAAACAATTAGACGTGCTCTTCGAAATCAGGTTAGTCCTTCAGGTGAGAAATTCAGAAATGGAGATAAAGTATACTTTCTTAGAGAACATCAATGAAATGGACCAGGTACAGTTATTGGACAGGACAATGTTGTTGTGTTTATAAGGTATGGGGGAACGTATCTAAGAGTGCATGAATGTAGGACAAAATGAAAAGAAAAACAAACTGCAGGAAAAGAGGGCAACATTGAATGAAAGTCTGAAAACTCAAAACTTTGTCAAGAATAAGGCTGAACATGAAGACCTTTGTTATGATAGTGATGATGAGGAACACTCACATGTAAACAATAAGTCAGTCAATGAAAGTGACAATGGAGCAGAAGAAGGACATGAATCTGAATTGGAAAGTCAGGCAGATGTCTCAGAATTAGACAGTGATAATCCGATGAATAATCAAGGGCATGCATCTGGAGAAGTAGGTTAATCAGGAGCTGACTCTGAACTGGAATATGATAATCCTACAAATCAAAGGCATGGAATTACTCTGGATCATGAAAATACTCCAGTGAGCAAACAGAGCAACGAGCAAGAAACTCCTATAGGGTCAGTAGAAGTGTTGAATCAAAAAGTAATAAGGCTACATTTTAAAAAAGGACCAAAAAGTGAACTTTAAAATACCAGATGATGATAATCCACGAGAAGGAGTTGTTCTGAGTAGAGCTGGTAAAGCATCTTAAAATACTAGGAATTGGTACAATGTAGAATATAGGAAACCAGAAGACCTTAGAGGTAACAAAATGTCCATAGACTTAAGTACGGTTGATGAATTGGAAGTTCTAAAGTCTGACACGGATCAGGATATAGAGGATGACGAGGAATCAGAAGAAGCATTCTTCAATGAGATTGACTTTTGTGATGCTCGTCAAGCTGAACTTGATAATTTGAAGAGACATAATGTTTATAAAAAAGTTGAAGACTTTGGTCAGTCATACGTATCCAGTAGATGGGTATATACTATAAAAAAAAAAGGCAGATAATGAAATACACCGGAAAGCAAGACTCGATGCAAAAGGTTTCGAAGAAGATTGTTTGGATAAAATACAGAAGAACTCTCCTACTTGTGACAAACAATCTCTTAGACTCATTCTAACAATGATAATGCAAAAGAAATGGTTGATCAATTCCATAGACATTTAAACTGCTTTTCTACAAGGAGAGAAAAAACAAAGAAAAGCTCATCCAAGGAAGTTTATGCTAATGGCAAAATCTGGCTTTTAGAGAAATGTGTTATGGTCTTGCAGATGCCCCTTTTTTAAATGGTATGGAAAGGTTAAGAAAACCATTAAAGAATGTGGAGGTACTGATCTAAAGTCGATCCAGCAGTATTTTACTGGCACGATTCCAATGGTCTGGTTGGGGTACGAGCAGTTCATATTGATGATTTTATGTGGGCAGGAACCAATTTGTTTGAAACTGAGGTTATATTGAAAATAAGAGAGGAATTAATTGTCGGAAAAGAAGCTGCAGAATCTTTCAAATATTTAGGACTGGGTCTAAGCCATGCTGATGATAAAATTATACTGAGTCAGACAGATTATGTTGAAGTGTTAAACACATTATCAATAGATAGAAAAGGGTATGGGATTCTCAGCTTTTGTCAGTCGAACAAACTGTTCTAAGATGAAAAGTAGAACAACTGCTGTTGCTTGCAAAACAAAATCGTCATGACATTGCTTTTGACATCGCTATGATTGCATCAAAGTTAAAGACAAGCACTATTGAAGACCTGAAAAGAGTGAACAAGCTATTAAGGAAAGTTAGAAATGATCCAGTGTCCCTTCATTTCAAGGAACTTGGAGAACATGTTGAACTGTTATTATATACTGATGCTTCTTTCGGAAATCTTTCAGATTGGGGAAAGTCAAGGAGGGTTTGTGATTATGGTACTTTGAGAAAATGGGAAAATCAACCCAGTTACATGGCAATCTAAGAAAATTAGCAAAGTCGTTAGAAGTACACTACCTAGCGAAACACTAGCTTTAGCAGATGATATTGATTGTGCTACATCACTAGCTACTTTGTATAATGAGCTAATTTTCAATAAATGTACTTCAGATGGAGGTATTCCAGTTCGATGTGTGATTGACAATAAGGACCTTTTTGAGGCCGTACATTCAAGGAAAAATGTATCTGAATAAAAAAAGGCAACAGTAGTATACCGATGTTCAAAAGTCATAAATCGATTGACAGAAACCAAATCCGGGTTACAAACTACAACCGAGGGAATCACACCAACTATATGAGGAAAACAAAGGAACAACAAACATAAAACTATTTGAACAAAGAAAAAATAAAATGGCATATAGACACCCTATAAACCAAGTACATAAGAAAAAATGAAAGACAAGAATACAAAAATGTCGATAGCACAATAACACACGGGATGTAGAAATACCAAGCCACGCCAAAAGTATATTACCAAAAATGGACTAAACAATAAAGGTTAAAAATATACAAAGACAAATAAAAAGAACGTTCACCTTAACACGTAATTAAGATGATAAACCACGTCAGTGCCTAGAATCTATACATCAAGACCATTATGACAGTTTATGCTTTCCCTACATCATATTTTATACATTTATCACGTGATTAATTTGTTTTTTATATAATAGTGAAACTAATCGCATATCATTAACCAGTTTAATATTGTAATGTAGTCTTAACTATTTTGCAGACAACTTAAAAAAACAATTAGCCACTGATATGTACAAGCGGTGAAGTCGGTCACGAGTGTATTTATTAAATATATATGTGTGTACTCGTGTTAAAATATCAAGTTCACAAAATTAGAAATTTAAACAGTTGGTAAATATAATATTTTATCAAATGCAGTATTGTCATACAATTCATATAACGATTGTTTGTAATAGTTTATGATACATATGATATGAATAACATTACCTTTTGGATAAATGACCTTGCAATTATATACAGATAGCATAATACATAGTACATAACCCAATTCTATTATTTACTTCACAATAATATATGGAAAACCAATCGTATCATAATGATCTACAACAACGCTCACTCATAAAATATCTGTGTTTCGACGACTCTACCAATACGGTTTTTAATTCTAGTAGTATACAATGTTCGTAATATTATTCAATTATTGACTTTTGATGAGGTTGAAAAATCATTGTATCAACTGAAATCAAAGGTCAACAATTGTTTTATCATATGACTTTTTATCCGTTTCCAATTTTCTAGTATTTGCTCAAGATCATTTTAAAACTGCCTCCTCTTTTTAACTAACTATATCATCTGTTTTTGCAGTTGCTTTTTCTCATAAGTTAAAATATTCAATAAAGTTTACTAAATAAATACACCGAAAAGAAGAAGAGAAAGAATACACCGAAAACAATGAGAAAAATATATGACGTCATAAACCTACGTCATTGACGTTGTCTTGGAATATCTATATTTAGGTACACGGACGATGTTCCAAATCTTATATAAACCTCTCGTGATTGTTGCCACGGTGAATACAATGTTTAATCAAAGAGGATTTCATATGCTTTTAGCCAATGAGAAAACAGAACATTTATAGTCATATAATAAATAAAAAAATACTAATTTTACGTATTAGTCTTCCTTTTTATCTATGATTTATTTACGGCTATTATCTCGGATATTTGCCGGTCTTGACGCAAACTAGCGAACCATTGTCATGATTGTAGTGACAATTATCCCGTAAACAATTAAAAAGTAGGAGGTATAACTAAAGACCACAATTTCACATAAGAGAAACGCATATTTTTCGAGCTAGCGAAAAATTATATCGACCCAGCGAACAATTGAGCAATGAGAATACATACAACCAACAAAAACGAGAAAAAAAAATAATTTAAAACAAAAGGGATACCATATTTAATATATAAACAAAACAAAGCTTTTTTCTCCGAACTAAATAAATCCATGTTAAGCTTCAATAGACAGCTGGATTACAAAAATCATAGGTTAACAAACTGATACAATACATGTATAATGCGATTTGGTGAGGGGAGGGAACTCTTCGTTGATCTTTTGACCAATTTATACAGATTGTGATGGACAACGACTTCAAAGGTGATGTAGGGGAAACATTACCCACAAAACACAAAAACATTCCTACAATGTTCCAGTAATGTTTTGATTTTGTTCAGAGAACGTTATAAAATAACGTTCCTAGGACGTGGACTCCCAGTTGGGTTCCCATTGGTTCCAGGAACATCGTGAAAAATTTTCCGGAACATTAAAATAACGTTCCAGTATGGTTATAATAACGTTTCTACTGGGATGTTGTGAAATTGTTCTGCAGTAATGTTTCTGGAACGTTACAATAATGTTCCAGGATGGTTATGATAATGTTCCTACTTGGATGTTGTAAGAACGTTCAATAGTAACATACTTAATATGTTATATGGATGTTGGTAAAACATAACCTGCTCAGATCTTTCATTCATTCTGTAAAACATACTGCATATTATACATCCTGAAACCTCTCTATTGTCCCTTCATAAAAATTCTGCTACATGTACATAGAATAAAGAATCGAAACATGGAATGGGTCAAGCTTCATGAGACAACAACCGAAGCAAATGTACAAAACAACTCCACCAATGGGTAGTATTTCAAGCACCTCAATAACAAAAATGTAAGAAAAGCAAATTATTGCAGATTTCATAACTAATATTATCATGGATCCAATGTTTTAATTCGATAGATACTGCTTTAAATACCAAATTTCAAGTAAATATAGATACGGTTATTTCTCCTCCTTAACCTCAAAATTTGTGTTTTTAAACAAGGACTGTATTACTGTTTCATTGGCAACTACACTACATCCCTTTTCTTTCATTGAATTCAGGAGTAAAATTACTGTTATCAAAATTATTTTGAAAAAATCTCTTCGACAGAAATACTCATCAATTGTGTCTTGGATTTATGGCATTTAATGAAAATATAGTAATAGAATATTAAGTTTTATATACATTCAAATATAAAACATATTAGATAAAAAAATGTCTTCTCCTATAAGGGCTGTTGGTGTGTAGTCACTTGGGATGGTGGTGTGTTATCAACTGGAGCAGGTTTCTGAAAACAAACATTCATATAATTATCCACAAGTTTTTAGAAAGCAGAAGTCTATTGGTCCAGGCTTATTAAAATGATAAGACCGAAAATACACGTATATTTTTTTAAATTGTCTGTCTAGCCATGTTGATTGAAAAACAATTTACATTAAAAAAATTGAGCAGTTGATACTGCCATATATATAAGATTTGTTTACCATTGATCTGAATAAATGATTTATTCAAAACCATCAATAATACCATTTCATTCCTTACATTAACTATTAGAATTTATAACTGAAGTGTCTGCAATATCAAGAGATTTTTACTTTTTTAAAGATTGATAAATAATATCATACCTTGTACTTTAATCCACCTGCTTGGTGTGGTGCATGTCTCAGGAAATCGGACAAAGCCTCATCTATTTCAGATTCTTTCCCATTACTATGTACTACAATACAGGACTCTGTAATGAAAATAATGTATTTTAGTTTTTAAATTTGTTTTATATAAAATCCTACCAATCTAAAGTAACTTAAAATAAATACAAATATAACAATATAAAACAAATAGACATAACCATGACATACTTGTACTATCAAATAACCTTGAATTTAAAAAAAAACATTATCCTGTAAAACGGATGTATATTGTGTGATAGGATATCTCTCTAGAATAAAACAAAATAATAGTCTTAGTAGTAAATGGCATTATTTTTTTCAGAAGAATCAAGATATTATATTGATGTAAGTTTTTTGCATGATTACAGAACTATTGACAAAACTTAATAACAGAAAAATTGTACACAGGTAATGAAAACTACCTACTAGTAATAATCTTGTAGACTGGCTCTGCCATAGTGGACTTTTTTTGTTCTTGCCCTTCAAACTGAAAAGAGACCACAGGGAGTTGCTCCCTATACGTCTCATTATTCTTCTCAGGGTATCACTAATATTGCTACATCCTAAGGCTCCCAGACAACGTACCTGAAAAAACATAATGATTTGTGAACATCAACAAAAAAATATAAAAATATTATCATCAAAAGGTAATCACTCCAGTATCATATTCAAAAATATTCTTTTTGCTTTTTCTTGAAATTAATACTCCTTTTTAGCTTTATCAGTATAATATAGCTTATCGGTAATAAAAGTTTATTGAAAAGAAAAAAATATGTCCTTGATATTGAAAATGTAAAACATTCATTTAACAAAGAATGGAATAAAGGAAACATTTGCCAATTCCAAGATAATTGTTAAGTATTTCCCAGATTTTCACCAAATACAGAACAGAAATACCAATGAAACTTTTAGCTTGGATATTTTTCTGCATAAATTCACAGTAATAAGAAGAGTGGTCTTACCAGTTTGTTGGAGAAATCCCTGTCTTCCAGAAATCTGGCAGATAGCTCTGCCAGCTGAACTTCTGTTTTCACAGGATTTGATATTAAATCATCAAGATCTAAATCTCCATTAGCAGATGTTGATGGTTGGCCACTGATTAGTCTTCTCAACATTTGAGAGTGCTCCAGAAGAGTCCTCTCTATTCTAGCCAGCCCCATTGTTACTTTGTCTTCAAAACCCATAATAATATATAATGGAAAGAAATAACCTTTATGATCAATACCCTTCAGATCAGTTTTGTCAAACAGTTTGTATGAGTTAAACTTTATAAAACATGAATGGAGAATGTGTCAATGGGACACAATCATATAAATTAATCAAGGGACATAACTCACGAACTGTTACTTGTCCTAGCAGTAGGGCCATAAAAACAAGGACTGTTATAAAACAAAATGTATACAACACATATGCCAATTCTATTTTTCAAGTTCCAGAATTGAAAAAGCATCATTCTCACTATTTTCTAAGTAAAAATTATTTAGAGACACAAATAAATCGAGCTAGCCGTTTTGGTTGGTAAAAAATTATCCAGAAAACACTTCTATTTTTATAATTATTGCATTCTTTCAAGCACATCGTTTAGGACAAATTCCGGAATAGGTTATGTGTGAAAATCTGAAGTTAGGGTAAAAAACTGACATTGAAAAAATGAGATTAGGGGGGTTGGGTCACTTTAAGTTGATTTTGCACTAATTTATAGAGATTTTGACGTGCAACGACAATACATATTGGGGGGGGGGGGGGGGGACATTTGCGCATTGTTTAGTTGATTTTGGACTAATTTATAGAGGTTGTGACTGGCAACGACAAGAAAGGTGACGTAGGAGTGACATTGACGTATTGTTTAAGAAAAAATCCAAAAAAGTGTATGTTCGAAAATCTGAAGTTAGGGTAAAAAAAACTGAAATAGACAAAACGATAATAAAGGGAGGTGTACCTCAAGTTGATTTTAGACCAATGTATAAAGCTTATTGTGACGGGTTATGTTAGTAGTACTTGGCTTCTGAAAGACAGATATTTCTTACAAGACTTTAAACATGGGTTGAAAATTGGCATTTAGAAAGGTGATACATGTACATTTCATGATATACCTGGTTTCTATGAAGTTGAACTTAAGGTAAAATATTAAGAAAGCTGTGAAAATTGCAAAATTTGGTTGAATAGATAGGAATTTTCAATTGGCGCTCTGACACCTTTAAAACGAAAAGCGGTGAAAAAAAAATCAGAAAACAATTGATTTTTTTGTCTTAACTGATCATTTGAAATGCAAGTAGCCACATTTCAACCTTTTCTGGCAAAATGTCACATATTGCAAAATAAGAGCCTTTAACCTGAATTTTTGCTATGTGTAGCTTTGCCTTCCCTTACAATGTGCATTCACATACAAAAATGTCTGAAATTGTAATGAATGCACAGTAAGTTGTTTCTATGGTATCAAACATTAAAACATAGGTTGTTTACTACCAAAAAAAAATTGTCGTCATGAAGATTTCATGAAATTATTTGATTTTTACCCATTATTTCATTGTGTCATTCCATGTATTTGACATATAGCTCAGCCTAATGAAAACACTGCATACACTCACCTTAATCCTATAAAATGTCTCCGATGAAAGTTTTCCACCTTAAATTTTATTGACTGATAGTAAATGAAAATTGTTTCATAACCATAACTGCATTCTTGATCAATTAACAGTCCATTACTTAAACCTGATGAAAAAAAATATTCCATGACATTTCGGTGCCTTTGATTTTTTACTAAACCCATTGTAAAAATTGTGGAAAGTCTTTAAAGCAGTAGGACAAGCAAGGAAAAATCAACCAAAATTGATCTTGATATTGAAAGTTTATGTTCGTATAGTCTGAAATTAAATTTTCAAGTATTTTCTATTAAGGTTATACATTACAGCCAGTTTAAATTAAGCTGTGAATTTTGCAATATAAGTCGCATTATGCTGTAAAGAAAACAGAAAACAGAAAATTTTCGCCCCAAATTTTACCGATTGTAAGCTTGGTTTTTATTTCTTTACGTTGCTCTTACTTGACCGAGTACCAGGATGTCCCACCACAGAAATGGTAACCTGTCGAAAAAATATTAACTCCGGAGTCAAAAGTCGGTAATATGAATACAGTCTATTGTTATAAAATGTTTGATGATAGAATCTTTATACACTGGAAGATAAATAAACTTTAATAATTATACTGATAGCAAATCAAATGTCAATAACCAAATTTTAATAAATACATACGTCACGCATGGAATATATAAATGAATTGTTGGAGCTTTAATTCGTATGTTTGAACCTCTATTTGTATTAGTGTTGTTTATTATAAGAGGCTAATAGTATATTTGTGTCATGTTAGTGAGATATTGTTTAATTACTTACAAGTATGAGTTTTTCGTATGAACATCCAGTTTTAAGGTAAGTTATATAATATGCATGTACACAACTAGCCGTTTTATTGAATACAATTAACTTTTGTCGTCCCGTTGATGTTTAAAAAAATTTACATTGTTACTTCTCAATGTTCGTATTGTAAACTCCAAGTCATAACGACTAGCATTCTAAAGAAGCCTTTACAAATAAAAAAATATATATTAATAGTTCATATACTAAATTGTTTTTAAAAGAAATATCATAAGATTAGCTTGCCGCGAAAAAAGGAGAACTGTACTGTAGTGCGTTTTCTTGTCAAGATCAGTATTCACAAAATACATGACGGAATTTAATAGTCGAAGTACAAACAAAAAGAGAGTATATTCATTTGAAGCAGAGACATACTTGGGTAACTAATAGACACAAAATAGGAATTTCTTTATTAAGCTAGTATACTCTTTGTCTGTAGGGATATTAGTCTTAAAGTGGCCTATTAATGTTTAATGTGTTGTTTTCATTGATGAGTATGGCATCTATATGCAACACTGTTATTAGTATTATGTTAAAATTTACTCATTAGGTTGCTACACGTAGTAAATTTCCAACAATTTATGACGTAATGCATTATTTAACCATTATTAGGCATATATCTATTCCAATAATGTGGGGGTATAATTGTCAATTAGACCCCGTTCAAACTTGGACATTTAGATCGATGTAAACTAGATCGGTTCACTTTAGATCGATTGAAGTCCAATGTGAACGCTTTGAATCTATTTTGAATCGGTCTAAACTAAAACATCAAAAAGAGGTAGTTTAGTTTGAATCGATATAATGTGAATCTATCTAAGCTTTTAAAAATATGAACACAAAGATTGATCTAAACTAGTACGATTGAATCGAAAATAAATTTTTCGCATGTATGGCGGCAAAACTACATAACTGTGCATTTTTTTACAAAATCTTTAAGAACAGCAGTATTAACATTTGAACTTGTAATTCTAGTTAACAAATATTAGTAATTTCATCCGTTATTGTTTAGCAAGCATGTGCTACACAATTCGCGAGAAATTAACACCTATTTCTATTTATACACAGTATTTATAATTTCACGGGTAATACGGTCAGATCGAATGTATATTTACTTGTAGTGTGAATGCAGTGATTCAGATAAGAGATCATTATATATTTAGGATCGGAGATAATGTGACCGCTAACTGATTTTATTTAGATCGATTCAAATTTATATCGAGTCCACCAATGACCAACGGACAAAATGTTAACAGCTATAATAGATCACAGTAAGATTTTCAACAGTGAGCATAATTATTTTCTTTTTCATTAATGTTTATTTTCTTTTTGTTAAACATTCAAAAAATATAGTTATCAAGATCATTTATCACATGTATGAACACCTCTCCATTATTGTAGAAATAAAGGTTTAAAATAGAAACCGGTTTATGTTAATAAAACAATGTTCATATTCTATTTCAGAAAAGAAGACATGCTCAAAGGTCAGTAAACAAAGTAGAATATATATAGCTGTAAAAAAGCAATGAAAGCGGAAACATATTTCAATATGAATGGAATATAGTCATGTAGACATTGTAAATAGTATATAGTCATTTCAACATGTTCAAGAGAGGGTTACGAAAGTATTTCCCACGAGACGCAACGTTTCACAAGCGACACCAGAACATTAGGTGTTGATTAAATATTGGTATATTAAATTAAAGTCATTATTCGGCTCCCGAAAGTGCAAAGAAAGTATACAATCATTTATTTGCTCAAACCCACGTCATTTTGACGCTGTTTAATACATTTTTTTTGTAATTGTCTCATTGGCAATCATACCACATCTCCTTATTCTATACCTCTTCAATGGTTTTAAAATAAAGTTAATATAATTGATAAATGAAAATGATTTTTTAGTTTGATCAGTGATTTTCAGAAATGTCATTTGCAATATCACTGTATTGTCGTATTCATGTAACTATTAACATATTTGACCTAAATTGAGCATGTTACATAGTTTTTTGTCAAACGAAATTGACTAAAGCCTTTACCCTAAACAAATTTTTTATACCCATTAAGACCTTATAACAAAATATTTATTTGGCATAAAGCAACCAATAATCAATCAATCAATCAATCTATTTGGCTATAACTTTTGCTTATTATGGTAATATTTTACAATTAGGCTACATGTAGTTCGGCACTTTTTGCAGTTTTTATTATTATAAGAGGTTTAAAGGCCTAAACTTAAACTGTATATGCAAGACAAAATGCAAAGATATAAAGACTGGCACCTGATAGATAATTTTCTTGTGAAATTCTGAAAATTTCTATTTGAACTTAATAATTTTTTATATAAACAACTGCTTTATCATATCTTTTTGCGGTATAGACATTTATATATCAACGTCAGATAAACGTCTGAAAATATCTTAAACAGCAGTAAGAGGAATTTCGCAAAAATTAGTATTTATCCTAAACAAGTACTACGTAAACTGTTAACCTAAACTATTTTGGAAAAAATAACGCTATGAATTATCTTTCGGCTACAAATTATTTCAATTTGGTTATCTTTGATGCAAATTCTGCCAAAATTGCCTTCAATAGCAACATGTAGCGCTAAATGTTCTGTTGGTAAGTGTTTGATTATAGACTTTTCAATGGATTTAACGACTTTAAGATTTTCACCCTGTGAGTGAAACAAATAAAGGAATTGACCCTACTCTTTTAAGATTTAAAAAAGAGCGAGACCCGGTGCGTAAACAGGGTTTCTAATCTAACACATTCATTAATCAAGGATGCTGGTTATTGATCTCATTTTAAGTTGGGGTACACTTTATGCTTACAGGGGGAAAAAACCGAATGTAAATTTTTTTTTTCTACAATCTTGCTATGTTTTCTTCTCAAGACCTCTCAATGCATCCTGCGCATTTTAATTAAAATGTAAATATTCTGATGAATTTTCTGTTTAGAGTATGCAAATAAATGTATAGTTTTTCTTGACTAGAACTAAATATAATCGACCAGACTGAACAGCTTGATTAGCCGAATTGAGATAAATACAGTCATAAATAGCTCTGCCACCAAAAGTAAACTAAAGCGAATAGTAGAAACTGTTTAAGGTCAATTTTGCCTGAAAAAAGTTGCAATGATATTTTGTTAAAATTTACAAAATGCATAAGCTGAGTTTTGTTTTATAATTGAAAGAACGAAACATCCCCATTGCCAAGTATTGACTGATGGGCGGATAATATACTCTCGTAAGATAACATTCAACCAGCAACGACGGTCATATATATAAGTGTTACATATAAAAAAAAAACGATGAACATTTATGTTTAGTTGATAACTATTTGTGTAACCTCCAGCAGCAAGATTTTCATTCAAATTCTAGACAAGAACAATATGTCAATAATTCTGATGGATAGGTTCTGCTAAGAGGACTGGGATGGAGAATGGAAATATTGAGTCACTTGAAAATGAGGCTGTTGCTACCAATAGGGGAAGGGTTGTAAGGGTTTTTAAAAGTTCAGAGATCAGGTCATTCTTCCTTCACAAGACATCGGATTTTACAGTCCAATTCCGGTCTGGCGTGGCTATGTATTAATACATTTAATATATGCACGCTTTAGCCTGGGTTTTACTGTCGAATGCGAGGACTTATATCCCGAATATTTTTCAACAATTTCATTAGGAACTTTTAAAGTTTAAATGTTTAGACAGCAACGTTTAAGGTGGTTGGGGCGTCTTAATTAAAATCTGTAGATTTTTTTAATAATTTGTCAAAATGAAGTTATTATCATGCTTTTTGTAAAAATATAATAAAAAGTATGGGTCACCGGTTTTTTTTTTACCCTACAAAATGTGCAAAATTGTCAGATTTTGTATAGATTATGCATGGAAAATCCAATTTTGTGTGATAAAAAGAAACTACATGTTAGAATTTTAAGATAAAATGTGAGAAGATAGCTCTTATAACATGCTTTCAGATAAAAAAAGAAAAAATGGGGTCACCGAACTTGTTTTCTTGCTACATATTAAAAAAGGTAAATTCACAACACTTTCAATTATAAAATTACTTTATTTGAGTTATCTCCTCTTATTTGGCAAAGTTGACAAAAAATTAATCCAACACAAATATGGTGTTTTTTAGAATTTACAGCCGTAAATATGACAAAAGACAAAATTTTCTATATTTACATCAAAAGTCTTACACATGAATTACAAACTACTCTCGAAATTTGCACATTTCATTAAAGATCTAGACCAACTGTTATCTGCTACTTCAAAATCCAAGATGGAGGAAGACATCCGAGCCACCTTAACTTCACTTCTTTCTGCATAATTGATTACTCGAAAACTATTTAAAATGTTAGTTACTATTATAATTATTTTTCTTTTATTTACAGAAAAGAAGCCTGCATTTCAAACGCAACGAACGAATTTGACTCAAAAGGGTGAGTTTCATTCAAATTTCAATGGGTGTCTATATAAAATCATATGTTTTTTTCTTTTTTTATTTTTTGTAAAAGTTTAATATGCCGAACTTGCATGCAAAATCTCTGACCGAATACTTCTGGAAATGAATATTCAATAGTACAAAGAATTATGAATTCATAAATAAAAAAAAAAAGAACGACTTATATTTAACATTGCCATAAAAGCGGGAGGTTTGGCATGCCACAAAACCAAGTTCAACCCACCATTTTTTTCTTAAAATGTCCTGTACCAAGTCAGGAAAATGGTCATTGTTATATTATAGTTCGTTTCTGTGTGTGTTACATTTTAATGTTGTGTTTTTGTTGTGTCGTTGTTCTCCTCTTATATTTGATGCGTTTCCCTCAGTTTTAGTTTGTAACCCGGATTAGTTTTTATCTCTATCGATTTATGAGTTTCGAACATACTACTGTTGCCTTTACTTATAAATAAATTAGAAAAGGAAAGAATATGAGGTATCCATCCATGACAAAAACATACAGAAAGAAAAGGAACAGCGCTTTTATTGCTGTTCTTTATCTCTTTATCTCAAAGTCACATTGAGGCCTTCAACACGCACGGAGCCAAAAAAAAAAAAAAAGAAAAGAAAAAAACTCACCTCACTGCAAGTTTAAGAGTGTCCCAAATACCGGTTTGAGCGAATTTATTTTTGGAAAAATGATTCGGTTAGACCTTGTAAGATGTATCACCACCGAATCGGGCCCGGTAAAAAAAAACATACTGGAAAGTAGTACATATTTAAAACAAAATAGTTCCTACGCATAGGTGTAAGTATAAAACTATGTAAAATATATTTTAGTTATTACGGTATCAAGTGAAAGGTGAAGGACTGGTGATCCTTGTAGAGCACATATTGACTGATAATTTTGAATAATAAAAAATGTATCACTGAAATCTAAAATTGAGGCATATATTGCCTGTTTCTCAGAAATGAAGTACCTGGTTTGGTGCATTCCTTTTTCAAAATATTGAAAATTCATTTGAAAAAATATCGCAAATAAAATAGTATCCAATATCTTAAGCGATTGCGCAATTGAAAAAAATATTATCCAGACATTTTAATTGAATTTGACAGACTGATCCAGTTAAGTGGCATGAAACGTCTCATTCGTATGGTAGTATATAAAATTTATACATGTAACAGTAAAATGAAAACGTCTTAAAACCAAAACCCGATGGTTTGTTAACACGGAGAGATAAGCGTTCATGCACCAACAACAGAACACATGCATATATTAAATGTAATTCAGATTTTTTAAAGTAATTTTAGTATTCCTATTTAATAGCCTTAATAAATCAAATGGTCAGCTAAGTACATATAAAAGAATAACATTGGAAGCATTAATTAGATATAGGAAGATGTGGTATGAGTGCCAATGAGACAACTCTCCATCCAAGTTACAAGTTATAAAAGTAAACCATTATAGGTCAAGGTACGGCCTTCAACATGGAGCATTGGCTCACACCGAACAGCAAGCTATAAAGGGCCCCAAAAAGATTAGTGTCAAACGAATCAAACAGGAAAACCAACGGTCTAATCTATATAAAAACGAGAATCGAGAAACACGTATGAACTACATAAACAGACGACAACTACTGTTATCAGATTCCTGACTTAGGACAGGTGCAAACATTTGCAGCGGGATTAAACGTTTTAATGATACCAAACCTTCTCCCTTTTCTGAAACAATACTATAAACCCATTTTTGTATCAGGATAACAAATAACTTTAGGTGTTGATTCCACTCCGTGTTTGCTTAACTGTTGATATATAAATAAGGAGATGTTGTATGATTGCCAATGAGACAAATATCCACCAAAGTTCAAATGAACTTGATGTTATCAAGTATAGGCAATCGTATGGCATTCAACAATGAGAAAAACCTATCCCGTATAGTCGGCTTTAAAAGAACCCAACATGAAAAAAATTTAATCAATTCAATTAAGAAAATTATCGGCCTAATTGATAACAAACAATTTACGAAAAAAAAACAAATATGACCGACTTGAACCAACGACAACCACTGAACTACGTGCTCCTGACTTGGGACAGGGATGGGGTTGAACATGTTTGTAAGCGCTAAGCCCTCCCCTTAAACTGGGACAGTGGTGTTACAGAACAACATAAGAACAAAATACAAAAATCAGTTGAAAAGGGCTTAACTCATCAGATCGATACAAAGTAGAAAAAAATCTAACAAAAACACAGACCGGACATGGTAGGGTATTTATATATCCCTAACAACAACAAATAATAACACAAAGTACAGATCTGAGAGTACTCGCGGTTACTGAAAGCTACTAGTTCAGCCAATAACATCTAATAAAAAATCATGTATCTAAGACTAAACTGTTTTTATATATGTAAGCCTCAAATCTATGTCTTTTCCGCAAATCTATGTCCCTTTTAATATTGCGTCATAGACGTTCCAAATTTATGTCCTTTATTGTCTCAAATCAATGTCTTTTATTGTCTCAAATCTATGTCCTTTATTAACTCAAATCTATGGCCATTTTTGTCACAAATCTATGTCCTTTATCGAAATGTGGTGACGTAAGACATAGCAAGACGCAATCAGGTAAAAAAATATTTGTAGTTTCATTCTTGAAAGCACATTAATAAAGTAACATGTATGCTCGTTATGCCAATAATTTGTACACAGAATAATGTCTAGGCTGTTGAATTTGATGTCATGGTACACAATGGAATTTAAAAAATACATAGATTCGAAACCGGAATAGTTTCACCAGAAAAAAACCTTTTTTAATAAGATAGTGGCACAAAATGTCGTTGTTAAACCGGCAATAAATTATACCCTAAACATTTTTATGTGGTACCTATACATTGAAACATTGAACAAATATGTGTATGTGTTTACAGATTACGATACAGAATAGGTTCAATTCATTGTTGAAGGCCGTACATGTATCTTTAGTTGCTTGTATACAGATGTCATTTTGTCTCAGGTTGTTTATTAACTTATATTTCGTATATGTTATCAAGACGTAATGAGTAAAGGGAAGTAACGATAATTACTACAGAACAATTAAACAAGGGATCAAGAAAAGCAAACAATTTGAAAATGTTGTAGTTTTACAATAAAATGTAAATCATACAATAATTACACACGCATGTAAAATTTTTAAGCACACACATGGAGAACACATCCCAACTTAACATTGAATTATGGGAAATGACTTAATAAAACAAAAATCCTTTCAGGCAGATCTTCCTATATCTACGTACTTATTAGACTGGCATAAATTTGCGCATGGCGAAACAAACTGGAAAAAGATTTAAGAAAAGAACACAGATTTGAGGCCGTATATTTTAAACGAACATAGATTTGCGAATGACGTCACGATTGAAAACAAATTTGAAAATAGGACACAGATTTGAGGCCGTATCTTTTTTAACGGACATAGATTAGCGATTGACGTCACGATGGGGCACAGATTGGCAAAACGGACACAGATTTGCGGCCGTACACAGATCTGAGGTTTACATATATATTTCCAAACTAAATTTTCCGTAACAGTATTATAGATAGATATATATCCACACTTTAATAAATACTCATAAAAAAGCAAAGATTATAAGTAATTCTCTTCTACTATATTTATGCAAATAAAGCGCTTACATTTTTACGTTTTCTTAAATCTTGTTTTGCAGCTTCAAATCCTGAGTACAAGTATATTGAACGAGGTAATATATTGAAACAATGATGTCACTGTAAAACTATATTAGTAAAAACAATCAACAAAATTATGTAACTTTTTAATTCGATAAAATAAAGAATGAGTCTGCAAATTCAAAATATTATATTCATTACATGTATGGAAATAGGACAAACATTGTCACAATTACTAAATTTCTGGCCTTAAAAATAAAAAAAAATGTCTTAAATGGTAAAAAAAAAAACAAAGTAAAATTTCTAAAAGTCATATATTCGATTTTTTTAATTTTTTATTTTAACCAGCACTTCGTGAACAATTTTTTATACAACATACAATCGATTTGATAACGGAATGTTTGACTCCTTTTGTTATACATCGATAATTCCGCGACAAGGTGTTTTCGTGTATGAAACTTACATGAAATCTTAAATAGAATTATTTTCTAATGGAATACAGAACGACTGAAAAGTCTTAATGTTCGTAACATACTAGTAAAAGACATAATCCATTGTCATATCAATTATCTTATTAACATATATATTTTAAAAATTATTATATATTTAATAACGAGCATTTACAAACTCATGTTTCAATTGTTAAACCGAATACAACTATACATTTCAGATGCAGTTGGTTATTCTTTCGCAGATAGGATAGAAGGTACAGTTTGACAAATATTAAGATAAAAAAAACTTATATTCTACTGTTACACTTGAGATTTTTAAAGGTAAATTGGAAACAAGTAATATCAGTTAATGTAAATTAAAATTTGGTAACATTTAGGCGAAATGCATGCAAGTTATCAAAGAATAATGTATGAATAAAATGTTCTAAGGTAAATACTTCTAACCAATATTGGTATTATATCTATATTTAAAAAGTAAATATAAGACGTACTAAATTCCATGCGTTCGAAGCGCTTTTTGAGATGTACCTTTATCACGAACGCTCGATAAAGTGTTCATGTAGTATCAAATCGTTAAAGCATAAAAACAAAAGCCAAAAAACAACAAAAAACTTAAATTAAAGCTCTGACTCATGGTTGGGGAAAACTTAAATACTCCATGCGATATATACCAGGCGAGATACCAGGAAACTTCATATTCTTAGTTGTCATATACTCCATTTTAACGCTCTATTGATATTTCTCCGTGGTGATATACATGTATCTATCTAAAGACCCGGTGTTTTAATTTTTTTTTTATTATATAAGACTGCAATGAAACGTGTTCAAAAGTTAAAGAAACTTTTTATCTTGCTGTCACATTCATACAAAAGTAAACAATTATATATTCGCACATAATTCCATGCCTCACAAATTACAGATATGCATTGATTCAGTATAAAGAGATATTCCAATATGAAAATCAAAAGTGACTATGCACTATCACGCTTTAAAATGAACAACATGTGTCATTAAAAAGATTGTCATGTATGTGTACAATATAAGGTATTCATACATGTACAAGGCGGGATCACACAGTTTAATATAAATTATCGAGAGAAACATTTTTTTTTTGGAGAGCCTAATTGAATAGATTGAAGATATACCTTACGAAACCTTAAGGTGGTAAGTTATAACACAGATCAACTGTGTGTATTTTATGACTTTATGTCCCAGCCGTAGGCAACGGGAGCATTAAATGTTACCCTTGTGCGTCCGTCCGTCCATCCGTGCGTCCGTCCGTCCTTCCGTCCGCCCATTTTCGTTTCCGCATTATTACTTGAGTTTGCCTCATTTGAATTTTATGACACTCATACACAATGTTGAGAACCAAAACTAGCAGACAGAGTTTGAATTTTGGCAGTCAGTCACTTACCGTTCTAGAGTTAAGTTCATTTTCAAACCTGAAAATTGCAAACCTTGAGCGGAGGCATTCGTGTCCTCAGACACATTCTTCTTTTATCTTTTTTAAAATCTGTTTGTAAATGAGAATAATATAAAGACTTTTAAATATTCGATTTCACTTGTAGAAACTGACGAGCTCCGTCTGGTCCTGTTTGGAACTAAACAAAGTGGTAAAAGCTCGACAGGAGACATGATATTAGGAGAAGCTAAATTTCCATCGCAATGTTTAACAAAAAGCAACACATCGATAAATATTCTTCATAGAACAATTAGGTGTGGGAAAACAATTAAAATCGTAAAAACTCCTGGATTTAGAATCGGTGAATTGGCGAGGGAAGACGTCAAGGTAAACGTTGTGAAAAATATCAACACAGTAACCCAACAACTCGGAGAGGAACCTCATGCATATCTGTATATCATTTCATCAAAAACCAATTTAGATCAAGAGACAAGAGTGATCGATCTCATATACCGAAGATTGCGAAAATTAATAGATAAAATAATTATAGTCTTTACAGGGTTTGATTTTCTGCAACCTAAAGGGTTGTCGCGCTTTAAGTACCTTGAAAGTCTGCCAGACAAATTTAAGACTTTTGTTGCAGACTGTAATGGTGAAAGCAGAATAATATTTTTTGATAATAGCAGACTTTTTAATGAAGCTTTGGCACATACGCAAGTATCAAAACTTATCAAAATCGTCGAGACTCTAAAATAATATAGGTGTAATATGCAAATCTAGATAATGTTAATTCAGTCACTGACAGTTTTACTCACCTGAATTACCATTATTCTAACTTGTTTCTGTTAAGTGAAAATAATAATAAATTGTAGCGTATTGTTCAAGGAAGGGTCTTTGTCTATCCCTTGTACAGCAACGCCACCATGTCCATTTCACGAATATTTCAAAAAAAAATTTAAATGATGTCATGTGAGGCGGAATTTGCCCCGCCCACACTTAAAACAGAAAAATAGTGCATGAGTATAGTTTACATTAGATTTTTTAAAGAAAATGTAATTACTGACAAAAGAATAAAGGATTTTCTGTTTTGATGCCGATTATTATCTTTCAAAAGTATCGGTAAGATGAATTCTGATAATCTCATGTTTCCTCATGTTCACAACCCGAATTATGATGGTAAATTACACACTAGCGTTATTTTTACATTCTATAGGCCGAAAAACAAAATTGTGATGATGATGTAATCATCGTGAACGAAATAGACGCATTCCTGTTAAACTTGCAGTCGACATTAGTTTTATAATCCCTAGTTATAGAGGTCGGCATATATAGCATCATACAGAATGCGTTTCATCAGAGGATTCGAATATTTTGGGAGACAAGCAACCCACAGTTAGAATGGCCAGCATTTGGCCTATTCGGAATGATAGCATCAGGCCAGTACGCACTGCTAGCACACAGACAATTTGGGATGCTTTCATTCGGCAAATTCAATATTCCGACCCCTCCTCCTCTTTCCCTCCAAAAAAATCGCTCCCAAAATAGCAATGAGATGCTAGCAAAAAATGCCAAAAACTGATCATACAGGTTTTCATCACTTCAGCGGCATTTGATGTCACAATGCTCTGTCTTTGGAAAATTAGCATCCAGAACAAATGTGAACTATAGAATTAGAAGTTAACTTAACTTAGCGTTCAGGCTTTTAAAAGATGCTATTGTAGCAGAAATTAACGTGAACAAAATTTTTATTTAAAAAAGAATTTAGTTGAAATAATCGTTCTTGAAAATAAAAAAAAAATATTTGTATGTTGAGAACCTATTTTTAAATCATCATTTAAACGTCAATTTAGATTAAAAAAAAATTAAATGTTTTTAACTCTCCCCTCCTCAACCCACCCCCTAAGAAACAAATCATTGTTTAAACTTTTAGCATTTTCCTTTACTTAATTAAACAGTTAAATTATCCTGTTGCCATGTTTGATGAAAAACACTTATTGTTCTTTTCTTTTTGGAAAAAACGGAATAGGAACATTCTTGAATGTTGGAATAGCAAACTGACACCATTGCTAAAATACGGATGTTTACCCTTAGTCTGCATCATATCATTTAATTAAGAAAAATGCAGTGTTTTTCCAACTCATAAGTGCCATTCATTTTGTTTTAGCAAATTTTATTCTTAGGTAGATTACTAAATATTTCCTGGTGCTTGTAATGTTTATACCTCCTTTTAGCACTCATTGACAATACAGCTATCAGGATATAACAGTTAGCACTATAGGGAGGTGTTCCTACAAGGGGAGTAAGGGATCAAGTATAACATAATTAAGAGTTTAACTTCATGACATAGAAAATGAGACAGTTTTTATAATGTATTTTACCACTTGTCTTTATAATAATTCAACCTCTACCTACATTATTCCTCCTAGAACAGAACTAATATATTTAGGAGATAACTGTATTGTATCTTAAGCTTCGACCCCCTAAGTTTTAGGAAATATTATAGAGCCATTATGCGCGTATGTCGTACAACAGTATGGGTTTTCACAAAGGCAGATGTAAGTTAAGTAATGTGTCGGATTTAAAAATGATTTGTGAAGTCGTAACTTTTTATCTTAATCAGTTTTTAACCACATGACGTAAACGAATACTGCAAATTTATATAAATATCTTTAAGTACTGTTTTAGTCTTGTGGGCTTGATTTTTTGTTGTTGATGTTTTAGTAAAACTATTTATAGCGTGTTTCATTAGTATTATTTGACTAGTACATATAATTGTTTATTTTTTTATGATGTGGTTCTCACGTTTTTTATTTTGGCATCTGTTGTTCTAGACTGGTAAAATAGGGGATTCTGTATCAAAACTCTTCCCTGGATAGCAAGCAAAACAAAACTTGACGATAATGTTTGCTTATATTTTATTCTTTGTCACTTGAGAACAGTTTGAGAATACACTAAAAATAAAGAAAACAAACGCACTTTCATCTTCTCTGTCCTTTGCCCTCATATTTAATCTAAAATGTAAAATATGTTTTACTGTTAATATACGTATACATTTTGAATGGTCATTAAGAAAATTAGAGGAAATACAATAAGCCAAAATGATGCAATTTCCAATGCTAGTGTACATACATACAGTTTTCCTCAATAGACGGGTAGTTTTACAATTTATTAATCTCTAAATCGTCCTAAGTCAAATCAAAATATTATAAAGGAGATAATTCATGAATCAGCACATATTGGCCATATTAGACAACACTTTTTTATAACTTATTTATCGTTGTGTATCGAGTGCCACGTTCCTTTTAGTACAAAAGAGGGATAAAAGATACCAGAAGGACATTTAAACTCATAAATCGAAACGCCATGGCAAAAAAATGCAATACAGTCAGTAGTTTTGGTAAATCATAACATTATTTTCAAATAAACCAGATGAACAAAATTAACAGAACATGAAATAACAAAACAGTAAGATTAAGTGCAACACCTTTAACATATTTAAGTATGGACAATCTTCAGTGATTTGTAATAATTTAAAAAAAAAATTTCCATTTGATGTTTCTGCTTTTAATTTTGAACTCTCAAAACGTTTTCAAAAAAGAAACAGGGCAAGTTGTTATTGTCTATGACATGGGCATTCATTCGGTGTAGGCAGTACTGTGTAATGTATAACAATATCTTAATATCTTACCAATTAATTTTAAAATTGGTGATTGCAAGTTTTATCTACATGTCCGAATACCTTTTCTGCATTCTTTACCACAGCCAATTGAACAGCAAAGATATCCTCGACCACAGCTACGAGGTTGGCATGAAATACCACAGTGACTTAATCCATACGGCACAGGTGGACATTTCAGTCTGCATGCTTTTAAATTAAAAAAAATATGTATACGCCATAATCATGATAATACAAAATAAGTGAATGATAAATAAAACAGACATGATTTATATAACTCAAAAGCAGTCGTTCGTATCTGACAATATTTTTGTTCATGCACTTGTTAAATGAAAAGGAAATAAATGTGTGTTCACATGTTTAAATAATTGAAAGTAACAAACAGAACTTTGCGCGTTCAAAGAGTTTTTCTGGTTTTGATTTCATCAGAAACACAGAAATCCAAAAACTTGAAAGCCATGAATACATAGAAAAATTAGTAGCTGTATGCTCAAACGTAACATAAAAAGAATACTGTAGCAGCCGTTTTGATCTATGTCAGCATTGTCTGAGAGAGTTGTAAGCTTGATTTTAAAATATTTTATTAATTTAGCAACGGGATATAATGACTAAGAATCGTTGGGATTAAATAAAAGTAATTGGTGTAGGCGCGCACTCATTGTGGATGACCGAACGCCGTATTTCAGTTATTCATAACTTTGTCTTGTTGTCTCAACTACTTTTTTTCTACATATGATTTTATTCTCATGTCTTTATAAAAATGATATGTTGGGGCTTCGTCAACGAAACAGCAACGTAACAACAAAACAATCTCCTAACAAAGCATACATTTAGAGTCAAAATACGATAGGTAAGCTTTAAATTTGATTGTGTAACGTATGTTTGTATTTTATTTCAATATATTGAGAATAAATAAGTTCTCATTTACAACATTATAGGCGACCAAAGTATAACGGTGATTAAAATTTTATCAATCAATCGAAAACGATACAAATCACATAATATCCAAAAGGAGCAAGACTTGTTGCGTCAAAAACTAAATTTGTTCTGAAACGGTACTGAGTTATACATTACGAAGTAATTTTCTATCTTTCGGTTAATTTTTCGACTTTTTTCCGTGGTAAATTCTATACTGATCAGACAATTATTGCAGTCAATTGAATCTGTCCAGTTTATATTCAGACTGTTCAATAGTTGTTATTTACCTGTTATCGTCGACAACATGAAAGGCACTGAACTTACCGCACTGAATACATGTGTGTAGGTCTGAAAATGTATTGAAAGACTGAAGATATCTCAATGATTTATTGTTTAAACCTTTCATGCGATGTTAAGATCAAAATTACCATTTTCAGCCTAAGCACATCAACTTATGATGGTAAGTTTACTTTGCTATGAATGCACCACCAACCGTTCGATTCACACCTAGGAAAAGTTTCACCTAGTCTGGTATTGATATATCTAAGTCACTTGTGAAATGTGACACGTACACCTAGTTCATAACGGTGACCGTAAAAATTCGATTGTGTCAATTTTAGTCGCTCTTTCTCATCACTCGGTTAGTGTAATGTTTGCGTGAGGAGCACACATTACTCATAACGTAATGGTATTTGATTGATTTTGAACTATATTGTAAAAGTTTTCAGTATGCACAAGCACTATTGGAACTAACCGAAAATTATGAAATTATTTCTGAGCGTTATTAGGTCTTTCTGTGAAGTTACTAGTTTCAAAGAAAGCTAAAAAAAAAAACTAAAAATGTTCCATTGTTTTCGGTTTTTATCTGATTCAAAACTTAGATTGAGTTTTATATGTTTCGTCTGGATTAAAAAAAAATTCAATTAAAGATTTTCGTTGCTGAAATTATCGGTAAAAGAAATTTTTACTAATTAAATCTTTAAAAGACAATAAATCTTATTAGTTGAAAAACATTTTTAAGTCGTGTGCATGATGTTTTTTTTTACAATTTTGTGGCTTTTAAAAGAAAAATAAAAATACATCTCATGTCATTAATAATTAGAAAATATAGAGAAATGAAGGCAGTACTAGGCAATTTTTTTAACGCATACAAAGGAAAAAATATGGTATGGTTTTAAAGTAATAAAGAATAGTTGAAATCGAACAATCTAACTTTGTTACAAAAAATGTATTATTATGTAGTAGAGAATTGATAAGAAGTAGTGGATTCGTAAACGATAATCAACGAGCGACTTTAGTCGCAAGTTGATTATCGTTTCCGAATCCACTACTTCTTATCAATTCTCTAGCTTAACCCATTTCTAGTAAAACGACTGTCTGTTTTACGTTTTGACAATGAATCAACGATATTTCATAAAAATAGTTTCGTATTTTGTCTTTTTTATTCTATAATAGCTGGAAATGATTATATCCACACGGTTCGCATCTATATTTGGACATTTGACAAGTTAACATAAGTTTAAGATAACTTAAATGGGGTGTTAGCTCCCCTTTTTAACACCAGATTTTATTTTTGTATAAACATATTTCATTTAATGTTTAATCATTACAAATTATTTAAATTGAATAGATTTTGGTATATTTAATTTATTCAAAAAGACATATATTAATATACAGAATTTATTTATCTTGTTTTGAAAAGTTAAAAAAATTTAATTACCAAAATTTAGAACCTTCAAAATTTATATATATAATATTTAGCAACTTGATTTGGTATGTTGAAGACTGAACACCGTTAAGCCGTTCTTAGTCAAATAAATATTATTAGCGTTGATGCCATACATCTGCCATTTCTTAATGCTCAAATTCGTGTTGCTTTCCTAAAGTATTAAAATTATGTGCTTACGATTTAAAATGAACTTATGTTTAAACTGTTTCCGTTTCATTTAGTTAAGATTATTTTAACGTTATTACATTTGGCATATATCGTACACCGGTCAATACACTTGTTTTATCTGTGGTACGCATTCTGAATCCCCATCAAAATTGCTCTTGCTACGGATGTACAATGAATAATTATGCTAATTTTATAAACTTACCAACAAGCTGTTCATAGCCGTGATCGTCTAGTCGTTGGTAACGAATGTCATAACGGTGATATTAACAGTGCAAAGTTCGAACCTTGTATCCGGAATGAAATTTTTTCATTGTATTTTTTTCTGGACCAAAATATTGTTTGAATCCTAGAACATGTAGAAGTATTATATATTTCATTTTCATACAATGGCGATGATTTTGTTTCTGTTTTTACTGTCAAAGAAGTAGTTTTAACCCATTTCTTAAAAAAAAAAATAACACCCAAAATAAAACAAATTCAATAAACATGAACACACCAAGATATATTTATTTCACTAGATTACAAAAGCGAATTATCAATGAGACAGAAATACAGTTAAATGACATGTATTGACAAGTAAGCGCTTTAAGAGTACTATTCATATATTGATTGATGTCAGCCATCGTGGTCTAGTGATATCATGCATAGACTGAAGACTCTATTGATTATGAAGAAAATACGCGCGGGTTCGAATCCTACACATGCCACTCGTTTTTACAAGAGGATAAAAGATTGTAAGTTAAAGGTTTAAAGTTATAATAGAAGTTCTATTAAGTTAATACTGTGGTCAGTGGATTCTTAAAAAACAATCTACGGTAAGAACAATAGACTGACGTCAGAGAAATGGGTTAATTAATCATAGCAAACATTATGATATAAATATATATGAAAAGCAAACTTTCTTGTAAGGTAATTGTCTGTTTGAAAAATAGTTTAGAACAGAAAATATGTACTTACCAATTCGTAAGCCAGATACTTCAGTATTGACGAGGAATATCAGAAAAATACTGAAAAGAATCTTACAAGTAAACCTGAACATTCTTTTATAGTTATGTTAACAAAAATACCAATATTCTTATCTAATCGTTTATATATATATAACTTTAAAAACTAAATCCTATGAAATAGGGAAATTACTAGATAACATGTTTTCGCAGAAAATCCGCTTAACCTGCTAATATTCATTTATTTTATTTTTTTAATGAAATAAAAGATTTATAGGGCGTATGTCTAACCTACTGGCACCACCTGGAACACATCAATTACGTTTCTCGTTTTAATCCCCGATTAGAATATACTTTCCATTCGGAGCACGTACTTATCATATTGCATTCTGTTTTGCACTACCAATATTATATAATAATAACATTCAAACAGCTTAAAGATTTTCGGTCATTAAGCAGTATTTAACGTTATTGTGTACTTTGTAAGGAAGTTGAAACTAGCGACATCACTTTTAAATGTTTTCTCTATTTACGTTGGTATCAAATGTATAATGCTTTTTTAATGGGCAATAAAACATAAAAATGCATTTACAATTGACGGTTGGACAATATTCAAACTAGATGATCTCTTGTTCAGAAGGGAAACAAACATTTAGCCAAACTCGGACGTCTCACTGTGTATTGGAAATAAATTAGTTTCTAAGACATTAGTTAAGTAATGTCTCTATTGTATTTTATATAGTTAACATTTCCATCTACCGTATTTTGTTATGAATAGTGTGGTAAGATTTCTAACTCATGGGTGAAACTCTGGCCCCAGAAACTGGATACCAGTATTAAACAGCATATGAGTTCTGCCCGTTTTTAAGTTAGGATTAGTGTTGCTCACGTAAACGAAAAAAACTACAAATCATGGTAGAAAACACTTAGTGAAACGAATGTATATCTACAAAAATCGTTTCATATCTCTAATATTTAAATCTCGTGACGTCGGATGCTGCAACTTGATATCAATATTCAACACGATTGGATATTTTGTATCATACAAGGAAGGCAACCGTACAGAAAAAAGTTAAGGTACCAAAGCAATTTCATTTAGTCATTCCTGTGCATAAGAACAAAAATCGTTTGAGCTCCCTAAATTTGACGAAATACCGATGGAGATTAAATACTATAAACAAATATTATCAAATGAATAGAATACATTTCACGGACTTACTTTGATTGCTATAATGACACATTCCTGATTACAGTTTATTTTCAAGCGGTTTTATTAACATTTGGTAAAATGTGTATTTCCCCCGACTTTTTTTTCAAGAGGTTAGGTCAAACATATACTAGTCAACAAAAGAAACGATACACAAGTTTGAACTAAAATTTATCATAAAATATAATAAATAGGAAACTCTTTTAAATTATCCAATGAAAAACATTCATTTACAAAGCAAATGCATATGATTAAAAGAATATGACCAAATTAGAAAGTTACAAAATATCGAGTTATTGAACACAGGGGTCAAATTTATTTTGCGGAAAATGATGACAAAAGTCGGCACTTAATTTCAAAGATGATAGGTAAGTGTTCAAATATCATCAAATGCATTGAAAATTTTAAGCAGACCATGTTAAAGTTTAAAAGTTTAAAGTTCTAACAACGATTTTTGAATTTTTGTGTGAAAATTTTTTTCGCGTTTTTGCCTTAAATCAATGGTTTTGATGAGAAAATAACACTCTGTAAAAATTATACCAATAGGGCAATTATTTACCTCGGTACAGTGTATCCAATACGATGATATATGGAAAATACTTTGTATCGTTTCTTTTGTTGACTAGTATAGTTTAGGTTATTTGATTGCTGACTTTCTTTTCAAATCTGTCACTTTAGTGTATACTTGCGTTGTAATTAATGAATCTTGCTCAGTATGATTTCGTTTTATTATCCCAATACTTAAAGGAATGACAGAAAAGTCAACATGACAATGAAAGTATGAGTTAGAGGCACCAATCTTAGTATGAAATCATCACATGCATCAGTTTATTCCAAACGTAAATGGATGAAAGACATTGCTCACATATCATACCATAAAATAAGACTTTTGGAGATTTATTTAGTTGATTTTACTATTCCGGTAAATCATGCAAATACGCCATTTTACAAAATATGATTTTAAATTAAAATGTGAATCAATCATAGAACGTCACGTAAAAATAAAAAACTGTGAGCCTTGTATCTTTATTGAGTGTTTACAACCCTTAGGTCAGACAAACGTACTTACAATATTAAAGTGGATTTTTAAAAATAATTGTGAAGTTGTAACTTATATTTAGTTGTTAACACATGACGCACATGAATACCGCACATTAATAAGCACTTTTTCGTCTGAAAGGCTTCTTTTTTGTTGTTGTGCGTCTTATTTGTTTGTGTTTTTACATAATATTTCATTACATGTTGTTGTTTATATTTTTATGGATAAGCCTTTCACGTTTTCTGGTTTGGCATATGTTGTTTTATTCGGGTAAAATACATGATTAAAACATGTAAAACGTATTCCTGGCTAGCCAACCAAACTTGAAGATGATATTAGCACATATTTTATTCATTGTTATTGGAGAAAAGGATAAGAATACACTTAAATGAAAGCAAACAAAGGCACTTTCATCTTGTCTGTCCTTTGTTCTCAGTTTTAACCTAAAATATGACATATATTGTACTGTTTATTATTATACATTATAAATGAAACACATGGTGATGTTTTCAACTATGAGGTTTTATAGTAAGCAAGGGAGAACTTGTAATCTTTTTATTACGCCATTATTTATCTTCATTTAATGACACCTTATTTTTAAATGACACCAGGTAAATGATAAACCTGACAGTTTACAACAAACTATCATTATACATATATATTTATGTTTAAATTTTAACAAATCAAAAACATAATCCATCACTACTTTTATTGTTAATGACCGTACGATGTACATTGGTTATTTACGTTGCTGTCTCAATGTAATCCCCGATATAACTTTATTTATATTTCTTTGTTATTATTTAATTTTTTATTACTTTGAACAATACAGTTCATCAGTATAGTATGCATAAATATAAAATTTACAAGTTGTATAGCGTTACAAAACACATAAATAATAAACGTCAGAAATATTAGTAACATATTAAACAGTTTGTTAATTTCAGACTACATATTTTTTATATAAATATGTCTTAAATGTCGTTCCTGCACTCAAATGCATAGAGTAAGTACTTTCCAAAATTACAAAGATCCTTAGTGTTTTAAACAGAAGGTAATTATTAAAATCATGTAATGGGCTATGTCAACTGAATACAAACGTATCAAGGACCTCACATAATCGAATAATAAGAAATTTTTTTGGGCTTAAGGTTATTTCTTATTTCGGAGAGGGTTCTAGTTTCGACGAAAGCACAAATAAATAAGACGTATTCTATCAGCACTTCTCTTGTTTTCGGTTAATACATATTACATCTTAATAAAACTTCGACTGAGCTTAGTATGTATCATTTAGAAACAAATCATTTGAAGAATTCAATGCCACTGTTATAGATGCGAGAGGTTAAGCTAGCTACAAAAACAGGTTTAATTCACCAAATATTACATAAGAAAGTGCCTGCACCAAGTCAGAATCATGACAGTTTGATTTCCTTGCATTCTGTTGATGTGTTTGGGCTTTTGATTTTGGCATTTTTAACGGACTTTCCGTTTTAAATTTTCTTTGGAGTTCGGTATTTTGTTATCTTAATTTCTAAACATGTTCGTTGCTGAAATTAACGGGAAACTGCTTTTAATGAATGACATCATCTTTAACAGATACCAGTAGATGAAAAATTTCATTATTAATATATAGGTGGTATGCTTGATTTTTTTAAATTACAATTGAAATGGAGGCAGTCCTCGGCAATTATCTGAATGCATTGACAGGAAAAAATATGGTATGGTTGTTAAAGTATTAAGAAAATATTGAATACAGGACAATCAAACTTTGATAAAAAAAAATCTTATGTGCACAAAATTATCTTAATATATATAAAAAGTAAAATTTCCTTGAGGTAAATTGTCTGTATTAAGAATAATTTGGAAAAGAAATAACGATATACTTACCAAATCGGATACCAGATACTTCAGTATTGAAGATATCAGAAAAATACTCGATAGCATCTTACAAAAAAGACATTCTGCTTTTGTTATGGTACTTGTACAACAAATGTAACAAACATAACAAGTTTCCTTTACGCTTGTTTTATATAATATACACAACTAAATCAGTCAAAACAGAAAAATTCCATAGAAAATATGTTTCCGGAAAATCCGGATTTGGTTAACCTGCTTGTATGACATTCATGTATCTTATTTTTTTCATGTACGTATAGATTAATCGGCTGTTGTCAACACTATGGAACAAACCAATAAAACAAGTTTTATTTGTTTTTCTTGTGTTTCCCCGAAGAAGAAAAAGACTTTACATTTAACACGTATGGTGAAGAAACTCTCCCTTTTTATTCATACAGTTCAATAGAACTTCCATCTTTTTCATTTTGTGGTTAAAAAAAATTCAAGAAAAGGTCAAAGGTCTAGGTCAAAACTGATCATTGACATTTTGTCTAAAATATGTTCTAATTGTCATTACTAGACACTCCATGTAAATTACTAACTGTTTTCGAGTTATATATTCATTTGAAACGTGTTATTCTAATATAATTAAGTAAATCAAATCCAAAGTTGTTTTGGAGAACGATGCGGCCAATTTCATTAGAAAACGCGGCGGAAAGGGAAGAAAAATAATAAAAAACCATAGTAAGAACTTAGGAAACACAACATGTCTCAAGACTTATTTACGCTATCATCAATTTAATCAAAAGAGATTTAATTCATTACCGAAAAATATAAAAAAAAAAACAACACACTATAAATGTAACGCATCAAAGCGCTTTTCTGGATTTACCTTCTGCAGGAACGTTCAAAACCAAGTATCTAAATTTCAAAGCAAAGGATTATAAGAACGGAACAGTTGAAGGCTTTTATGACTAAAACAAAACTGCCCAATTTATACTTACCATAAATTCTACGCATGCAACATTCTATGTAAACCATCTGGAGCACATAATTATGTGAATTGAATATATTGCACTACCAATATTTCATGATGAAAATATCTTATCTGCTTAAATATCTTCGTTCATTGAGTAGTATATGTATTCAACAGTGCAATTTACTTTTTTAATGACGTTTGAACTCATTGTGTTGTTTTTTTTTTTTTTTTTTTTTTTATTTTGTATTTACAATGTATCGAACGATTTTTCCTTTTGAAATCGGCGATAATAGAATTTCACCAGCCTTGTAGTTAACACTTCTGAAATGAATTATCATTGAAATGGGCATAACAAGTATTTTCTGTTTACAAAACTTTGAAATTTTTTTGGAAAACCATAAGGAATTTTGGGTCCTCAATATTTTTCCACTTTGTTTACTATGTTGGCCTATTTTAACGTTTTCGATTCCAACTATACGGATGAGTCTTTCTGTAGATGAAACGTGCGTGTGGTGTACACAATTGAATTCCTTGTATCTGTAATGAGTTAATTGTGAAAACCAAATATTCTAACATGCCCTATCACATCCATTACTTATACATGTTATAATGATCGTCTTGTTCTTGATGAGTAATCGATAAATTTGGAAAATTGGTATTTTTAAATGATGTATGCTCTAATGAGTAGCAAGTATAAAGTTTTACTTTCCGTTTGTACGCTTGTTAGGATTATTGAATATAGGTCAACAATCCAAAAACCATTAAAAAATGTTGTTATTTGTAATTTTAAAAGTTTCTATTTATCAATATTATCATTTAAGACAGTTCTGTTATAACATTATCTTACCTCATGCATAGGTAATTGTAGATTGATGTCTAATCCGAATTGTATTCTAGTTCACAAGACTCAAACGAACATACATTATTCGTACAATAAAACTCAAAACATGTATAAGAAATGAGCTCTCCATGTAAGAGTAGCATACTTTATCACCCAATGTTTAATATGACTCAAAACAGTTTTGTTTTTCTTTCCAAGCACACTACGACTATTCTCAATCGTTACTAAAGTATATATCAAACAATCATACAGATAAGACTCGATCACAGCCATCCATTAAAACAAACAAATTTTACACTATTCTACAAACCTACTTAACACAGACAATGCTGTAGTAAGGATTACTTTCAGTATGCTACTCAGTATTACAGGTATTCTAAAACAGTTGTAGTATAAGAAAGAATAATCATGAATTTGCCCTCTTAGATTAGACATTGGGTTATTTTTAGACATGGTACATGTATTTCTAATCTGCTATGGTATTTGCTAGCAAATACCCCGGCACATGGAATTCCTGAATGACAAATTCACCGGCAGAGAAAATTAAATCTGAATACATAGAAAATTGATGAAAATAGAATTTCTCTTACTCAATCAAAATACAGCAAAATACAGCATTATTACATAAGGTGGAATCATCTTAAAACACACTAAATGTTGATACATTATACTGTTTCCCTGCAATTTTGTCTTATTATGACCGTTTGTAGTATGATATAATGTTAGATAAGTAGACAATTTTGTTTAGTTGAAATGGCAGCAGGAGAAGTATATTAAGAACTTTTCTTCTGAAATACAATAATGCTACTTATCACTCGAAAAACAAAAAATCAAAGCAATTATTGAAAAGTATTCAGATTTCTTAACAATCGAAAATATTTGCCCTGACTAGGAACTAAATGTTTTGAACTAACTTCTATGGCAAATATTGAAAAAAGTATATATTTTCAATAACAGATGAAAACCATTCTATGCTCCATTACAAAGATCACAACGAATTTTTAAACATGTTAAAGGTGTTGAAAACTCAAAACATTTATTGTGTTGTTAACAAATGCAAAGAATTTGGTTTTTTTTTTTGTTTTTTGTTTATTTGTTTTTTGTTTTTGTTTTTGTTTTTGGTTACTTTGGATTCTTTAAATGAACTAAATATGTACTCTAAAATCCTGCGATTTGTTAATTTGTTGCTTTGACCTTTAGGTGGTGCAAAAATAAATGTCGTATTTGTAAATATTTAAATTACGCATTAAAAGAGTGATTATTCTTAAATTTATCTCATGATTGGAAAATTTATTGACCTATGGTAATAGGAAAATGAATAATGAACCCCCAGGTAATTTTATTAAAGTGTTCGACGTGTAATAAACAAGTACACTTGTCGTTACACCACTGTTGCAGGTTTAGGAGGTTGCAGCCAACGAACTTGTTAAACCCCGCTACATTCTGTGTGTGCCTATCCCAAGTCAGAAACCTGTTGTTCGGGGGTTGTCATTTGTTGCTGTGTTTTAATTTGTAAAATGTCAAAAATAGGGAAACAGCAGTCAACATTGTGCTATAATCTTAATCACTCTATAAAAAAAAATATGTCAACGACGATGCCGCAAAGTAATGAATTATATTTCGTCAAATAAGATTTTTTGAAGACACTGGGTTAGACAGTAGTCTGTTACTCTGTTTGTATAGAATTTTATTTATGCCCATACACATAGAGTTTTTTTTTATATTGACACCAGTAAAATGACGCAATGTTTAGGCTATCAATTTTATTAAAAAACAAAACGTATCAATTTTCTTCCACAAAGATTGGTTCATGTTGTTTTCATCTTAAAATCTTGAAAGCTTTGATAATTAAAACAGTAATTTACTGAACTGAGGTCTTCATGACATTTTCGTAGCGAGATATCAAACAAATACAATGTACTTCCTTATATATGGCGGTTTGCTGTCCACCCTGTGTTTGCAACTATGACCTACAAAATATATTATATGTACCGATAAAAATAAATAACTAAACATTATCGAACTTTAATATACTAAAACGTGCTATATAAAAGATAATTATGAAAAAAAATATTTTAGTAGTATTTTTCAAAGGATATAAATAAAAAAGTATTTGATTCTACCTGATTTCAAAGTAATTGATTTTACATAATGTCAAAGTAATTGATTTTTGCATGATGTCAAAGTAATTGATTTTACATGATGTCAAAGTAATTGATTTAAATAATGTGAGAGTAATTGATTTTATATGACGTGAAAGTATTTGATTTAACATGATGTCAAAGTAATTGATTTTACATGATCTCAAAGTAATTGATTTAACATGATGGAACATTAATTGATTTTACATGATCTCAAAGTAATTGATTTTTCATGATCTCAAAGTATTTGATTTTACATGATGTCAAAGTAATTGATTTTACATGATCTCAAAGTAATTGATTTAACATGATGTAACATTAATTGATTTTACATGATCTTAAAGTAATTGATTGTTCATGATCTCAAAGTAATTGATTTAACATGATGTAAAATTAATTGATTTTACATGATCTCAAAGTAATTGATTTAACATGATGTAACATTAATTGATTTTACATGACGTGAAAGTATTTCATTCAACATGATGTCAAAGTATTTGATTTAACATGATGTTATTTTACGCCAGATTGAATATGTGACTGTGTCATTTAATACTAAGTAGCATACGAGTCACATGATAAATAATTACTGTTATATGAGAATTTGCAATTATTACTATAGTAGTCTTAAAATTGAATGACCAAAAAAAAAAGTATGTTTATATCAAACATCACATTACAAAATTTTGAAAATTATTTGTAGAACAATTCATCAGTTATTGCAGAGAAACGACAACAAAGTTCCCTTTTCCTATCAGTCAAGAACTATAACTCTTAAATGGCCTATGAAAAAAATCGTCAGTATCCAATTTGACCTCCACTGTGTCAGTATCATCATCAGCAACAACATATTCAAGTTTAAAAAAAACTGTTCATCAGGGAGCGGATGGAAACAACTTCCAGTTAAATAAAGATCACGACTGATCGACAAAAGTGAAACTCGCTAATTTCGAACTAAACCTCTATCAAGTTATTAATAACATTATTTGTTCAAGATACCAGTTTTACAAAACAGGTATTGCATTTCAATACATATTTTTTTTTTGAATAAAAATTATCTATTTCAGCAATTAAACAATAGTTTATGATTAAATATGATATTCTTGCAAATAAATGATAAAGTTGCAGTTATGTTTGATACTCTTTTATTTATTATGTATTAATCACAATTTTTTGGGTAGAGTGTAAACAACTTTGCCATTATACATACAACATGTACAAAGCATAATGATTCATTAAAAATCAACGTTTGTTTATAGTTTTTCATTACGCAAAATAATTTTAGAATGTACCATTGAAAAGACAATATAGGGGGCAATGTAGGTATATACAAATGCAACAAATGGTAAATTCGCCATTTTCGAACCTAAGCCATACTGTGTGAATTTTTTCTAAAGCCTGCAACAATTTTTTTTGATTGGTTCGGTGGTTCAAACGTCCAACATGATGAAAATTCGACCACAAAATGATGTTTTTTTCAGAAGGTGGTACAGAGAATGAATGCAACTGTAGTCATGTAGATTCTGAAACGACGATTTGTGATACAAACTTAAAAAAAACACACACACAAAGACAAACCTGATGTAAAAATTCCATCAAATGCAAAAAAAAACAGCGGTCAAATTTTAAATAAAAAAACAATGGTCAAACATTAAAGAAAAACAATCAAAAGGCACAAAGACATTTTTTTCACAACTATTACTTTAAATATTTAAATGTATATGAACAATCGATTAAAGATAGTCAACTGACAAATACAAACGGCATCGATACCTAGTTAAACAGTCATAAAATAAAAACGAGTTTATTTCTGTTTATTACGGTCCTTCCTCGCAAGTTCCATCTTTCTGTTGGAATTAGTTCGATGTCGTGCATATGGAACAAGCTAAACCGTTGTAAGGCATTCATCTCTAATTTAATTTCCAGTATGTTGAAAATTGTAAAAAGAGTTAGGGCGATTCCAAAGGATATTTAACTCATCAATCGTTACTGACAACGTCATGTCAAATATGGAGAGTAACCAATTTACAAAATACTATATAAAAATTTTAAAGCTGAGCAACATGAACTACATCACAGATTGTGGGTTATCTCAGATACTTCGAATGCTTATACGGATTTTTTTCCACTAGTGCCAACCGTCATCATGCTCATGAAAAAAATATCGGTGAGGTGAATCAACGGTGATGTGAATCATAAGTATAAGAGTTATTAAGAACATAAACACATTCAAGACAATCAAACGTTATTTATTAATCAGCTTAAGAGATCAATAAATATGTAAAACCATTGCTGAAGATACATAGTTCGTTCATTCAATTAAATAATTAACTGTAATATGTGTAAAACAGTATGTTTGTTGCAAGAATCACCAAATCGACGTTAATTGACTTATTTTTTTCTTAATTATTGTATTAATATTTACATCAAGACAATTGTACATGTTTGTATTACAAATTGTAAAGTGAATCTTTAACATAACTTACCATATTTCAAAGCACGTTTTAACTTTCTTTTTACAATCATGACCGCAGCCATTAAAACAACAACTTTTTCCAGAGCCACAACCAGCGCTTGGACACTTTTTACCACATGGACCGATTCCAATACCAGGTGTTCTAGGACACACCATTACGCATCCTTTAAGAAAAACATAATTGGAAGCATCTGTTAAGTATACGTCAATGAAAAAGTAATGCTTTACAGTACAAAATATAGGAGTGGAAATAGACTTTTCCAGTACAATAGGAATATTCCTCGAATGATCAAATTGACAGGGACAAAAATATGCAATGAGTTCTTCCTACTGATAGTTTTTCAACACATGGTGTATATCTTATGGTCATCGCTTATGTTTTGTCGCAAAAGTTATATACTAGAAAAATAAGGTTTTGTAACTGATGTAAAAAGTTATGGAAAAATATAAAATGTTTTTTTTTTCTTTAATTTTTTGGTAACATGCACACACGCACAAACCAAAACATAAACTTACGTCGACCGTTGACCTCTATGTTGACAAATGATAAAAGACAAAAGCTACACAAAATAAGTCCATTCAATTTCGACATGGTGTCGTTGCTTTTGTAATTGTTAATCTGACTGCTAACTGGTAGTTTATATAATACATGGACCAACAAATTACAAAACATAAAATCAGGGAAAGAATCCCCTCATCTCCGATGACGAACAAGTTTTTCCAAGAATAATAATATTCATAAATTTATATGTAAGCATCAATATAAATATCTAACCTGACATATTCGTACCAGCTGGTGTTATGACATGTGACCATTTTACTTTACAAACTTGGACCATTATATTAAACTATTAATTGTATGTGTTTTCCAACGATTTTCTCTTTAAACATGTTAAAAAAGCTAATACGTATCTTATATGAATCCGGACTTAAATAGAACAAGAGTGTCAACAATGTTATCATTTACAAGATCATTGATATCCGCCTAAATATAAAACTGTTATATATTACCACATTTTCATACATGGTCAAAGCTCCTGGGATGATAACCGTGTTATATGTTCTTAGGTCATTGCCAAAATATATATTAACTGGCAGTATTATGCTAGAACAATTTGAGGAAGATGCACCTTTAAAAAAAACATGAATGCACTAAATTTCTAAATTTAAGAATGATTTAAGTATACACAACTTCAAGCATACATAAATAATTAAACCTGAATTAAACAAAATCGATGTACCTCTTTTGATGTTATGGAGTATACGTATCGTTCATATAATGACTTATGTCTTGAAATACTAAGGTATTACTACCTCAGACATAAATGGCCTAAATCGGATTCGGCGAAAACTTTTTTCCAAAATACTTTGGATTGGTCACCACAGTAAAGGTATAACTGGGAAATTGCGTCAATTTATATTTGCTTTAAGAAAACATAACATTATATCTGAAGACAAATTTTCTCAATCAGTATTAATTTTGTGTTCTATGATCGTCATATTTTTTCCTTCAAGGTTAATCTGAATACTTTGTTTAAAAACCATAACACCATCCCCTCCCCCGTCAGAAATAACTGGTCGTTCCCTTTTGTTGTTCGAAAATAAGGGAAGGGATATATACTAAACGGACATTCAAACTACAAAATGTAAGTCTCAATATTGTATCACGCAAATAAACTTGGTCGAACTAACATGCTAGAACCCAAAGGTAACACTCGATAAGTAAATAATATCATCCTAGTATCTGAAACTCTTAGATCTGTCCAATATGCGTTTATATATCAAAAGAGAGATGTGGAATGATTGCCAATGAGACCAATATCAACCAGGGAGTTAAATATATTACGCCAATATAATATGATGTATAAAAAGGTACACGTAGATCACCCTTGTTGTAATACATTAACCAAAAATCGCTTTGCAATAAAAACAAAATTTACAACCAGCTAAAATGTCTACTTTTTCTTATGTTTGCGGGATGCAGAAAAGCCTTATGTTTCCTCGTATAGTCATGGGTGTGTTCCATACTCTTTGTTCTAAAGCCTTCCTCGTTAAGGAGTTACTTGCATTTTCTGATCGAACTTGAATTTGTATATTGATAGGAACTCTGATTATCTTCACATTGGATAATGACTTTAAAATTTATCGTGACAGTTAATGAAATAATTGTTTTTTTGTCATTTTTCCAAGATACAGTTCTTCTTTCTTTGGGCACATTGTAAACACTTTCTTCCCAAGCTTTATCTTTGAATTGAATAATAAAGGTCTGCTTTTATGACAACAACTTAAGATTCGTATCTGTCCTCATCCCCTGAATTTATCTTAAATAAATAAGAAAACATCGATATGTTTTTACCTTTAACATGTTTAACCAGCAATGATAATTATGATCATGTCGTCATATTACAATTTTCTTTTAATTCTCCTTTGCTATATATTGGACCGACTATCTGTTGAGTCTTTATCCGTTCAATGCATTAAAAGCTAGACCATCGTTTTTTTTTGTTTTTTTTTTTTTTGTGTGTCCGTCTGTAACATGGTTAAATATGTCTAGATGGTTTTACAATAGATATTTTGGGACCCTTTATAGCTTGTTGTTCGGTGTGAGCTAAGGCTCCGTGTTGAAAACCGTACTTTTACTTATAGTGGTTTACTTTTACAAATTGTGACTTGGATGAAAAGGTTTTTCATGTGCACTCATCATACCACATCCTCTTTTATTTAGACTTATCCCTCTGTCAATCAACTCTAATTCAGTTTGTGTATTTACTGATTATTCGTGGGATCGAAAAAAGTGCTGTGCTTAGACTGAAGGATACCCAATTTCTTCTTTTTTTTTTTCTCTTATGTATGTGTTCGGTTGATTCATCATGTTCTTACAATAAATTTATATATGATTTTTTAACTTCAAAAGAAAATTCGCAAACATTAAACATAGTTATATATCGATAAGATATACATTTGAAACCATAAAAATGTAGTACAGTAAGAATGAGTCTAATTAAATCGTAAAATTTGTAAACATTCAATGCGTTTTTCATCGGACCGATGTATACTTAAAACAGTTAAAAAAATTGTGTCCAACAACACGGTGACGGCATAACTTAACTGTGATCTGAAATTCGTCGATTTCATTGAGGGAATGAAGGAGAACGCAAACAAAAGTTGTAAGTCAGATTACTTATTCAAAACCATGTCTATCGAACTATAAAAATGCATATGAGACAACATTTTATATGAAACAAAACTAATTTAATTTGGGAAATTCATTACTATGTAACGGATCATTTGGTTTAATTATCATGTTTATATCTTCTTTTTTACTTTGTCATTGATACATAATCTGATGACCTAATTACATAATGTGTGCCTAACAGAAACATATTCACACACCAAAAAAAATCACACGAGATCTTACACTTACTTTATATTTGGTCACTGAAACTGAAGACAAATAGAATGCAAAAACTGTACAGGTACAGTATCAATTACATCAATGTTGCTACATTCTTGTCGTTTATATATTAGAAGTGAAACTGCGACTGTTAATTTATAATTTATGTTATTCATGTTTCCCATGTGAATATGTCAAGGAATATTAAAATCATACGGTTAACACTTGTGGTTTACACTTGTCGTTAGAAAAAAAAAGGTAATGTAAACATGGTCAAAAGGTAGACGTTTTATTTTAGTACACTTTTTACCTTTGTTATCTTTACCTCTTGTAGTGACATGTTTTCAGTGTCTCCAACTTTTCTCTCACTATAATCCGCTTAACCCTCAAATCCCCAAATCTATAAATCGTAGATGTTTTCCCAGGTTTATGTCCTATTTTTAAACCACTAGGATTATTCCTCAGGTTTATTTGTATGCCATCTAGAGTGAACAAATTCCTTCCCCGCAAGTGTCATCGTTCATATATTCAATTAGTGCATTGAGAAAATCAACCAATGATATAAAACATAGCAGTTATATGTATATGGTTGTAAAACCATTATGTACCAAAACTTGCAAGCTCTTGAAATATTAGCATAATAAAAAGACAATAGTTTCGACTACAACCGCACAAGTTATTTTTTATAATTTAATATAAAAAAGAAGAATGTGGTATGATTGCCAATGAGACAACTCTCCACAAGGGACCAAATGACACAGAATTTAACAACTATATGTCACCGTACGGCCTTCAACAAGGAGCAAAGCCCTTACCGCACAGTCAGCTATAAAAGGCTCCGAAATGACAATGTAAAACAATTCAAACGAGAAAACTAACGGCCTAATTTATGTACAAAAATGAACGAAAAACAAATATGTACCGCATAAACAAACGACAACTACTGAATTACAGGCACATACATACAGAATGTGGCGGGGTTAAACATGTTAAAACTTTTCATCCGAAGAAAGATTGAAAACTAGTTTTCAAAAATGTTATCTTAGTATTATTCCTGCAATACATTTTTGCAATAATGTTGTGTTTTTCTTTAACTTTTGGATTTTCATCGCCTCGAAGGGGTCTTTTCGCTTGTTTGTCAAAATAAATGTAAAACCGCAAGTTACCTTGAGGAGCATGACATGATTTTTTGTATTTGTTTGTCATATATTTATAATGCTGGGGGAAAAACAACCTATTATAAAACATTCATTGTTTTGAACAAGGTAAACAGATAATTTGGAATACATCTGTAAATAAAAAGAAAGTCTTAATAATATAGTTGCCATGTTGTGAACGTGGTCCAGGTGAACGCCTTAATAAATACTTACAAATGCCATAAAAAGATGTAAGTTATAATTTTAAATGCGTCTACATGTACATGTAAAAACAAATTTTGGGCATGTTTGCGTTGTGTGGTTTATTCGCAAGCTCATTTTTCACCTCCAAATGAATAATTTGTTTTATAAGTAATGCATTTGGTATAAAAATGATATAAATTACAATTTTGAAATCATCTTTAACCTTTAAGATAATTTTGGGACATGTTTATGTTATGTGGTTTCTTCGGAAGTTATTTTTTTTTCACCTTCAATTAATTAATTTGTTTTACAAGTAATAAATTTAGTTTAAAAAGCTTAAACATTACAATCATATGAAATCATGTGTAAACTTATTACCGGAATTCTTTTCTGTGCGTGTCTGACATTTCTCTTCAACACAGAAGTGTCTGTTCTAGGTACGTATATGTTTTAAGCTACTCTTATCAAAATTAAATTATGAAATGTCTTCATTAGATTAATTCTGCTAATAACAATTAATTTTACCACCAAATAGGAAAACCTGAATAACCGGTCCGCATTATACTTGCAATCGATAACACATATTAACCATTTGTTCTTTTTAAAAATATCAATAATCGTGTTGATAAGATAGTGACAAACGCTCGTCATTTATTTTGAGGATGACATGTATAACAAATACAATTGAGTACGTATAAAAAATGTAAATCGATTCACAAAGTAAAACAACTGCTGAATCTCAAACAAAATAATTAAACGAGTTTATTTTATTCTGTTACCTTTGAAAACTCAGCTCTTCACTGGACAGGCGGAGTTCATTTACGTTTTATTAATTTGCGTATTTAAATAATGTATTAATTTTATCATAAGTTTGTAA